TATTATTATGAGCGCACCTGAACAGGCAGACAGAATCTGAGTTCAACATCTCATCAAAAAGATACAACTGTACTTCAACAAGGTATTGCACTGAGTATCAGCCTATATTGTGGATTTACCAAGAGATGGAACTAGTCTATTTATGTTCACATAATGAACCCAAACCAATTGCCAACCGCAGGGAAAAAAGCTCTACACTAGACTTTTTTTGATAGTTGTACCCTCTCAACCCCGGAAAAACCCTAGTAATTTTACCCAGCACTCTCTCCATTGCCACAGTATCCATCTTGTAGTATGGTGACCAGAACTGTACATGGTACTCCAAGATTTAATAATGGTTTCATGTTATTGAACAAATTGTCAGTGAGTATCTTTATGCTGATTCATATGCTATCAATGATCATGAGAAACTCTACACAATCTGAAATCAAACTGACTTCTCTTGCCCTGAGAATCAGTTTGTAGAATCAGAGCGTACATTTAGGGTAAAAGAGCAGGAAATTATGTGATCATTATTACCAGTGATAATTACCAGACCACAAACCTCCATTTATTTCCCCTACGCTTCTATTGCTAGTTTTGGGGGTTCGGTAATGTGTATGAAGTAAAACAAAAAACACTTGTTAAGACAAAGTGGAGTCCTGTAGCTCAGTGGTTAGAGCACTCGCCTCGCAAACGAAGAGACCTGGGTTCGATTTCCAGCAGGGTGAAACCTTGGGCAAGTTTCCTTAGTCCACACCCCTGATAATAATCCCTCAAGAAAAAAAACAATAATAAAATTGGTCACTTCAATCCTCGACTATTCGTGGGACATTGCTGTGTGTAATTGGCTGCCGTGTTTCACCAACAAATATATAGTCAATTCACTTTACAGTATATTCTGTGAAGCGCTTTGAGACGTCTAGAAGACGTGAAAAGCGCTATATCAAAAGCAAGGATTATTATTATTACTACTAGAGCAGTTCAGATGTTCTATTTAAATCCTGACAATGTTTTTAAACACATGGTTTTATGCTGAATCTCAGTGCCCTACTTTACCGACAATCCCTACCCTTTCAGGGAGCCAGTCTGACACTCAACTAGTGACTATCCTCCTTTGGTGGTGAGTGGGGAAGAGTGGGAAGCGGAATCTCCTTGGAGCGGAGCTGGCTGTAATACTCCAGAGCTTTGCCGACAACAGCCCAGTCAGCCCTGGCTCATCAACAGAATGTGAAAGGACAGAACAGTTAATGGGAGCAGGGGTTCATCCCACTTGGCTTTTGATAGCCCTGTAAGTCAAAACCCTAATGGGTAAGGTGGTCCTGCTGGACAAGCAACAGGAAGCTTGGCAGACAGTACTATGCAGTTTTAGCTGGTTTAACCCCAGCAGTACCCCAAACACAATCTTCTGGGATCCCCATACCTTGGACGTTACCAACCTGTGCCTAATACTCTCCAGAATTATGTAAGCACAGTATGTCCCTCCAGGGAGAGAGTTCACATTCCAATCACAAGAAAATCTCCATGTGTAGTTGGAAACCATGTGTGAAACTATGAGTCTACTTTATATAATCATGACCAATGATGATAGGTTTCTGCATATGTCAGACACTTGACTACATTTATATAGTGCCCTTCATGTAGGGTAGCATCTTGGAATGCTTAACAGTGGCAGAACTCAACTACGAGCTGGGGAGAGGGGGAGAGGTGACCATTGGCACAGTCAAAGGAGGAGGTCTCTAGGTGTGATCTGAAGACAGGCAAGGAGGAGGAAAGCAGAGAATTTCAAAGTTTTGGGGTGTAGTGGCTAAAGCCATGGCCACCGATGGTGGAGCGGAGGGGCCAATGGACGTGTAGTAAGCTAGAGGTAGCCGCCGAGTGAAGGCAGCTGGTAGAGGAGTCTAGTCAATACCCTTAAGAGTAAATCCTGCGTTTTGAAACGTTGTTCTGATGTGAAAGGCATTATATCAAATGTAATTTAATCTAATTATTAATAATTCACTTTGGTCAATTTGATGACTTCAGCTTACACTGTGATGGGTCTGACCCCATCCCCTCCAATTTCCATCAGCCCTGATTAGATCAGGTCAATTTGTGCTCTTGAAACCACCAAAGGACATAACAATAAATTATATTTGTGTTGTGCCTTTCACATCAGGAGGACGTCCCAAGATCCTAGAATAAGCAAAATCTGTTCCCAATAGCAGGTATATTCACGCAACTGACAGCTCTGAGATACGGTCCAGTACTCAACTGATTGGGAGGTAAATCTTTAACACAAATAATTTTTTTTTAAAACAGAATGCCCTTTGCAAAGGACCCACTAAGTACAAAGTACATAAGACGACCACAGAGGCTTTATTACCATGCGATGCATTGTTCAGGTTAAAAGAAAACCACTATCAAGCTTGATTTCTACAGAACTATATATTTCCTGTGTGTACACATGAAGCTTAAACTTTTACAGGGGTTTCCTCTTCATCATGCGGTACAGAAACTCTGTGTTAAGCATCCACTTCATCGAAAACCACACTATCTCCAATGAACACAAGGCCTCAACTTATATTTAAACTAAACCATTGAATTGCAACTCGCAGACAGGAACAGCTATTTTTCCATCATGACTGCCACATTGCTCTCATCCATCACGTACTTTAATTTCCATTTTTTGGTCAAAGAAGTAAACATTTCTTAACAAGATTCCTTAATTGCTCATTCTGGACTAAAGTTCCACAAGTGTTGTTCTCCCTCCAGTGCCTCACTCAGGTTTGTATTCTTTATACATGAATCTCAACAAGGGAGTGTCGGGCTCAACTAGCTATTGGATCTATGGGGCATTGCAGTCAAATTCGTTCCTTTTCTCACCTAACACCCATACACAACACTTTCCAGGAGCTATCAAGCAGCAATCAAACCGGACAAGGACTGACACAAGCCCAAGGTCAATCCCAGCATTCAAACTCAGCACAGCACAAGTTGAATTACAAACCTTTGGTTTGCCTAGTGTTGCCTAGCCAACACAGAGCACTGAGCCACTGAAGCTGGATGAACCTTTTTCAATTATGCACAAACTCCCACATGAAAACCAGAGTTCCTTTAAGCCCTAGACTAATGCTCACTTTTCCCATCTTACTCTAGCGTAGTCGAACTTTGAAATTCACGATAAGGGAAAGCTCTCCCCAACTCACATGCTTTCTACTCCAATTCGATACATTTGTATCTCAACAATCTTGTTATAATGCATCACACTAAGGTCACAGTCTGCTTACAACACAGGTATGCTGTAGATCCACACTTACTATCTAGAAAGCTATATAATAATAATACTTGCATTTGATATAACACTTTATCGTGTCCTTGAGAAGTCTCAAAGTGCTTCACAGAATATACTGTAAAGTCAATTAACTATTTTGTGGGCAAAACGCAGCAGCCAATTGCGCACATCAGTGTCCCACAAACAGTCGTGGATTGAGTGACCAAATTAATATTTTTATTGAAAATGTTTAAAGGGATTAGTATCCCCGGAAAGCGAATTGCCAATCAACTAACAACCGGATTCCTACTTACTGCTAGGTAAACACAAGCTTGTGGAGTAACGAAACTTGCCTAATGTTTCGCCCTGCCGGGAATCGAACCAGGAGTCCTCTCACTTATGAGGCGAGTGCTCTAACTACTATGCTACAGGGCTGCAATCAACTATTGTCATAAGGGTCAAGCTCCACCCTAAAAAGCAATCCCAACAAGGCAACTCCAGGTGAAGGGCACTATATAAATGCAAATAATTTTGAAAATTGTAACATTCTTAGCAGATTCAGGGCCTAAAATTCCACCCACTGTTTGCCTGTAAGACCATTTTGTCTTTAAATTTAAGTTCATTAATTTGCAGCTGGTCTTTAAAAGAATTTTTCACAATTCTATGCAATCTTAAATTTGAAGATAAAATGATCTTACAGCCAGAGTCTAGATAATAATAATAATCCTTCCATTTGATATAGCGCCTTATCACATCTTCGAAACGTCTCAAAGCGCTTCACAGAATATACTGTAAAGTGAATTGACTATATTTATGGGCGAAACACGACAGCCAATTGCACACAGTAGTGTCCCACATGACCAATTTATTATTATAATTTTTTTGAAGGAATTATTACCTTTGAAGGAAAAGCGATCCCCCAATCGACTAACAACTGGGTTCCTACTTAGCCCTAGTTAAACAGAGGCGCGTGGATTAAGGAATCTTTCCCAATGGTTTTGTCCTGCCAGGAATCAAACTCAGGTCTTTCGCTTACGAGCGGAGTGCTCTAGCCGCTGTGCTGCAGGACTTACAGGATTTTCGAGTCATTTATATTTTTAAAAATACATGAATCGATCTTCTCTCAAGACGGAAGAATGTTGGCTTGTGTATTTGTTGCTCCTAACTCTGGGGATCACCCTTGCACTCCTATGTACTGCCTCTAAGCCCCATTCAGCCTCCCTTGTGTTGTGGTGACCAGAACTGTATACAGGAGGCTCGGTGCAGCCTGACCAGAGACTACAATTTGGGTATGACATCTGAAGATCTAAACTTAACTGATTCAGCAATATAGCCCAGGATTATGTTTGCCCTATTTAGTGTTGCCTCACATTATGCAGACGTAATGAGCAATGAGTCAACTAACACACCTAGATTCCCGTCAGTTTCTCCCTTGGCAATTTCTGCACCATTATTATTAGTTATACCCTATATGTCATACCTTGCATTTATCTGTATTAAACCATTTAAGAGGATACTGGATTCATACATGTGCGAGAAGGGAATAGAGAGGTACTGGAGAGGGGATGCAGAGGGTTGGACTCTCATGTGGAGCGTAAACACTGTGTGAACTAGTTGGTTCAAGTGGCCAATTTATTCTGTAGCATTCTATATCAGTCCATGTAATTCTATGGGAATACCACCAAAATCTCAGCAAGGAGTATCACCAGTTTGCAAACAAAGGAATTTCTAATTTTCTGATTGGCATTTATAGCAAAGAGATACTCACGCCATGATGCCTGATAGATGTAACATTTCTGCTGTGAGGTAACAGAGATAACTGTACAAGAAGACAAACAGCGGCTCGATTATGCGAACATTCTCAGTAAAGCGAGTGGTGAAGGCTGCAACAAATCCATAAATAATCCCGACCACTACACCACCAATGCCCACCACAAGAAACTTTGCAATTCCAGCAAACACATCTACGGTTTCAATGGTCTGCATCGTGCAATATGACTGGAACAAGTTGTACAGTGCCTGAAAGAGATAAACACAAAAAGTGTAGCAAAAAATTAGCTAATTGTTACAGAGAAATGCATGTGTTGCTAATCAGGCAATATGCTACAGCTTTTCTGACAAACATTCAGAAACAAATTGATGATGTCTTGCATCATACAGTACTCGCAGAAAGGCTTAGGGCATTTCACAGAGAGAATGGGTGTACAGCCAGGCATAGAATTATGGGTGGGAGAGCGATGACTTAAAATAAATTAGTAGGCTTTTAGTAGGGCTTTGAACAAAAAGGGAGAGTGCAAGGTAGAGAGATTTAGAGAGAGAGGAGAAACACATAGTGACAAAAAGTCATGGTAGCACAAAAGACTGACAGAAAAGTCTTCCAATGGAACTTTCTACTTTGAATTCCTTTTCTGTGAAACGTGAACAATATGAAACTAGAAACTAGCTCCAAAAATAGGAAAAGAGGAATCTATAGAGTAATAAGACGGATAATGCAGAACTTTAAATGAAGCTACTGGATAGAGGCATTAATTCATTTTGTTAAGAACATAAGAATTGCTAAAGGAAAGAAGACCAAGGTCCATCTAGTTCTCCTTCCACCATCCTTGCAGTCGCATGCACATGTCATGTCCCAAACTATATACTGCATCCTGAGATATTATTTCCTAACAGAAATCTATTTAATTTGTTCTTCAAAGAATCAACACTTTCTGTTTCCACCGTCTCCCTGTCCCTTACATTTATTGCCGGCTCACCGATTGGCACTGTTTGGAACCAAAAGTAAAACATAATTCTGTGAGAAACAAGAGAGAAAGAAGGAATTTACCACAGTGACAGCATCGTTCAGAAGCGACTCTCCAAACACCAGGATGTGAAGCTGCTCATTCACCTGAATTTCCTCAAACACTGCGAGCACTGCCACAGGGTCCACAGCAGAGATCAAACTACCAAACAATAGTATCTGCAGTAACGTGATATCTTCCAAGTCAAAAGCTGTAATCTGGCAAATGCCATACAGTGAGAGGCTAATCCCAATTATATTCCACAGTGTTCCAACCACAGCATACCACAAGATGGTTCCAATGTTTCCAAAGAAAGATCTACTGGGCATAAAGTAGCCAGCATCCAGTACTATGGGTGGCAATAAATACAGGAAAAAGACTTGGGTGCTCATAACAGGGGGTGATCGCTGATTAGCAGCAAAGATGATTCCTCCAACCAGCAGACCAATGATGATCAGTAGACAACTCTCTGGCACAATGGTGGAAAGCTTGCGATAGAGATGAAAGCCTGCAAGTAAAATGGAACATCTGTAAGTTTCAACATAAACTAGTGTTAAACATAATACTAAAGTATAAATGCGTAGAAATTAGATATCCTTTAAACCGTATTAAAAATGTCCAATGCCTTAGGACATCCTCCTGATGTGAAAGGCGCTATACAAATGTTATTTGTTGTTGAAGATTCATTTAACATGTAGCATTGGTTTATAATGTATTTAAGTATCCTCCAAAAAACTTTTTTACAAGTAAATGATCAAATCAAAGACAGCAGATACATCCGGATCTTATTTCACCATCTGTAGACATGTTTTTCAATTAAAAAAAAACCCTGGTCTTACATAGGAACAGGAGTAAGCCATTCAGCCCTTCGAGTCTGTTCCGCCATTTAATTAGATCATGGCTGATCTGTACCTCAACTAATCCTTTCAATTCCAATCTTACCAAATACCTTTGGTGACCTCTCACTCTAACAGTTTGCTATGGCAAACTGGCTGCCTCTTTCACCTAGAAATACACAGTAACTGCACTTTACAGTAAATACTTTGAAGTGCTTTGAGACATCTTAATCTCCTGATAATAACTATACTATATGATGCAGCATTAAAGACGCTATATCAATAGTAAGGATACTTATTATTTAATGAACATTCAGACATTGCAAGCCATCAGAATGGAGGCTAGTGATCCATTCACCAGTGATGAATTTTCCAATGTCTATGTAATACGAGAATCTGTTACATAAACAGTTGTTGAAGCACATATATTCTTTTAAAAAGAGCTATGTAGAATCTTGAAAAAGAATATTGTAACACCACAGCCTGAGTCAAACAAATATTACACACAGAGATAAACACTCTTTAGGACATTGGGTTTCATTGAGAGGAATAGACTTGGTGTGTCTATTCAAGGCATTTTGAACAGAATTGTGGTGCTTCTGTTTGCACTTAACGTTGTGCTATTGGTGGACTCACCAATTCTAGCAATTTGCTCTCATCAGCTCACATACCAAGTATTCATACCTCCTGGGTCTACCAGTCTTTAGGGTTATGTAGCACTCAACAGTCTTCTCTACAACAGCCTGAGCTTCCTTTGTTCCTCCTATCCATCAGGTAGCTGCTCCTCTGCAGTCCCAGCACAAAGAGATGCCTGGGGTCGGTCATAACTTGCATGTAGCGCAGGCCTGAAACCCCCTCCCCCAACTCAAGTATAGTTCAAAATTAGCAAACTTCTACCTGGTTAGTCCAGAGCCTAATTTATATTGGTCCTTTCTTTTGTTTCACCAGTCCTAGGCAATGTCAAAATCATTCAACACAGCTTGTCTTTAAATTTTGTCATTCAATACATCTTCAACATCGTCTCACACCCCTCAGTGTTGTAGTGTCTCAAGCTCTACAAGCTCACATGTAGTTCTGCACAGGCCTACGTGTTGTATCTATCTGCTTATAATTGCTTGGAGCAATGGCCCATAAGCCCACGGCAATCCCACTTCTTATGACATCAGTGTAACATGGGAAGATGGGGAAAACCATGAACCACTCAAGCCAGATACATACAGAGCAAGTACAGACTTGGTTCACAAGTCAAGTGGTTTATTAATACGGGGGGGGGTGATGGAAACTGTCATTTCCAGCAAACCAAAAGATCTGTAAACCTTCACTCTATGTTCTCAATTTACCCACACTATTGGTTCCAGTTTATTTCTATCCAATATTCTCCACTATGATTTCCACCTAATGGGTTAATTCAAATGTCATATCCATTTGAAAACATATTATACAGGGTACAATTAAAGCCTATATAAAATAGGAGCCAGGAATAAACTCCGTGTGAGATTAAAGCTTTCCTTTCACCTTTGGAACCATGTGAAACTCAAATGGTTTGTTTTAGTTTTTAAAGGTAATTGAATACCTTGTCCTATAACTAACAGGAACAAAACCACAATTGAAACCTTTCAGGCATCCAATCAAATGCTGAGTGCATTGAAGCAAGTGTGGCAGAAACGGAACAAGTATCGACTCACACCCACTTTTATACTGCAGTTTACATTGATGTAGAGCAAGCCACACTTCTCCTGAAATCACCTACCCCTGGTGTTCTCAAGAATGGGTCTCAGCACCATGCACATTAGCTCAAATCAAACCAATACTGCATACATTTCTCATAAAATCATAATAAATCATCAGCATAATAAATAATCACTGCATTTGATACATTGCCTTTCACATTAGGAGGATGTCTCAAAGCACTTTGCAGCAATTACTGTAAAGTGGAACGACTGGCTATTTTGTAGGTAGTCATGAAACACAATTTGCATGTAGCAGTTTTCATATAAGAAGGACCTCTCAAAGCAGTTTATAAAGACCAAGTGGGAGGAAGATAGGATGAGGAGGTGGGTGAATGAGCAGAATAAAGGGATAGGTCTTTAGATTGGTTTTGAAAGCAGAGAGGGAGAGAATTAAATAGAGAGACAGTTTAGAGCATGTGGGCAAAGTGCCTGAAAGCTTGCCCTCAATAAATAATTTCCATTTTATTAACTGTCTTTCATGTGAAATGAACTCAAAGGAAAACATTCACCGTATGAATAGTCCACAAAATGAATATTCTTTTGTGTTGTGAATTGGCCTAAAGCACAAGTGAAATAAAACCTCAAGGGTACATCAGACAGATCTGATATGAAGGGAACAAAACTAGATTTGACATAGAACCTTACAAATTTACAGTACAGAAGAAGGCCATTCGGCCCATTGTGTCCATTTTGGCTCTTTTAAAAAGCAAACGTTCAGGCCCATTTACCTGCCCTTTCCCCTGACCCCTATAGTTTACTCATTTTTAACATTTTTCTAGTTTTCTTTGAAAGCTAATACAGATTCTAACTCAACACCTGCTCCTGCAGAGCATTCCATATCCTAACCACTCTGTTCTTGAAAGAAAAATCTCCTAACCCTCCTATTTGCCCGCTTTCTAGCGATCTATACAAATGGAAAAAATAGATCTGATATACTTTTCCTAGATTGTGTTTCCAATAAATGGAGAAAATTATATAAATGAAAAAAGTAGGTTCTCAATAGTTTTATACCTTCTGTCAAGCTGCATTCAGATATAAAAAAAGTTTCGCATTTATGTTAATTTTCTAAATCACTTTGCCACTGAAGTATGACTTGATCCTTTTTAAACAGTACGGTTAGTATTAAAAGTTCAATTCGTGTAAGTCAAAGGAAAGGTTTGCGCATGAAAAGTACAACTTTGATTTTTTTGTGTTAGCCAGCCTCCATTGATAGCCATTGACTCTACTGAATCAGAAGGTCCTCACATGAACTCATGCAGTCTATACTGGCACTCCAATGCAGTGCTGGGGGGAGGGGGGGAGAGGGGAGAGATTGCTTCATTGTTAAAGGTGCCGTCTTTCACACGAGATGTTAAAAGGAGGGCCCCACATGCCTGCTCAGGTGTACGTTAAAGATCCCATGGCACTATTCAAAAATAGAATTTCTCCTGTTGCTTTGGCCAATAAAATTGGCCATTCATGGCTATTTGTGGTTCATTCGGTACCCAAGTTGGCTGCAGCCTTCACCCTCAAACACACTGCGACACCATTTCACAATATATCTTGTGAAGCACTTTGGAATGTCCAAATGTAAGGATTATCATTGTTTATTAAGGCCTGTGTTTGATCCAGCACAAAAAGTATATCTTGTAAAAAATGTTTTTAAGGGTTCCAATGATTTTGAATTGTCTACAATAGTGTAATAATAATAAGCCTTGCATTTGATATAGTGCCTTATCACATCTTCGAGATGTCTTAAAGCACTTCAGAGTAAATTCACTGCATATATTTTGTGGACGATTGAATAGCATTGATTTTTGTAACCAATTGAACAGCAACTATTTAGGCACTTGACAATCAGAGACCAGTGATGAGTGGCCAGTAATGAATGCCCAACCTGCTGCTATTCAGATATCAGTCTGGCTCGGATGGTAGAATTCTCGCCTCGGAGTAAGGAGGTTGTGGGTTCAAGACCCATGTCGGACTTTGAACTTATAGTCTAAGATGAAACTCCAAAGCAGCAGTGAGGAAATACTATATTTTTAAAGCTACTCCCACGAGGCCCATGGATGGAATAAGTTTTGGCAGAGAGGAAGTTCAGTGAGGCCTAGCGTTGAGCCATTGTTCACCATGTCCAAACAGTAGGAGGCAGAAATAAATTGATGTTTGGCTATAATACCTAATCAATTTGATTCAAATCCCTAAAGTCAAACTCAAGTTGTAAGGGGTTCTCATCAGAATGCACTGTACACAGATCTATCCTCATCCACTGCCTCTCCTCTCACCTCAACCTTCATTGCTCTGCCCTTGATTGGTTCAGATCGTACCTCTCACACCACCTCCATTTCATCTCCACAAACGGTTTCTCCTCTAGCCCCCACACCGTCTCGTGCGGCGTTCCTCAGGTCTGTCCTTGGTTACCTCTTCTTCAAAATCTATATGCTCCCTCTTGGTGACATCATCCGCAGATATGGCGCCAGCTTCCAACTCTGACACCCAACTCTATCTCTCTGCCTCCACCTTCGACTCCACGACCACTGCTGTCCTGACAGAATGTCTGTCAGACGTCAAGACCTGGATGAGAGCTAACTTTCTTCAGTTGAATGTCAACAAGACCGAGGCTCTCCTAATTAGTTCCCGTCAGCACCTCCTCACCGCAGGCGCTGACAGCATCACTATCCATGGTTGCACACTCCACCTTACTAAGCCAGTCTGGAACCTTGGCGTCTTTTTTGACCCTCAACTATCCTTTCTACCCCACATCTGTGCCCTGACCCGCTCTGCCTTCCCCCACTTCTGCAACATTGCCCAGTTCCACCATTGTCTCACACTGCAGGCCGCCAAAACCCTCATACAAGCTTTCATTACATCGAGGCTTGACTATGCAACGTATTGCTCATCAGCCTCCACAACTCCTTCCTCCATAGCTGCAGATCATCCACAACTCTGGAGCCTGCGTCCTCTCTCGCACTAAGCTTCGCAACCCTATCACCCCCATCCTCGCCCAGTTTCCCATCACACAAAGGATACAGTTCCAGATCCTCTCCTTCAAAGCCCTCCATGGACTTTCTCTCACATACCTCTGCGATCTCCTAATCCCCTATCATCCTGCTCGCTCCCTCCGCTCAGCGGGCTCCAGCCTACTTCGCATCCCTCGCCTCACTCGCCCCACTATTGACGGGGGGGCCTTCTGCCACTCTGCCCCCACCCTCTGGAACTCCATCCTGCAGTCCCTCCGTCTCGCCCACTCCCTTGCTACCTTCAAGAGCCATCTCAAGATCCTCCTCTTTGACCATGCTTTTGATCTCCCTGCTTCCCCCTACTGCCTTCTACCCTCCCTGACCCCGACCCCCAGCTCGGGTCCGAAACTCTGTCCGTCCACGCCTTGGGATGTCCTCCCGACGTGAAAGGCTCTATTAAAATGTAATTTTAAATGTAATAGGCTGCCCAAGCTTTTGAAGCAGTATAAGAAGAAAAACAAGACTGATCCAGATAAGCTACAAGAGACAATTAGGTAAACTAAGGTTTTACAACTTTATAAAGAGAAGTCTCAGAGGGAACCAAATGCATATAAGATATATCTGATAATAGGAAGTAGATAACTATTGGAAAGGTAGAGGCTTAAAACAGTATGGGGATAAGGCAAGGCAGTAGGATTGAATGAACACCTTGCTCTGAAAGCTGGTGCAGACTCATGGGATGAATGGTCTCCTTCTGTGCCTTAAATTTCCATGACTCTATACTTAATATAAGATAGTGAAGACAGAATATAGTTGAAAACAACCCGAGGCAGCAGGACAAGAGGCACAAGGTCAGAGATGTGAAGGGGAAATTGAGAACAGACATCAGAATGTACTGTACTTCTTTTCACAGAAGATATAATAATATAATAGTATAATAATACGAGGATCGGTTGTTAAGAATGGGACAAAGAGGTCATTTGAGATAAAGCTTCATGTTGTAAATGGAGAAGGTATGAGTAGTCTGAAAAAAAATGAGATCAATGGGTTGTGGGGCTTCAAAGACATAATGTAAGAACATTCATTCAATTGAAAACTAATCCATCGGGATCAGAAAACTCACTGATCCCACAGTAACCAAAAGTAAAACGCACCCCATAAGCAGATATCATGAAAACACTGCCCCTTTAAGAATAGTTTTGCTATCTACCTGGAAGGAAAAATCAGGCTCCTCCCGGTATTTGAACACACACAAAAATAGCAACTTCCTAACTTAACATTGGAAAAAGTAATGCAATGTTTTTTTTTCTGAATGGACGCTGGAGTGCTATTAGATAACAGCCCCAATAAAAGTTATTCTCATTTGATGCGTATGATACTTAACAATAAATAATACACTATAACCAAAATCTGCTAATATTTCGCCCACGTAATATCCAGTCAATTCGCTTTTACAGTATGTTCTTGTGAAGCGCTTTGAGATGTTTTAACATACGGCGTTATATCAAATGCAATTATTATTATTATTATTATTATTAGAATTATTATTATTAATCGCAGCACCGCAGTGTCCAGATTCCTTCAAACTTACCAACTTTAGCCAAAGAAGCTAAGAGTATCCACAGGGTGATTTCAAAGGGAATTTGCACGTTATTGTAATCCAGAGAAAACACTTTGAGACGTTCATCCTGGTCTGTGTACACTCTGGAAGTATCTGCATACTGGCCATTGCCACCTGTTCCTTCCCCGGTGGGGAGCGAGACATTGTCCAGATTGGCCTCAACGGTGCTCCAACTGCAGATGGATAAAATAACACACCAGAGAGGAACGAGGGGACTCTGCCCCAGAGGGAGTGGGGAGGTGAGAGGCACTGCTCCACTGACCATGATCCCAGGGGAGACCTCCCGGCTCTGGTCTTCTCTGGTCAGAATGTCCTGGTCAAGTTATTGGATTCCATGGCATGTGGGAGAGATCACTCGTTTCTCTGGGTTTCTAGTAACCGTGTGACACAGCGTGTCACTGAATCACTGCAACACCAGACTGTCTGGGTGGCTCTGTCTGTCTGTCTGTCTGTCCTCCTGTCCAACAGGTTTAACAGGTGGAACAACTCTGGCGAAACCTCCGCCCCCAACACTACACTGCATCAACTCATCATTTATTTATTTTTCCCACTGCGTTCTCCTGGTTCGGTTTCTGGTCTCAGGCGAATCGAGTTCAAGTGAGTCGAGTGAATTCGACCCCAATAATCCGGAGTTCGCTCCGGTCCGTCTGGGCATCGCGCACCGCTGTGGCAGTGTCTGCACCGGGAACGCTCACAGCCTTCGCAGAGTCGCATTCACCAGATTCCTGCAGTGGTGTCAGTTTCAGCCCTCACCTGTCCCGTGTGGGGAGGAGCGGTTTGTGGCAACAAAAGGGTTTGTAGGGTGAAAGGAGCCAATGTAAGGACCAGGTAATCTCTCGGTTTGCTCAGGATAACCCGGACCCGGAGCAGTATCGGTGTAGAGTAGAGTACGTGCAAGTGCTGAAGGCCACTCTGTAATAACCTATTTAATCATTCGTGCATGAACCAAAATGGAAATGAAGTGTGATAGTTGCTGAAGGACAAGATTGGATGGGAGAGGGCTGCTGAACCCCGGCCCTGGACAGTTTGTAAACCTGAGCACCAGATGTTGCTGTTGGCGATGTTATGGGCTCTCAAACGTTTTCAGACTGTCGTAAGAAGTCTGCTCATGGATTGTGAATTAGAACAAGTGCATTGCGTGGCAATAGCAGGACTGGACCAGGAGTGTATTCAGCAGAGTCAACTTTGATCCCTTTTGGCCAGCAGCCAAGTTAGCAATGTGTTTTGTATTTATTTGAGTATCTCTAGGCGTTTTCCCTTGTGTGGACTATATCAAGGTTGTTTTGTGTTTACTCTTTTCTAAGACCTGCAACTTCCTGCAAAAAAGGCAAGACTTTTGTTTTTGTGGGATCCGGACCACAGACTTGTGTTGATTTCCTGAATCAGCAGATCTGCACACCCTGTCCTATGTGTAAGGAAATAAAATGTAGACTGAACTGAATAGTTCACAGATGATGTGAAAAGGAAGTGTACTGCTCATTGTGTTTATTTTATATTTAACTTGTGAATAGCTGTATTATTGAGAGCTCAAACCCAGGCTTGTCAGATGACCAACTAGTAAATAAACTCCTTGGTAGGTGGAGAAGTAAGCGGGGGCTCCTTGGAGCTGAACTGGCTCCAAGGTGACATGTTTGGCCACGGAATGTTGGAATCGAGCCGGCCCTCCGAGGCAGATGAAGTAAGGAAACTTGCCCAACCTTTTGCCTTGCCCGGGAATTGAACCCAGGTCTTCTCACTTGCGAGGCGAGTCCTCTAACCACTAAGCTACAGGACTCCACGTACAAGATTATCAACGTCATGCAGGATATTCATGTCGTTGAGAGGAAATTGCACATTAATAATGTGGTCAGTAACTGCAGGCACCACATGGATTCTGGATTATTATTGGAAATAATATATTCAAACTCAAAGTTTCAACTTTATATCAATCAAATAGAATTCATTTAATAGAGAAATATACTGAGCCTGTAATTGTATTGTGATATATAACAAAAGGATTAGGTAAAATTTATATGATACGCAACAATAAAATAAATGACACATCAAATGAATGAATAGATAAATAGAACAATGGTGTATATACATGTTTGTTTGTCCATCAAACTAAGAATTTATATTCAGTCTCGTGCTCTTTAGAGTATGCAATCGATAAGTGACTGTTCTTCTTCACTGGCATATAGTACCTGAGCTGCTTCCAGAATTTAGAGGACGGAAGTGAAGACTTGCTTCCTTTCCAAGATATCTCTGGTAATACTTTGATGGCCTTTTTAACATTTTGCGGAAGGGTGTTAATTTCAGGCAAAGGGCTGAATTTGATCAAAATCACTTTTGTTTTGAAATTTTCAAACATGATGTTGACTCCTGTCATTAGTTCAAATATTCGTGATCCAGTTAGTGCGATGTAATTGGGACTGAGGACAATTATTATTCGTCGGCTCTTCTTTATACTCAAGATAACATCTTCGGTGTAAGCTGGCCAAAAGACAAACATGACAAAATTAATATTTCTTCCAACAACAACTTGCACTTATATAGTGCCCTCCACCCTGGGTAGCGTCTCAGAGCACTTAAACCTATTGCAAGACTAATAGGTTATCTAGTTTACAAGGACAAGATGTAGACTGATGGTCTTGCCTACTTACCTATAGCAGTGTGGAGCATACACCAGTTACTATACATTCTGGTCTTTGTCATGTCAAGGCTCCACGGTGGCATTAAGTAAATGAATACAATCCTTGCATTTGATACAGTGCCTTTCACTTCAGGAGGGCGACTCCAAGAACTTCACAGGATATACTGTGTAGTGACTGTATTTTGTGGGTAAATGCAACAGCTATTTTGAACACAACAATGTCCCACAAACAGCCACTAAGTGAGCAGCCAATGTTATTTTGGGGGATTGTTGGCCAGTACACCAGGAAAACCTTACTTCTCTTTTTGAATAGTGCCATGGATCCCAAACGTTAACCTGATTGGGCAGATGGGGCCTTGCTTTAACATCTCATCTGAAGGACTGCACCTTCAGCAATTTAGCTCACCTCCAACATTGCATTGTAGTGCTAGCCTAGACTGTATAACTTTTAAGTCCCAATGTGAGGCTTGAACCTGCAACCTTTTGGGTCAGAGGCTATGATGATATTTGTAAGGGAAAGGTACTTTACTGACAATAATTGTTAAATTCTCATTTGTACTAACTGCCCTGCCCTGGTCAAGGTCACCAATGATATCCTGACCATCTGTGACCAGGGCTCCCTCTGTCTCCTCGTCCTCCTCGACCTATCGGCAGCATTCGATACGTTCGACCACGCTATCCTACTCCACCGCTTGTCTTCCCACCTCAACCTTCAAGGCACTGTCCTTGAATGGTTTAGCTCTACCTTTCCACCGTCTTCACTTCGTCTCAACGAATGGCTTCTCCTCCACCCCCCGTACTGTCTCATGTGGTGTCCCTCAGGGCTCTGTCCTCGGTCCCCTCCTCTTCACCCTCTATATGCTCCCCCTTGGTGACATCATCCGCAAACATGGGGTTAACTTCCACATGTATGCGGATGACACCCAACTCTACCTTTCCTCCTCTACTCTCAACTCCACGACCACCGATGTCCTGACAGCCTGCCTGTCCGACATCGAGTCCTGGACGAGAGACAACTTTCTTCAGCTCAACGTGCGAAAAACCGAGGCCCTCCTGATTGGCTCACGTCAGCGCCTCCGCACCTCAGGCGCTGACACCATCAGCATCCAAGGCTGCACTCTCCACCTCTCAAAGCCAGTCAGGAACCTCGGCGTTTTGTTCGACCCTGAGCTGTCCTTTCTCCCTCACATCCGCACCACAACTGGCACCGCCTTCCATCACCTCCGGAATATCGCCAGATTACGGCACTACCTCACCCCTCACGCTGCTGAAACCCTGGTTCACGCCTTTGTCACCTCAAGGCTGGACTATGGGAACTCTCTCCTCGCCGGCCTTCCCGCCACCTCCCTCCACAAGCTGCAGGTCATTCAGAACTCTGCAGCTCGTGTACTGTCCCGCACCAGGCTTCGCGACCACATCACTCCCACCCTCGCTCGCCTCCACTGGCTCCCCATCCCCCAGAGGATTGATTTCAAGATCCTCATCCTCACCTACAAGGCCATTCACGGCCTTGCTCCCTCCTACCTCTCCAACCTACTATCCCCCTACCTACCTGCCCGTACCCTCCGTTCCTCTGGCTCCGGTCTGCTCCACGTCCCCCGCCCCAACCGCCCTACTATCGGTGGTCGGGCCTTCAGCCTCTCAGCCCCAGGCTCTGGAACTCCATCCCCCAGTGCCTTCGCCTTGCTTCCTCCCTTTCCTCCTTCAAGGCCGGTCTCAAAACCTTTCTCTTTGACCGTGCCTTCAGCTCCCCTCTCGACTCTCTTCCTCCTCCTCGCTCCCTCCCTTCCCTCCCCTCACCCTGACCATTTCCCCCTCCTCTCTCCCTCCCTTCCCTCCCCTCACCCTGACCATTTCCCCCCTGCTCGGGTCATGACCAAACTGTGCAGCGCCTTGGGACGTCCTCCTGACGTGAAAGGCGCTCTATAAATGGAATCTTGTTGTTGTTGTTGTTGTTGTAATACCTGGTCATTGGACTGCAATGAATGTCAGCCTAAACTATAAACTCAAAGCTTAACATGAGGCTTGAACTCACAATCTTCAGATCCAGACCCAGAATCACGGTAGGTTCCCATGTTTTCAGTCAACCCTCCACCCAACCACTCGGTTTCCCGGTCAGTTGTGTGAAGTACTTTGAGATATCTTCTCAATGTATAAAATGTAAACTATTATTGTTAACTGAACCAAGCTACTACTAATGCTTTTAATGTGCTGGAGATTGATTAACATCTGAAAGAAAAAGATGATAATAATAATCCTTGCATTAGTCTTCTAAACTCTCATAGTGCTTCACAGAATATACTGTAAAGTGAATTGATTGTATATTTGTGGACGAAATGCAGCAGCCAATTGCACACAGCAGTGTCCCACAAACAGTCGTGGATTGAAGTGACTAATTTATTATTTGGTTTTTTTTCTTGAGGGATTATTATCAGACGTGTGGAGTAAGGAAGCTTGACCAAAGTTTCACCCTGCTGGGAATCGAACTCAGGTCTACTCACTTGCAAAGCGTGTGCTCTAACCACTGAGCTACAGGAATCCATAAGATTAACAGTTTGAGTTTGATGTGACCACTAGGTCTGTATGAATCACATCTCAAACACTTCCAGCTGGTTATTTCCAATGCTTGATATTTTTATACACAAGTGGCTGAACACTTTGTGCATTTTGTGAAAAAGCCATAAAATTCAAGATAATGTCAGTAAGAGCATTTTATCAAAATCATTTTGTTTTGAAATTTACCATTATAAGTGTGAATCTACACCCTATAAACTTGTTTAAAAAATCATCAGTGGTGCTACGTGACAAACTAGATAGAGATAGATAAGAAATGATAAAAATCTCTGTGAAAATGTTTACAATGCCAAGTAATATAACCATTAGATTTAAAAAAAAACAAATGAAAGTGGTGTTGTGTTGCTATGTTTTCTACATTTAGCCTTGAGCATGCTCTGCTGATGTACTGCCTGGCTGCCTATTAATCATCAAATTCCCTGACTGAACCTTAAATTCCTACAGTTTAACCAGGAGAAGTTGGAAGCCATCCTCCTGATTTTCCACTAACATCTCTTTGTGTTCCAATTCTGGTTTCATCAACCGCCGCTGCCGCTGTCTCAAAAGCACAAAAGCAGTGCGCAGCCTTGCTGCTCAGTTTGATCTGCGGCTCTTTCCAACCATCTCTCCTACCCCTGTTAGTGTCCAACACCCGCTCTGTAAGGGCCTCCAAGACATTACGTGAAAAGTACCATAAAGTTGTTGTTAAATGTAACTTCTGAAAATAGATGTTCATTTCTATAGGTTTCTTCCAGGTAATGAAGTGTGGATTTAGGTCGTTACGCAGAAAAGTCTTTGGCTGCCATGCCATACCCAATGAGGGTGAGAAACCAATTAACATGCTATGTTTTTGATGATTTTAGTAGCTAAAAACATTGTGTATTTTGTGCAAATAGACCATAACATTCATAATAACATCAATAAGAACAGGAAATACTAGTACTGGTGTGAATCACAGTTATGTTTAGAAGCAATAGTGACTGGGACCTCAATAGAAAGGTCTGTAGTGAAAGAGGCCATGCTTTTTTGATCAATCGCATAGTTCATGCTATAAATATAAACACAGTTGTTACAGACTCTCTTATTTTTCCAATCAGAAGATCGTGAGCTGTTTGAATGAAGGTTTGGTCCATTTGAACTCATCCTTCTTGATATGGCCATATCATTCCCATATCAACCTGTTTGCTCCCTCCGCTCAGCAGGCTGTGGCTGTGGCCTGCTCCACATTCCCCGCCCAGCCTGCCCCACCATTGGTGGTTGGGCCTTCAGCCTTTATGCCCTCACCCTATGAAACTCCATCACACATTCCCTTCACCTTGCTCCCTCCCTTGCCTCCTTCAAGGCGTGTTTCAAAAGCCTCCCCTTCAACTGAGCCTTCGGCCACCTTCCCTGATCCCGTCCCCCAGCTCAGGTCCAAATCCCTGTCTGTCCAGCGCCTTGGGATGTCCTCCCGACATGAAAGGTACCATACAAATGCAATTTTGTATTGGATGTTAAAGTTGTCTTTTAATCCAGTATCCTGACCTCAATCTGGTAATTTATTGCAGTTGGTAATTATCCTCTGGATAAAGAAAAACTTCCTTCTGTCCTAGAGTATGAGCTCAAAGTCCCAATTTGGGGCTTGAACGCACATCTTCTGAGTCAGAGACGAGAATGCTACCAAGTGAGTCAGATTACCTTCTGTCAAATGCAAGGATTATTATTTTAATGCAATTTTATTCCCATTATTCTGTTTTATGTGTTGAGGTACGTGTGTCACTTTAGAGCTTGTTGCTTTTAAACAGGATGATTTTGGCCATCATGTTTGCTCTTAGCTTCTGGACTGTTTTTCCCTTCTATTCAGTTGTTACTAAAATGAATGACTTGGCAACATCCAACTGATGCAATGATTTAATATATATTTATTTTGCACAGAGAACTATTAGGACTTGGGTACCAAAAAAATAGTTAAAATAGAATACTTAAACAATTTTAAAAGGAAATTAGACAAAAGAAAAATAAATGGGTCATTCACCTCAAGACAGTGAGTGGGATTTTGCTGTGTGCAAATGACACTTTTTCCACATATTGTACACTCAGTGGGAGAACCTTTATAGTGTCAATGACGTTTTTTTAAATCTTCAGCGCAGCATGCAGATAAAGTTAGGCGTCCCTTACACTTGAAGCATGATAATCAGTATAATGTAAAACTCGGACTCACCTCCGCCAGGCAACACGTCCCTCTCAAACAGACACAGTTTGTATCCATACTCTTTCTCCAGTACAGCTGGAAGAAGCTCCAGTGCAAATCTGTCCTCTGTAATGGTATCACGTGTATCTGAAGAAGAGCTGTTTGCATATGACACAAAGGCATCAAACTCTTTCCCATCTGGAAGAAAGGAACAAAGGGATTGAAGACATTTTTAAAAATGTGCAATACTTTAGTTATAAAAGATTATCTGGGGGGTTGGAGGAGGAGGAGGGAATAAGTGGAGAATCTTTGGAGCTTTGGTCGCAAGGTGACATGTATGGCAATGGAATATCAGCAAGTTGACCCTTTGTGGTGATCTCAGTAGTCCGTTTCCTGAGCAAGGTACACATTACACTGAGTCAGCCAGCCTGACTTCTTCTTGAGATGTGGAGTAACAGACTGAACATTAAGGGCTTTGATTCTTCCCATTCAGCTCTTGTTAACATTGTAAAATCCCTAATGAATAAGGTGGTCCTAGCTGGACAAGCAACAGGAAGTCTGCCAGTATTCACAATGGTAAACTCAACAGTTTTGCAACAACTTGCACTTATATAGCACTCTCCACACAGGGTAGCAGATCAGTGCACTTAACAATGGCAGAACCTGTCTCCAGAGCCTGATTTAACATGGCAAAGTTTAAGCCCCTAAAACTCGAGCAGTAGCCCCAATTCATACTTTTCAGTCCCCAAATTTTCTTGTCAACTTGTGCCTATACTCTGCAATTAGGGAAGCAGGGTGTGCCTGTCTGAAGATAGGGCTTCCTCTATACCAGAAAAACAAAAACAATATGCATGTGGACCTTTCAGTGGTTTCGTTTGGAGACTTTTAAAAATAATGATGGTTTTCCGTGTGTGTCAAACACTCGGCTGACTAAAATTATGAGCTTATTCAATGTTTTTTAGAGATGCAAACAAATTAGGAGAGGTTTTTTTTCAAATAAGTAAGAAATGCTGCAGTGTTTAATACAAGAAGCAATGCAATACAGAAAATATTTCTGAAACTAGTTTTATTTTCCCTTTTGTCATTGCTTCATGCTGGGGTATGGCTTCATTGGTACACGTTGCCCTCTCATAACTAACTCAACTGGCCATTCCTATGTGTGAACCCAGACAATGTTTTTTGGCAGCCTTTCACTCATCAGCTGCATTAGAAACACAGAAACAGGATTAGGTCATTCAGCTCCTCGAGCCTTTTCCGCCATTCTATAAGATCATGGCTGATCTATATGTCAAATCCAATTACCTGCCCTTGACCCATATCCCTTAATACACTGACCTAACAAATATCTATCCACCTCAGTCTTGAAGATTTGAATAGATTCCAGGAGAGCCTAATACAGTCTGCACTCAATCTCCACATATGCATTTTCCAACATGGACAATACTAATACTCGAATTTGATGTAGTGCCTTATCACAACATCTTGAAGCACTCTGTAGGATGTACTGTAAAGTGTTGTGTATTTTTAGGCAATAGTGACCAGGAGCAGGAATCTTTGCTGTTTTTCTTCCCCTTTCGCTAATACAGAGTTTTGAGGCATGTTTGTACCACTCCCACCTGTTCCCCCACAAACCACAGAAATTTACAACATAGAAGCCGTAGTGTCTGTGCTGGCTCAGTGCAAACTTCTTGCAGTGCAAACTTCTTGCAGCTGAATGTGGACAAGACAGAAGGCATACTCCTTGGCTCCCATCTACGTCTTCAGTCCTGCTGATCTGAACTCCTCAATCTTCCTGGGCTTTCCCTCACTGAACCAGTGCGCAATCTAGGCATCCGATTAGACCTCCAGCTGTCCTTCCTCCCCCACATCCAGTCCCTGACCAGGACCACCTTCCTCCACTTCCACCAAATTACCCACCGCCGACCTTACCTTTCCCCAAATGCAGCCGATACCCTCGTACGTGCGTTTGTCACCTCCCGCCTGGATTACTCAAACACACTCCTCACCGGTCTCCACTATTCAAAAGATCCAGCTCATTCAGAACTCTGCCGCCTGCATACTTACCCAGACCAAACTCCGTACCCACATCTTGCCAGTTCTGGCCAGACTTCACTGGCTCCCCATCACCAAACGGATTGACTTCAAGATCCTCACACTCGTGTTCAAATCTATTCACTTGCTGGCACCTCCCTACCTCTCCAACCTCCTCACTCCCTAATCCACTACCCATCGCCTTCGCTTGACTGGCACCAGCCTCCTACTCATCCCTCGCACCCTCCTCGCCACCATCGGAGGTTGTGCTTTCAGCCACTACGCCCCGAAACTCTGAAATGCTCTCCCTCAATTCCTCCGCCTTGCCTCCTCTCTCCCCTTTATCAGTTCCCACCTGAAAATCTTCCTCTTCCACCATGCTCACGGCCACCTCCTCCCCACCAACTCAGAGTCAGGCTCAGCCACTGTTAAATGCTCTGAGATGCTACTCTGTGAGGAGGGCACTATATAAGTGTTTGTTATTGTTGTTTGGTTCAGTCTGATGCTGGCCTTGAGCTGTACCCAACACAGTATAATTTGTAGCCTACGATTTGTCTTACCGTTAATGGTTTCATCCTTTGAGCAGTAGTGTCGGTAAAGTAAAACAATTTCAATCCAAAATGTGTAGATTCCAATACACCCACAAGTGGTAGCCACAAATATTACTGAGATAGGTATTGTTATTATTTTTATTTGGTGGGTATTGGACGCTGAAAGAGAAACATGAAAAGGAAGAATAAAACATTGTTCAAAGTGTACTCACAGTTTAGCACCCGAACTATGTATTTCATAACAGAAACTGGGTGGGGGGAATGTGGTATGTGATGTGATAATAATAATAATAATGATAAACACCACTTTGATAAGAATCACATCCTGTAGTTTCCTTTTTAAATTTTGTGTAACTCTTTAAAGTATCTCTAATTAATATAATCAGCCCTTAATTGAATTCATCATTTAAGTGCATGGAATGTTGCTGGCAATTTTTGCCTACAAATCGTCACCCCACTTGACTTGGGAAATCCTTGAAATATTTTAAAGGGGATAAGGGGTTATAAAAATCCAATTGTCTTCTATCTTTTTAAGGACAAATTTTGAGCATGAAAGATTCAGGCAAGGTTAACATATGATGTACATATGGTAGATACTTGGCTTAATGAGGAGACAATCAGTTAATTCTGAAAAGCAGCAGTAGAAAGTTAATGAAAAAGTTCATCTGGTTCATCTATTTATATACTTCCTGCACATTAGCTTCTTGTAATGTTAGTTGTTTTGTTTCTGTTCATTTCCTTGTAAATTAAGTTGAAATACCACACATCTAAGAGAATTTTAGAATGAATTTTAACGCTTCAAATCAATGTGAAACACTCTGGGAAGAAAACTGTGACATGACATCCCACAGTTTATTCTTGTAACAAACCAGTTGAATTTCAATATTGTTTCTCTTCTGGTTTGTTTGGCAGTTGTTCTGTCACAAGTCTGTGAAGACCATTTAATAGGGTAAGTAGAAACATCCTCTTTGAAACTTGTTTGTTTAAATAATAAAAAGAAAGTTATAAATATTAAGTAGTATGAGGAAATGTTCTGTGTGTTAAAATCCGATTCTCCAGGTCCTAATGGCTAGGTCCACCTATAATCTACTGTAACCCTAGGCCATGAAACCAGAAGTTCACAAGTTTGATTCCTGATATGTGTTCAGTTGAGAATGAAAAAAGTATATGAGCCTCGGGCCACACATAAACTTCACACCTTGGAATATTTTAGAATGAATTTTAAAGCTTCATATACAGGTAACACACTCTGGGAAGAAAACTGTGAGATGACCTTCCTCTGGAAAATCCAGTGGAGTCCTGTAGCTCAATGGTTAGAGCACTCGCCTCGCAAGTGAGAGACCTGGGTTCGATTCCCATCAGGGTGAAACCTTGGACAAGTTTTCTTACTCCACACGCCTGATAATAATCCCCCCAGAAAAAAATAATAAATTGGTCACTTCAACTCATGACTGCTGTGCCCAATTGGCTGCGTTGTTTCACCCACAAAAATAGTCAATTCACTTTACAGTATATGCTGTGAAGGGCTTTGATACATCTAGAAGATATGAAAAATGCTATATCAAATGGAAGGATTATTATTATTTATCTTCTATCTGCTTTTTTTTTATCAGCTGGGTGTCTGACATGTGCGGAAACATATCACCATGCTTAAGAGCATCCAAACCAAGCTGAGATTTCCATGCATCCCACCTACATGTGGAGTCCTGTAGCTCAGTGGTTAGAGCACTCGCTTTGCAAGTGAGAGACCTGAGTTCAATTCCAGGCAGGGCGAAACCTTGGGCAAGTTTCCTTACTCCACACGCCTAATAATAATCCTCCAAAAACCCAAAACAATAATAAATTGGTCATTTTCAATCTACGACTGTTTGTGGGACATTGCTGTGCGCAATTGGCTGCCGCCTTCGCCCACAAATATACAGTCAATTCACTTTACAGTGTGTTCTGTGAAGCGCTTTGGGACGTCCTCCCGACGTGAAAAGCGCTATATCAAATGCAAGGATTATTATTATTATTATTATTACATGTGGAAATCTCAGAGATAGATTGTTGGAATGGAATGCACACTCTCTTCCTGGAGGGATGCATCCTGCTTACCTAATTCCGGAAAGTTTTAGGCGCAGGTTGGCAAGAGCCAAGGCTTGGGGACCCCAGAGTGGCTGTCAAAGGAGAACTATGCATAGATGTTCACTGAATCCCAAAACCAATCTAGAATAAACTTTATAAACTATCCTCTCATTCCCCACATCTGCACTGTTCAAACCTGGACTCTTTCATGGACAACATTTCCCTGACCTAATAGCACAAAAAATGCATTTTTACAAACATCAATTAATCAGCTCAGTTGGTGGCAGTCACACCTTTGAATCAGAAAGGTGGGTTCAGGTCTAGGCTGACAATCTTGTGTTAGGAAAGGCACTTCATTGTCAAAGGTGGCAACGTTCGGATGAAACGTTAAACCAAGGTCCCAGGATCCAGTTGCACTATTTGAAAAGAGAAGGGAGTTTCTCCTGGTTTCCTGGCCAACAATTCACCAGATAATATTAGTTATTGATTTGTTTACAAATATATAGTCACTGCACTTTAAAATAAAATTCTGTGAAGTGCTTCGAGATGTTTTGATGAAACGATATGCATGATATCAAATAATAATCCTTGCATTTGATATAGCACTTTTCACGTCTTTTAGGCATCTCAAAGCGCTTCACAGAATAGACTGTAAAGTGAATTCACTGTATATTTGTGGGCGAAATGCGGCAGACAATTGCGCACAGCAATGTCCCACAAACAGTCATGGATTGAAAATGACCAATTTATTATTGTTTTGTTTTTTGGAGGGATTATTATTAGGTGTGTGGAATGCAAGTAATATTATTTATTTGGACTATTTGACACATCAACTGTTTTTGGTGGGATGTCCTCCTGCTACGAAAGGTGCTATATACATGCAAATGCAATTTGTTGTAGTCTTCAATAACTTTATTCAAGTTGGCCAAGCCAAGGATCGTTAAGTGTCTTGGGCTGTAGTCCTGATGCGAAAGGCACAATATAAATTTGTATGGTATTGAGATTGCCACTAAGTATTGAATTATGGGCAATCGTGTTGTGAACTTATGGTAATTAAATACCATCTAAAAGCCCTAGAACCTCCCTATCTGTGATCTTGCACCCCACCCCTCTGCTCGCCCTCAGCTAATTCAGGCTCACCATCCTCTCCATGCCATGATTGGTGGCCAAGCCTTCAGCCACCACAGCTCTAACATCTAGAATGCCCCGTCTTTACCCTTTTGTCTCGACTCCTCTGTGTCTGTCTTTAAGTCCCACATTAAACCTACCTCTTCGACTATTTCATGCAAGTGATGGAGACAACTTCATTGCATTACTCTGGTTGTATCTAAAACTTAGTTTGACTGAAATATTTGCAAAATTAGTAGTCCTAACACAAATTCTTACTTCTTTTTATTTTTACGAAGAGCAGCAGTGAAAGCAGTATGTACTTGTTTCTTACCCTTTTCCTGGAGTCTCAGAATGCCGACTGAATACCCCTGTGAATTTTGGGAAAAACACGTGAAATTGATCCCAAGGTCTTCTTCAAAAACTTTATTCAAGTTGGCTTTTAGAATTAATGTGTATCCTTCAATTGTGTTTTCAACAGTCCTTGAGACAATACAGACAAGTTGCAATTAATGTAAAAATAAAGATAAAGATAAGAAATGTAATAGATTTTGCTGCGATAATGTAGCAAAAAAATTGACTGTTCAGACCGGTGGGGAATTTAAGTGTCACATTGTGACATTCACTGATCTTTGGTGATAGTCATATTGCCAAAGGTCGGTAAACTTACAGATAAGATGAAAAAGCATTTTTAAAGATGTTTTTCAGTACTAATGATGTACTGTAGCTTACCAAAGATGATTTAACAAACAATATATTCAATTTTTTATTGACTTATCAATTTTGCAAAGTGAAATATAATTTCATTCTACTTTCAAAGTAGTATCAGGCAGAATGAAGCCAATATTACCAACATCTTTACTTAATATGTGTTCTACAGCACTCTGGGACAGTATCTTACATGAAGGATGCTACATCAATGCAAACTGCATTTAAAATAAAATGCATTCAAGGATCCTACATAAATTGACATTGACACAATATTAACTTTTCCAATATAAAATTTCCAGTCTGAAATTACATGGGTTACAAGAAACTCATGTTTACAGAAAGACATTTCTATAGCACCTTATAACATTGAAGCATATCAAAACATTATTAAGAATCTTATCAAGTGTAATGACTTTATCTGTCGGCAAACATGGCATTCAATTTGTGCAAACAAGTCCCACAAAAGTAAATGATAATTTCATCTGGAGGATTGTGGGCAGGTCCCGGTCCCTTCTCCTTGTGAATAGTACCTTAGGATCATTACAATCCATCTGAAGATCAGGCAGAGGGAACCGTAGTTTAACATTTCATCCAAAGGTCAAATGCAATGCTCCCCCAGTACTACACTGGAGAGTTAGGCTTGACTATGAGTTCATCTCCCAGGGTGGGTCTTCTTCTGTAGAGTTTTGGTTAGAGCACTTGCCTTGCGAGAGGACCTGGGTTCGATTCCCGGGCAGGAGGAAAATTTAGGCAAATTTCCTTACTCCACACACCACTGTTTATCTAACAGTAAGTAGGAACCTAGTTGTTAGTCGATTGTCAGATTGCTTTCTGGGGGTAATAATGCCTCAAAAAAAACAGCCTTGGATTGGTCATTCAATCCATAGTTGTTGGTAGGTCACTGCTGTGCCCAATTGGCTGCTGCATTTGTCCCACAAAATATACAGTCAATTTGTTTTACAGAATATTCTGTGAAGTACTTTAGACATTTCAACGATGTGATAAAGTGCTATATCAAATGCAAGGATCATTATTATAACCATCACTGTCTGATCCAGAGGCGAACGTGTGATTAACTAAGGCAAGATGACATTGTTTATATAGAATGGAATGCCAGATTAAGATCTGCTCTGAGTCCCTGAATTACCCAGCTGCTTTTACCTTCATTATTGCAAAAGACTTAAGTTTGGGTTAAATCCCACCTGTCTCCTGCCGCTTCATTCCAGCCACTTTTTTTCTTTAAAAACTACATATTTGAACTTTTTCTTAAATTATTGCAAGATTCAAAAAGGATTGGTTAGCTTTTTTCAGAAAGAGTGCTCAATCACAGATTAAGTTAAAATCCTTTATTTGCCATAAGGTATTTTGTTTAAAATGTATTTTGTAAAAGACTTACTTTGTTAAAATTGTACATTTTGCAGTAAAACATCCCCTGTCTTCTGCTCGATAAATGTAAAGCGTTGTTGTTTTGTTGGAGAATAGAAGTTTTAAAATAAATATTTTACTATTTAAAAGAGAACGAGCACCCTATGAGAGAAATGTAATTTGAAGCACCTGAACTACTGCCAGTCTGGACTCTAATACATAGAATTAGAATGAATTATGCAAAGCTGTACATCACTCAAACAGGCCATTGTGTACAGCTTGTCCATGTCTGTGGGTATATTTCATATGAACCTCCCCATCCTTACTCCCTATCTCTCTGCCCTCTCTAAATACATCTCTATTTTTGGTGGTTGAGAGGGGGGAGCTGCTCTCTCAACAGTAAAGTTAATACGCTTTCAAGTGTAAAGCTGAATGGAGACAGCTCTTAATAGTTTTTTTGTGAACTTGCAGCAAGTCATTTTACAATGCATGGTAACAAAAACGGCTTCAGTCTCGAGGATACTTACTGAACTTCACTTTGTTTAACTCTTGTGTTTTCTGTTGCAACTTTGCCATTAATTAACCATTTGATTACAGGGGAAAAGTTCTTTTCGTAACCAAAATAAACTTTGCACACGAGCTCTAGAGATTGTCCTGGAATGAAATGTGTTGTTATTGTTACTGTTAAAAATAACGTAATAGAAAATATTTTTGCTCACAAAATATTCAGTCAATTCACTTTACAGTATATTCTGTAACGTTCTTTGAGATGTATGAACAATGTGATAAGGCCCTATATCAAATGCAAGTATTATAATTATTATAAATAAAAATCACAATCTCCTTTAACTTTAAATAGTGTCAGAAAATGTAAATCTACTGCTGTAACTTATTATTCACACTCTGAAACAAAAGTTCAGCCTGAAGCTAATTTTTAAAAAAACTTCTGTGCCATCTTAGATACTACTAAACTGCATGATATTATTTCCATAATAAAAACGGAAGTCGCTGGGAACACACAGCAGGTCAGGCAGCATCTATTGGAGAGAGGAAAGTGAATTAACGTTTCAGGTCGATGACCTTTTGTCAATTCTGACGAAATATTCCCTTCATTTTATGAGTCTGGAATGAAAGCAACATAAAGTGGCTGAAAGCGTGTCCTCCAATGGTGGGACGAAGGGTGTGAGGGACGAGCAGGAGGCCGGTGCCAGTTGAGCGGAGGTGCTGGGTTGTGGATTGGGTAGTGATGAATAATAACCTCACTGTATTGATCTCAAAGTTCACATTGTCTCCTCAAATTCTCAGAAACTTGAGATCGTCTGTCTCCTTATTTCTCTCATCATACAATCTACAGGGTTTTGAAACCCAAGATTGGTTTTGCAAATCTACTTACTCATTAATTTCTCTGCTACTATTGCAGCCTTGATGGTGGTGTATTGCAACATGGGTCTTAATCGGCACTTAAATCTTGACTAAAAAGAATAAACTTGTGACTTACCAAGCTCCAACTCAATTGTTTTTACTCCGTAAGGTTCAAGAACAGTTGGTGTTTCCTTTGTATCTTTAACTGAAATAAATAGAGCATTCAAGGGCTGAAAGATTATTTAACATCTTCCATAATTCACGACATGAAATAAGGTGTAATATATTGAATTGTCCGCAATCACTGGGTTCATGCACATTTCTGACAGTCAACCTCTTGAAGAGCCAAGTGTTCCACGACTAGGGACTGTGCTGTCTACAGAAGTGACTGATGAGTAAGTATCAAGAGAAATTGCAAGAGAGGTTTGAATGAAGAAAGCCCTTCCTTCCATTTAATCATATCATTCCAGAATACCTACCCTACCATCTTCTCATTACAGCATTAAGCTGTTGCTTTAATAAGTCCAGTGTCTTGGTCTCAACCACTTATTCCAGTGCTAATTATGCTTTGTGTACAGAAATACTTCCCAGTGGCCTGAAAATTTCCCTTTGTGAGCCTGAACCCTTTAGTTCTGCTGCCTTGCCATATCTGGATTTATTTCTCAATAGAGAACTACAGAAAGAAAGGGATAGAACAGATGAAAATAGTATGTGCAATTTTTTTTTAAATTTCCAGAACTTATTGATAGAAGGGGTAACAAAGTTGTGTATTCAAAGTTAGTACATTTTCTACTTACTTATAACACTCACTGTAAATGTTCTTCTCACAAGCCAGTAGGTATTATTTTCAGTGAAATTAAAAGCACATGTGTAGTTGCCAGAATCCATTTCGTATATTGTATGTAACTCAATTTGCTCATTTTTAAGTTTCAAAGATGTTCTTTCATCATATTGTTCAACAGTTAACCCATTCTGAAAGAAATTAGAGCTGATGGTGAAAATTGGATATATTGTAGTTTATAGAGATTAAACAGTTGTGGTTAAAGGTCTAAAATTGTTCCTTTTATCAATATTTTATTGACCAATATATTAAATTATGTCAGCCTTGTTCAGGTAGTAACCACCTTTCACTCAATATTGGCATAAGGTCACACTGAAAAACCGAAAGGGTCAACTTAAATAACAGAAGTATTGTTTTGAAACTGGGTCTTGAATGCAATAATAGTACAATAGATTATATGAACATAAGATCTGTGATTCATAATAATAATAATCCATGCATTTGATATAGCGCTTTTCATGTCTTCTAGCTGTCTCAAAGCGCTTCACAGAATATACTGTCAAGTGAATTGCCTGTATATTTGTGGGCGAAATGCAGCAGCCAATTGCACACAGCAGTGTCCCACAAACAGTGTGGATTGAAGTGACCAATTTATTGTTGGTTTTTTTCTTGAAGTATTATTATCAGGCGTGTGGAGTAAGGAAACTTGCCCAAGGTTTCGCCCTACCAGGAATCGAACCCAGGTCTCTGACTTGCGAGGCGAGTTTTCTAACCACTGAGCTACAGGACTCCACAAATATCATGGCAAATGTGAGATGCTATTACTGATATGAATATGGCAACTAGAGCACTCCTACCTCTGAGTCAGAAGGTTGTGGGTTCAAACCTTAAGTTTTGAACTCACTTAGTGGTTGACTGGTACGCAACCTAGGCGTCAGGTTTGACCCCCAATTGTCCTTCCTCCCCCACATCCGGTCACTCACCAGCACCGCCTTCCACCACCTCCGACGTATTGCCCATCTCCACCAATACCTCTCCCCAAAAGCCGCTGAAACCCTGGTCCATGCCTTTGTCACCTCTCACCTGGACTACTCCAATGCCCTCCTTGCTGGCCTCCCCTCGACTACCATCCATAAAATCCAAATCATTCAAAACTCTGCCGCCTGCATTCTTACCCGCACAAAACTCTGCTCTCCGATCACCCCAGTCCTTGCCAGACTGCACTGGCTGCCTATCCCGGAGAGGATCGATTTCAAGATCCTCACCCTTATGTTCAAGTCGCTGCACTCCTCTGCACCCCCCTACCTCTCTGACCTCTCTCCTCAAAACAGTACCCGTTGCCTTCGCTCCTCCGGGTCTGGTCTCCTCTTCGTCCCCTGAGTCCTCCGCTCCACCCTCGGCTGCCGTGCTTTCAGCCACTATGCTCCGAGGCTCCTGAACTCCCTTCTTCACTCCCTTCGTCTCACTCCCTCCCATCCCATTTTCAGATCTCTGCTGAAGACCTTTCTTTTCGACCACGCCCTTGGTCACCTTCCTCCCCCTCCCCCTGGCTCGGTCCCGGGATCCGTTACTGTGAAGCTCTCTGAGACGCCGTCCAGCGTGGAGGGCGCTATATAAATCCAAGTTGTTGTTGTTGACTGGTTAGAGGATTGACCTGGGAAGGCCAGTGAAGAAGGTATTGGATAAATCAAGTCTAAAGGTGACTAAAGCATGGACGAGCGTTAGGTTACATTGGAGTGAAATAGGAGCAGAGGCGGATGATGATGCAGAGATGGAGGAAAGCAGACACTGTTAAGGACTGGATGAAAGTCTAAAGCAGGGCTGATGGTTGAACAAAATAGAAACTTATTGTGGCTGTATGAGCTGGAGTGAGTAATTAGAGAGGTCAATACAATCAGAGCCAGAGGAGAGGAGGTTCTGTCCCTATTTCTGCTCATTAATTTCTATGTTGTGCCACTATTTTTTAGTCAATATGCAGCTGCTTTGAAGTTCTTATATATTCAATCAAAAGCACAAGCACCGAATAATTTTATTTTCTGTTTCTTAGTGCCTCAAAACACTTAATTCTCAATGACTTATCTGGTTGGATTTGATAATACTATACTGAATATCTAACTTTCAAAAATCAATTCTAAAAGCCCATCCATTTCACACATCACAGCTGAATCCGCCTCTCCTCAGAAGACCCTGAGTGATCAGCATTAAGGGAGAATTATATTTAGAATAATAATAATCCTTACATTTGGGATAGTGTTTCTCATGTCAGGAGGACATTTCGAAGCACTTCACAGGATTTTACTGTAAAGTGTAGTGACTGTGTGTCTTGTGGTTGAATACTGGGTGTGAGTTGGAATGGGTGGGTGGGGGTGGATTCTTCTAAGATAAGACATGACGAGCCTCTTGCCTTTTTGTCTGCTCTTTCCATTCTGTATATCTCTGTAAATCTGTATTTGATGCAGATTGCAGATATAAAATGGTTTTACCTTGTACCACCTCACGGGAGACCTTGCTACAGAGTTGAAGCAGTCAATGCCTGGGCATGAGATTTTAGTTGCAGTATCACGTATTAGTGAAATCTCCCGAAGTTCATGACCCTGGCAAGATATTTGGTTTTGTCCAACTAATATAGTCATCTTAAGGCAGAGGTGAGTATTTCTGTTCAACAAAGACAAATTTGAAGAGTATTATAACAAGATAAAAGCTTAGGATTTAGATCTTTTAGTTGTAATATATATCAAACTGTCCATTTTAATATTTTCCTACACTCCCTAACCTTAGGCTAGGGTATAATTTTTATTTCTAAATTCTTTCTTTATTTGAAATCAGTTTCTTTTTAAGTGTAGAAAATCATCTTATAAAGTAAAGCTGGTTAAGAACTTTACACAGAGTGAAATCGTGAGTGTGATAGCGAGAGGGATGAGGTTCTCTGCAGTCAGACATACACAAGCTAGGAGTTCACTACCCTTTAATTTGGTGTGCAGGATCAACAGGAGTCAAGTGGGAAGAGCCCCAAATCCCAGTGACTGGTTTGCCTCTCCAAGTCCTGCCGACTATTACATTTTGAAGACAAAGCAATAGCTGGGACTACAGTCTGAACAGGAGCTAGAGCTGAGGCCAGGAGCTGGTGCCAGGAAAGGGAATCGGGATCAGATGCCGGGAAGGGGAGCAGCATTGGGCTCTGGGCTGATTGCACTATAAAATACTACAGCATTAACATTAGGTGAGGGGGAAAAAACTACTACTACTAACAATAATAATCCTTGCATTTGATATAGCGCCTTATCACGTCTTTGAAACGTCTCAAAGTGCTTCACAGAATATACTGTAAAGTGAATTGACTATATTTTGGGGGCGAAACACGGCAGTCAATTGTACATAGCAGTGTCCCATAATCAGTTGTGGATTGAGCGACCAATTTACTTTGCTGGAATTCTTACCCCCAGAAAAGCGATCCAACAATCGACTAACAACAACAACAACAACAACAAGATTCCATTTATAGAGCGCCTTTCACGTCAGGAGGACGTCCCAAGGCGCTGCACAGTTGGGTCATGACCCGAGCAGGGGGGAAATGGTCAGGGTGAGGGGAGGGAAGGGAGGGAGAGAGGAGGGGGGAAATGGTCAGGGTGAGGGGAGGGAAGGGAGAGAGCGAGGAGGAGGAAGAGAGTCGAGAGGGGAGCTGAAGGCACGGTCAAAGAGAAAGGTTTTGAGACCGGCCTTGAAGGAGGAAAGGGAGGAAGCAAGGCGAAGGCACTGGGGGATGGAGTTCCAGAGCCTCGGGGCTGAGAGGCTGAAGGCCCGACCACCGATAGTAGGGCGGTTGGGGCGGGGGATGTGGAGCAGACCGGAGCCAGAGGAACGGAGGGTATGGGCAGGTAGGTAGGGGGATAGTAGGTTGGAGAGGTAGGAGGGAGCAAGGCCGTGAATGGCCTTGTAGGTGAGGATGAGGATCTTGAAATCAATCCTCTGGGGGATGGGGAGCCAGTGGAGGCGAGCGAGGGTGGGAGTGATGTGGTCCCGAAGCCTGGTGCGGGACAGTACACGAGCTGCAGAGTTCTGAATGACCTGCAGCTTGTGGAGGGAGGTGCCGGGAAGGCCGGCGAGGAGAGAGTTCCCATAGTCCAGCCTTGAGGTGACAAAGGCGTGAACCAGGGTTTCAGCAGCGTGAGGGGTGAGGTAGTGCCGTAATCTGGCGATATTCCGGAGGTGATGGAAGGCGGTGCCAGTTGTGGTGCGGATGTGAGGGAGAAAGGACAGCTCAGGGTCGAACAAAACGCCGAGGTTCCTGACTGGCTTTGAGAGGTGGAGAGTGCAGCCTTGGATGCTGATGGTGTCAGCGCCTGAGGTGCGGAGGCGCTGACGTGAGCCAATCAGGAGGGCCTCGGTTTTTCGCACGTTGAGCTGAAGAAAGTTGTCTCTCGTCCAGGACTCGATGTCGGACAGGCAGGCTGTCAGGACATCGGTGGTCGTGGAGTTGAGAGTAGAGGAGGAAAGGTAGAGTTGGGTGTCATCCGCATACATGTGGAAGTTAACCCCATGTTTGCGGATGATGTCACCAAGGGGGAGCATATAGAGGGTGAAGAGGAGGGGACCGAGGACAGAGCCCTGAGGGACACCACATGAGACAGTACGGGGGGTGGAGGAGAAGCCATTCGTTGAGACGAAGTGAAGACGGTGGGAAAGGTAAGAGCTAAACCATTCAAGGACAGTGCCTTGAAGGTTGAGGTGGGAGGACAAGCGGTGGAGTAGGATAGCGTGGTCGACCGTATCGAATGCTGCCGATAGGTCGAGGAGGACGAGGAGACAGAGGGAGCCCTGGTCACAGATGGTCAGGATATCATTGGTGACCTTGACCAGGGCAGTTTCTGTGCTATGAGCAGCACGGAAACCTGACTGAAGGGGTTCAAAAGAGAATGGGTGGAGAGGAAAGAGCGCAGTTGGGAGGCGACAACTCTTTCCAAGACCTTGGAGAGAAAGGGGAGGTTGGAGATGGGCCGGTAGCTTGATAGCTGCGACGCATCAAGGGAGGGTTTTTTCAGGGTGGGCGTGATGATGGCAGTTTTTAATGGAATGGGGACAGAGCCAGAGGAGAGGGACAGGTTTATGATGTCAGTGATGTGTGGGGCAAGAAAATGGAGCTGGGAGATAAGGAGTGGAGTGGGGATGGGGTCAAGGGAGCAGGTGGTTGGTTTTAGGGATAGGATGAGTTCAGTGACAGAGGGTGGGGAAACGGGTACGAAGGTGTGTAGGGGAGGATGGGTAGGAGTCGGAGTGTGGGAGGGAAGGGGTGGGTGGTGGGTGGAAGTTGGAGGGGAAGTGACCGCGGAGCGGATTCCCTTGATCTTGGATTCAAGGAAATCCAGCATCTCCTCGCAGTGAAGGTTGGAGGAGATGACCTGCGCGGGGTGGCGGGGGGACGGAGGAGTCGGGATGTGGTGGAAAACAGTAGCCTGGGGTTGTTCTTCGCCTCCAGGATTATCCTGGAGTAGAAGGACGACTTGGCCGAGGCTAGAGTGGAGCGGTAAATTTTGAGGAGGTCCAGCCAGATTTGTCGGTGGACCGTTAAGCCGGATTTGACAAAGGTGCGCTCAGCAGCCCGCACCTGGCATTTCAGTGAGCGGAGGTGGGTGGTGTACCAGGGGGAGGAGCGGGAGTAGGAGACAGTGCGGGAAGTGATGGGGGCAAGAGTATTGAGTGTGGAGGAGAGGATATTGTGGAGGAGGGAGAGAGGAGAAGAGGGGTCGGTGAGGGTTGAAGGCCAGAGGGAGAGGAGTTCAGAGGACTCCAAGGCATCGGTTAGAGATTGTGGGGGTAACTTCTTCCAAGGGCGGTAGAAGATGGTGGTGGGTCTGGTGGAGGTGGGGAGGGGGGTGGAGGTGGTGAAGGAGATGAAGTAGTGGTCAGAGATGGCCTTGTCGGTAATAGTGACATCCGAGACACTGAGGCCCCGGGTGATCACCAAATCGAGTGGGTGGCCGTGACTGTGAGTGGGGGAGTTTATGTGTAGGGAAAGGTTGAGTGAGGAGAGCAGGGAAGAGAAGTCTGTGGAGATGGAGCAGGAGGGGGTGAAGTGTAGGTTAAAGTCGCCCAGGATGATGAGGCGATCAGAGGAGAGGCAAAGAGATGTGAGGAGTGTTGAAATGTCAGAGATGAAGGTGGGAGAGGTTTTAGGGGGCCGGTAGAGGAGGAGGATTTTAAGGGAGAGGAATGAGGGGTGGGAGAGGGTGAGGTGCTCGAAGGAGGGGAAAGAGCCAGAGGAGTAGGGGGATAGGGCAAGTGGTGTCCTTGAGATAAGGGCAACACCACCGCCACGGCGGTTGGGGCGAGGTATGTGGTGGGAGGTGTAGCCGGGTGGCGTGGCCTCCGTGAGGGGGAAGGTGTCGCCTGGGGTGAGCCACGTTTCTGTCAAGGCCATGATATCCAGGTTCCTGATAACAGATCCAGATAACAACCAGGTTCCTTCTTAATGCTGGGTAAACAGAGGCGTGTGGATTAAGGAAACTTGCCCAATGTTTTGCCCTGCCAGAAATCCCATGAAAGCTTCTTATTTATATATACACACACAAGTGTGCAGATGGGTATTTCTGATTGTAAAACATTAAAACAACCCATGTTGATGAGGGGAGATTAGTGACAATGCTATCAAGTGAGCAGCAATTTTCTAATTTTTATTCTCGGATCCATACTTTTGAAGAATGAGTATTGTAGAAAAGTTCTCAGAAAAAGTGGTTAACTGACAAACATTAATAAGTCAATGTCCAGGTCTAGCTTTTTGTGTATATAAACTGTGATATTATTTATCATACCTGAGAACACAGAAATAGGTTCCAGAGGCTGCAGGGCTTATTGATGAAAAGAAGAAGGCATTTTGTCTTTGCTCAATTGCTTCCTTCGAGCCATGAATTTGCTGAACTCTTCCTTCGTCATCTTTCCGGTACCAGAGCAGCTCATCTGCATAGTGTGTGGAATTGGTGGAGGTATGACTACCAAGGTCACACGTCAACACGAAAGGATCTCCAGCAAATACATAGTAGTTTCTACTTGGTGCTCCTGTAAAACAAGCTGTATGGAAGATTCAATGAGATTTCCTGCTCACATAAATCCTCATACATAAAGAGTCATTGCATTGTTTCAAGAGCAGGATCTAGTGTTGCACATCATGACTATTAAAGAACAAAATCAACATGCCTCTTTACCTATGGTAGTTTCACTGTAATGGAAGGGTGGGTACTGTGGAAGGATTAGATGAAATGTGTCAAAGGGCCTTCTTCATGCAAACCTCTCATGATATTGTGATTTTGTGATCTCGTCTTTTTAAAACAGTCGATGGCTTGGTTCCATCTTTCCATGAATGCCTGCACTTCTCATGATTTTTTTAATATTCATGTAGGACTGATGGTGAGCAAAGGTGCTGACACTCTCTGCCTCTTTAGTGTAGCTGCACCTTTTAAATTTGGAAACCCTCAGATTTTGATTCCATGCATGACTAGTGACTAGACTTTGTGCGTATGCAAGCCTATGGAAGTTTTTCTTGCCTTGAGAACCAACACAAAGAGACAGTCTGGGAAGGTGGAGAATGGGGGGAAGCAGCAAAGAGAACCATGCACATTTACAGCACAGAAGAATGCCATTCAGCCTTATCTGTGCTGGCTCCCTCAAGAGCAATCCTTTCAGTCCCACTTTTTTAAGATATCTGTTTTTGATTTTGCCTCAACTGTTGCCAATTGTAGCGAGATTATTAATAATAATCTAAACCTTACATATGAAAAATGTAATTTCGCATCATCGAGATGTCTTAAATCAATGGTTGCACATAGTGATTAGAGCACTCGCCTTGCAAGCGAGAGGAACTGCATTCGATTCCCAGGTGGGGTGAAACCTTAGGCATATTTTCTTACTCCACATGCCTCTGATTACCTATCAGTAAGTAGGAACCTGGTTGTTAGTCGATTGGGGCCTTGGTTTAAAGTCTCATCAGAAGGATGGCACCAATAATTCAGCACACCCCCAGCACTGCATTGGAGTATCAATAATAATAATATGCACTTTGCGTCTTACAAGTTCAGTCATGGGGCTTGAACCCACATCCTTCTGGCTCAGAGGTGAAACTGCCACCAAATGAACCACAGGCTGGCGCACTTCAGTCAATGATCTGCACTCTAATGCATTTTATGTTACCAATGACACAAGATATGCAAGCCAGTTGTCCTTCCTCTCCTATCATAAAGACGTCAAAGCCCTGTGGTCACAATGTTTTTGTAACCACAGGACTTCCTAAAAGTTATAGTTGCTTTGGGTTTGTACAGAGTCTTGCAATCCTTTCTGCATCATCCACAGCAGAGTTTCACCATCTCATGCAAAGATAACTACAGTTGAAGTGGAGTCTCACATTAGCCCACTCACTATCTGTCACCTAAAGCAAACAGAATCTTACAATTTGGCAGTCACCCAGTGGTCTGGTGCTGTGTTCCTGTAAAGTAATAACCTTTAGAACAGTGTTGTCCAATACAGATTTAAGGCTGGCCACCAATGTACAGTCGAAGTACAGGTCATCACAGATTGGCCACACAATCCAGAATTCACGCTGTTTTTTTTCCAAAACCATTTTGATCCATTTTCCTGTTACCAATGTAGAAGTAACTATGTACAACAGACAAAATCCAATGCAACACAAGCAGCATACTAAATAAGCAATAACAACAAGATTACATTTGTATAACATCGGGAGGACATCCCAAGGTGCTGGACAGTGTACAGCATTTCAATAACAACAACAAAATTACATTTATAGAGCGCCTTTCATGTCCCAAAGCGCTGAACAGTCAAGTGTTGGGGCCCGAGCATGGGGGAGGGGTGGTGTAGGGTTGAGGAAGGCAGAGAAGTGGGAAGGAGACCAAAGGCACAGTCGAAGCGAAGGGTCTGGAGACCGGCCTTGAATGAAGCAAGGGAGGAAGCGAGGCAAAGGGACCGTGGAATGGAGTTCCAGAGTGTGGAGGCAGAGAGGCTGAAAGCCCAGCCACCAATGGTAGGGCGGGAGACATGGAGAAGCCCAGAGCCCGATGAGCGGAGGGAGCGGGAAGGATAGTAGGGAGTCAGCAGGTCAGAGGGGTAGGAAGGGACAAGGCCATGGATGGCCTTAAAGATGAGGACGAGGATCTTGGACTCGATCCTCTGGCGGATGGGGAGCCAGTGGAGTCGGGCGAGGGTTGCAGTGATGGGGTCACAGAGCCTGGTGCGTGAGAGTACACGAGCTGCAGAGTTCTAGATGATCTGCAGCTTGTGAAGGGAAGAGTTGGGAAGGCCGATAAGGAGGGAGTTCCCGTAATCGAGCCTTGAGGTGACGAATGCGTGGGTGAGGGTTTTGGCAGCCTGAGGGGTGAGGCAGTGGCGGAGGCAATTTCAGACCCGAGCTGGGAGTGAGGAAGGGAGAAGGGAGGGGAAAGAGGGTGACTGATGGCATGGTCGAAGAGGAGAGTTTTGAGGCGGGACATGAAGATGGCTAAGGAGGGGGCGAGGCGGAGTGACTGGGGGATGGAATTCCAGAAGTTGGGAGCAGAGTGGCTGAAGACTCTCCCGCCAATGGTGGGGTGGCTGGGTCGGGGGACGTGGAGCAGGCTGGAGCCGGCTGAATGGAGGGAGCGGTACAATGCAATACAATAATGATATGTAGGCATATATATTTAGTGAGTAACATTTGCAGGTCTCTAATTTCTCACACTACCGTCCCATCTCCAACCTACACTTCCTTGACAAAGTCCTGGAAAGCGTTGTTGCAGGTCAACTTCGGTCACACCTCTCCCTCCTCGAGCCCCTGCAGTCTGGTTTTCGCCTTTCACATAGCAAAGAGACGGTGATTATCAAAGTCACAAATGTCGATCTCTGTATCTGTGACCAGGGCTTTCTCTACCTCCTTGTCCTCCTGGATTTCTCTGCCGCATTTGACACAGTCTCCTCTCCTCCCTCATCTACCTTAGTGGGACCGCATTTGCATGGTTTGAGTCCCACTTAACCAACTGCCTCCATTTCAGCTTGGCGAATGGTACCTCCTACCCCCGCCCAGTGACCTGCGAGGTACCCCAGGGCTCCAACTTTGGCCATCTTCTATTCCTTATCAGGGCCTTAGGATGTCCTCCCGGCGTGAAAGGCGCCATACAAATGTAATTTTGTTGTTGTTGTTATCTATATGCTCCCTCTGTGCAATGTCATCCGCAGACATGGGGTAAACTTCCACATGTATGCGGATGACACACAAATCTAGTTTGCCTTCTCCAGTACCAATTCCAGGTCCGCCGATTTTCTATCAGCTTGTCTGGCAGGGACTGAATGAGTGTGTTCTGGATGAGTGCAAACTTCCTGCAGCTGAATGTGGACAAGAGGGAAGCCATACTCCTTGGCTCCCGTCAACGCCTTTACTCCTGCAAATCTGAATTCCTCAAACTCCCTCAGCTCTCCCTCAGACACACCAAATCAATGCGCAATCTAGGCGTGCGGTTCAACCCGCAGCTTCCTTCTTCCCCCTCATCTGGTCCCTGACCAGGACCGCCTTCTTTCACCTCTGCCACATTGCCCACTTCTGACCGTACCTTACCCCAAATGCAGCCGAAACTCTCGTGCATGGGTTTGTCACCTCGCACCTGGATTACTCAAACTCACTCCTCGCTGGTCTCCCCAGCTCCACTGTTCAAAAGATCCAGCTCATTCAGAACTCTGCCACCCGCATACTGACCCGGAACAAACTCCGTACACACATCTCACCAGTTCTGGCCAGACTCCACTGGTTCCCCATCACTGAATGGATCAACTTCAAGATCCTCACACGTGTTCAAATCTCTTCACTCTCTGGCATCTCCCTACCTCTCCGACCTCCTCACTTCCCAATCCACCACCAGGGGCCTCCGCTCGACTAGCACCGGCCTCCTGCTCGTCCCTCGCACCCTCCGCCCCATCAATCGAAGATCGTACTTTCAGCCACTATGCCGTGAAACTGGAACACTCTCCCTCAATCTCTCTGCCTTGCCTCTTCTCTCTTTGAGAGGAACTTGATTCACCCTTCTGCTCCACCCTCCTGATCCCATTCCCCAGCTCAGGTGTATATCCTTGACTGTCCAGCAGCTTGTGATGTCCTCCCAACGTGAAAGGCACTATACAAATGTAATTTGTTGTTGTTGTCTCATCCCCTTTCATGAGGTTACCTCCAATTCTATGTATTTTCATTTTGCTAAAAATCTCTCGTAGAAACCTTATCAAATGCCTTTGAAAGTCCATATAGATGATATCCATATACATTCCTTTACCACCATGTTAGTGATCTCCTCAAATAAGTAAACTAGATTAGTCAGACATGACACAAATCCATGATTGTACTCGTACTTAAATCAGCTCATACTCTCACTGAGTGGGAGGGAGAAGTATAAGTGTTTACTCCAGTTTTCCCTCTGAAAGGGAAAGAAAGGTGATGCACCCTTTCTGCCAGGAAATGACAGATAATGTAACTGCAAAATGGAGATAAATGTCAAGACATATTGTGGCAGGTACATTAGTAAACTATCTTTAGATCAAAACAGAATGGTGACACACCACGTGGTAAACCACTGTTGGGAAGTACAGTGAGCTGAGCCATAGATTGAATAGGTCTTTACTGTCTGAGATGCTTTCATTCTGTGCACAATAGTTTCATTTGAAATACAAAACTGAAACCCGTAACATTGCAAAGGAAGCCCCTAATTAACCCCTTCTTATAATATAACGCACATTTAGAAACCGTGATCAAACTGATTCTCCTCATTCACGCAGAATGTTAGCGGTATGTGTGTGTTTATAATAATAATAATATTGTATATAATAATAATATATTAGTTGGGGGAGTGTGGGGAGGAGAGTGCAGGAGAATATCTGTAAGGAAAACAAAAGTCGCTTGGAACACTCAGCAGGTCAGGCAGCATCTATGGAGAAACAAAAGTGAATCAACATTTCAGGTCCACGACCCTTCATCTGAACTGGGGCATGTAGGGAGGGAAAGAATTTTAAGGGCTTACAGAGAGTGGGGAGGTAGGGCAAGGAAGACAAAGGAGAAAATGGGGAAGAGAACAGGGATGATGGGTTAAAGAGGTGCTAATGATGCAAAACGAAGGGGGGGATTGCAACAAAGCAGGGGAATAGAAGTGCTAATACTGCAGAACAAAAGGTGGGTGGGGGGAAGGATTGCAACAAAACAGGCAGACCAGAGAGGGAAGAGGTGTGTCTGGGACCAAGATGATGTGATAATGGTCACAGAAGAGGGGGAGGGGAAAGCTGAGCTGTTATGGTCTGAAATTGTTGAAATTAATATTTAGGACAGAGGGCTGTAAGGTCCCTAATAGATAAGCGAGGTTCTGTTCCTTGAGCTTGTACTGTGGCTCATTGGAACAGCGTAGGAGATTGTGGATGGAGAGGTGTCTGTGTTTGGCTGGTTCATCATTAATGTGATGACTGAAAGGATGAGTCTGGACAGATTACTGAACAGGAGTGTAGAACTTGCTGAAGGCAACAATAAAACAAGATAAAAAGAGAAGAGAAAGTAGAAACCTAACCTGTCAAATGTGCTGTTAGCCAATAATACGGCATTAATGCTAGAGTCCCAAAAATCTGAGTTGTTGAATCCAAAAAAATTAGCATGAAAGAAAGTGGGAAAAAAAAGATGATGGGTAACTGATATGATAAAGGGAAGATATAGGGAAGATGTTTCCACTTGTGGGGGAGACCAAAACCAGGGACCATTGTGTGGACTGACCTATGAGGATAGGCTGAATAAACTAGGGTTATATTCTCTAGAGTACAGAAGAATTAAGGGAGATCTTATTGAAACATAAAAGATTCTTAAAGGGCTGGATAAAGTAAACACTGAGGGTCTGTTTCCCCTGGTAGGAGAATCTATAACCAGGGGTCACAGTCTTAAAATTAAGGGTCAGCCTTTTAGAACAGAGTTGAGGAAACATTTCTTCACTCAGAGGGTAGTGAATTTATGGAATTCACTACCCCAGAAGGCTGTAGATGCTCAGTCCTTGAACATCTTCAAGGCTGAGACTGATAGATTTTTTAAAAATAGAGGGATTAGAGGATATGGGGATAGGGCAGGTAATTAGAGTTAGCTCAGAAGATCAGCCATGATCTTATCGAATGGTGGGGCAGACTCGAGGGGCCGAAAGGCCTACTCCTGCTCCTAATTCTTATGTTCTTATGTAATATAAAATAGTCACAAATAGATCAAATAGGGAAGTTAGAAGAAATTTCTTCACACAGAGAGTAGTGGGAATGTGGAACACACTACCACAAGGAGTTGTTGAGACAAATAGCATAGATGTATTTAAGGGAAAGCTAGATAGGTACATGAGGGAGAAAGGAGTAGAAGGTTCTGCTTGAAGGCTTAGTTGAGGAAGGGCAGAAGGAGGCTCATGTGGAGCATAAATACCAGCACAGACCAGTTGGGCCGAATGGCCTGTTTCTGTGCTGTATATTCTAATGTATTCTAATGTATAATGGTAGGTCACATTGCAGAGAGGGCCAGAAGATCACAAATCAGGGCTGTCACCCAGAAGTGACATTGAGTGGGATAATATTCTTGCATTGATGGGAGAGTGTAAATAGGGCAATCCTTTAGCAATGAAATTCAAGACTGATTCTGGGGCTTGACTTATGAACATTCATAGTAAGTACTTAAGGTAGGTGCAAATTGTGAGATTTCCATATATTTGTAAACATAAAATCTGGAATTGACCCAGTAGAAATCCATTCAAATTTCAACTTCACAGATATCGGAGCTGAATTCGGCATCTGAGCGGAGTTTCAGAGAGTCTGCCCATGATGCATCCAGAATAAACTATTTATACATTAGACAGGCAAGCAACAACAACTTTTATTTATATCGAGCCCTTCATGATGTGTAGCAAATTGGAGGCAGGCAGACGGTGACTTTGTTATGAAGCGTCTCGCTATAGTGAGTGCAATTATAATGCTAGCTATCTGTATATGCCCACTGAACACAGGCAGTTGGCTAGCAATGACCTCTCTGGCCAGCATTTCTAGTGCTAGAAATGCTCATGAGATTGCCCGTGATTGACCGGTCAGCGTCCCCTGCTCTCTCGCCAATTCCGTCACTTCTGTGGCAACCAGACAACCTGGGAACGGGACTGGTAGTTGTTTTTGTGGACCTTTTATAACCTATTATAATTTATGGACTCAACATATCACATTATATTAGTGTCACTCTACAGATAAACACACACACACAGCTTCTCCAATTCAACTAGTGACCAATTTGTAGAGGTTGATAAATGCAGTTTCATCAGGTTTAAGAACTGATTAAACACAATGCTTACTTCCATGGGAAAACTTTTGAAGCAAGTATAAAACATGTAACGATATCTGACCTGTGTGATCCAGAGGCTGTGCGCTGAGGTTTCTACCTGTCGTTTCTGATATGGTGAAGGCCAACAAAATCATCCACAAATTCCCAATCATCCTGCGTGCTGTGTCAAAAGAGGAACAGAAAGCAATATGTACATTCAGTTGTGAAAGGCAATCATGATTTAAGGGTCTATTTTCTTCCTCTTTCCTTTTGAATTGTACAAAAGTTATGGTTGAAACTGCATTGTGCCTCAACAGCAATCCATTTGGGTCCCATTTACCTGCCCTGACCGCATCTGCCTGTAACTAACTCTTTTAAAGGTATTGAAGGCCAGTATGGATTCTGCCTCAAGGGCAGGGCATTCTATATCGTAACATTCTATTTCGTACATGAAAAAAATTCTCCTAATCTCCCCATTTCCTCACTTACTATCTTAAATTGATGCTGAGATGATTCTCTCAGATCAGAGATATGGTATGCGAGTAATTGGTTTTCCGTTTCACTGTCCCCTCAATCTGAAGGTGACCAGTAGAAATAATAATAGAGGTATTAAAGAGTATGGGGAAAGAGTAGAGAATTGGGATTGGATGCAAGAGTTGGTGGGTGGGTAGAAAGAATAGAAGAGAGAAATAGGTGGATTGGCGGCTTGTGTGAAGAATAAACACTAGAACAAACTATTTGGGCCAAATGGCCTGTTTCTGTGACATATCATTCTATGTAATTCAATTTTATTCTTGGAGGAGTTCTTAAGGTGACTGGAGTCTGTTTGGCAGCTTCCCACACATAAAGTGAACCTGTTGTGTTTTTTTCTCCACTTTCCCTCCCCATCCCCACTTATTTAAATAAGGTTTAAACCCTCGTGAATGGTTCACTACTGGTTATTCTTTCAATGTGAGCCTAGAGGAAAGATTTTTTTATCTGTCTTAAGGAAGAATTTTTTTTTGTCAGCGGGTGTTTTGACACATGTGGAAACCCATCGCTATGTTTAACAGTATCCAAATCAAACTGAGAGTTCCAAGCTTCCCAATTACATGGAAATCCTTGGGTACTGAAATGGAATGCACACATCCCCTGGAGGGATGCATCCTCTTTATTTAATTCCGCAGAGTAATTAGGCACAGATTGGCAAGAACCAAGCCTTGGGAAACTCGTGCAGTGAAATTGCAAAATATACTTGTTTCTTACCCTTTTCCTGGAGTCTCAGAATGCCGACTGAATTCCCCTGTGAATTTTGGGGAAAATTGATCCCAAGGTCATCTTCAATAACTTTATTCAAGTTGGCTTTGAGAATTAATGTGTATCCTTCGAGTGTGTTTTCAACAGTCCTTGAGACAATACAGACAAACTGCATTTAATGTAAAAATGAAGATACAAAATGAAATAGATTTTGCCGAGATAATGTAACAAAAATATTGACTGTTCAGACCGGGGAATTTAAGCGTTATAATCTGTTGCGACATTTACTGACCTTTGGAGAGTCATATTTCCAAAGGTCAGTAAATTTAGATAAGCAGATAATACTGTTTTTCAGTATTAATGATGTACTGTAGCTTACCAAAGATGATTTAACAAACAATATATTCAATTTTTAATTCAGTGACATATCAATTTTGCAAAGTGAAATAAATATAAATATAATTTCATTCTACTTTCAAAGTAATATCAGAAAGAATGAAGCCAATATCAATATTACCAACATTGTTGCTTAATATGTGTTCTACAGCACTCTGGGACAGTATCTTACATGAAGGATGCTACATAAGTGCAAATTGCATTTAAAATAAAATGCATTCAAGGATCCTACATAAATTGACATTGACACAATATTAACTTTTCCAATATAAAATTTCCAGTCTGAAATTACATGGGTTACAACAAACTCATGTTTACAGAAAGACATTTCTATAGCACCTTATAACATTGAAGCATATCAAAACATTATTAAGAATCTTATCAAGTGTAATGACTTTATCTGTCAGCAAACATGGCATTCAATTTGTGCAAACAAGTCCCACAAAAGTAAATGATAATTTCATCTGGAGGATTGTGGGCAGGTCCCGGTCCCTTCTCCTTGTGAATAGTGCCTAGGATCATTACAATCCATTTGAAGATCAGGCAGAGGGAACCGTAGTTTAACATCTCATCCAAAGGTCAAATGCAATGCTCCCCCAGTACTACACTGGAGAGTTAGGCTTGACTATGAGTTCATCTCCCAGGGTGGGTCTTCTTCTGTAGCGTATTGGTTAGAGCACTCGCCTTGCGAGAGGACCTGGGTTCGATTCCCGGGTAGGAGGAAAATTTAGGCAAATTTCCTTACTCCACACACCACTGTTTATCTAACAGTAAGTAGGAACCTAGTTGTTAGTCGATTGGCAGATTGCTTTCTGGGGGTAATAATGCCTCAAAAAAANCAGCCTTGGATTGGTCATTCAATCCATGGTTGTTGGTAGGTCACTGCTGTGCCCAATTGGCTGCTGCATTTATCCCACAAAATACAGTCAATTTATTTTACAGAATATTCTGTGAAGTACTTTAGACATTTCAATGATGTGATAAGGTGCTATATCAAATGCAAGGATCATTATTATAACCATCACTGACTGATCCAGAGGTGAAAGTGTGATTAACTAAGGCAAGATGACATTGTTTATATAGAATGGAATGCCAGATTAAGATCTGCTCTGAGACCCTGAATTACCCAGCTGCTTTTACCTTCATTATTGCAAAAAACTTTAAGTTTGGGTTAAATCCCACCTGTCTCCTGCTGCTTCATTCCAGCCACTTTTTTTTCTTTAAAAAACTACATATTTGAACTTTTTCTTAAATATTGCAAAATTCAAAAAGGATTGATTGGCTTTTTTCAGAAAGAGTGCTCAATCACAGATTAAGTTTTTTTTTGGTGGGGGTGTCGGCTGGCCGCCTGAAACATATGGAAACTCATCAGCATGGTTAAGATTAACCAAATCAAACAGAATTCTCTGCATCCCACCTATATATGGAAATTCCCAAGATATTTATTGGAATGGAATGTGCACTCTCTCCTTGGAAAGATGCATTCAGTTTACATAATTCCAGGGAATATTAAGCACAGTTTGGCAAGAGCCAAGGTTTGGAGGTCCCAGAGAGTAAGTATGTCGGTGTACTACTGGAGTTTAACCAACTAAATCTTCATCACTTTCCATTGAGAGTTAGGACAAGCAGCTCCACCAATTAGGACTTGGGTTTGCAAGATTAACAAGAACTGATTGGAAAGAATCCCTGCTCCCCCAGGTCAAGGTTGGAAGTAATTGCAGACAGCAAGGAGGAAGTGAGCCAATGCACTTGGACCAATTGGAACTCTCCCCCCACTATTATCTGAGTTAAAACGAGCCAACTTGGCAAAGTTCAGGAATTAAACTTCAGAATTTCCAATCTATATAATTGTACAACAGTCACAGACCAAGCAGTACTCCAAGCCTAATAGCATTACACTATATTTAAAGGGCACACATTTTTTGAGCAATCTTTTCCCCCAAAATTATCCCTTTATTAATACTCTCTGGAATTAGGTAAACAGGGTGCTTTTGTCTGGGGAGAGAGTACAAATTCCAAACACGGGAATTTCCATATGTAGGTGGCATGAATGGACTTGTTTGGATACTCTTAAGCATAGTAATGTGTTTCCACATGTGTCAGACACATGACCTGGTCCAATATAAAAGTGGGGCCACAATTTTTCTGCATAATCCACTACAAAACCCCCACCCCTCTGCTACAAACACCCCCCTGCTACAAACAGCCCCCGCTACAAACACCCCCCCACTACAAACAGCCCACCCTCCGCTACAAACACCCTCCCGCTACAAACACACCGTCCTCCGCTACAAACACCCACCCCCACCCACTGCAACCACTCTCCCTCCGCTACAAACACCTCCCCACTACAAACACCCCTCCCTCCGCTACAAACACCCACCCCCCGCTACAAACACCACCCCCTCCACTACAAACCCCACCCCCACCCGCTACAAACACCCACCCCACTCCACTACAAACACCCCACCCCCTCAACTACAAACATTCCCCCACTACCCACCACAAACACAAGCAATAAAGTGAAAAAATGTAGGTTGGCAAGAAAACATACCTCTCAATAGCACCAATCATCCCTACAAATTTCCGCAAAATTTGGCGAATCTGAAATAGCCCCGTAATTTTTGGCAAATATTTCAACAATTTTTGGCAAATATTTCTGTAATTTTCTATTGGCCCTGCACATTATCCCCCCCCAAATTTCTTGTCCATGTTATTTCATGTTATGTTGTTTGTAGCAGAGGAGGTGGTGTAAAGGAGGGGATGGTGTTTCCATATTTTTTCGCCCACAAATATACAGTCAATTCACTTTACAGTCTATTCTGTGAAACACTTTAATGACGTCTAGAAGATGTGAAAAGCGCTATATTAAATGCAAGAATTATTATTATTATTGTCACTAAGGTAGTGGCTAAATGACAATAGAATTTGAAAATAAAATATCCCCATAAATATCATTTACATTAAAGCAAAATGAAGCTCTCTGCTTAGTTAATAGCTCTGAAATCATATATATACGGAAGCCTTTCACATAAAATGGTATTGCTTTTATGAAACATATCTAGCAACCATTTTTTCTGTTTGGGAAGCAATGAGCATTGGAAAAGCGTGGATCAGTTTTGTAACACATGGAATTAATGCAACAATATATTTCAACATAAATGTAAATCATTTTTGATATTGTTAAAAAAAGTTAATAAACACTTGCTCAAGAAGATAATCTCACTTTAAAAAATAATCCTTAAATTGACATAATGTGTTCACTATCACCATAACATCAATTTTAACTTACAAAGATGTTTTTAAAAAAAATTTAAACAGAAAGGCAATGCTGGTCTCTTTGTTATTCTATGCAACTGACATCTACTATATATAATGTTTTAAAATAAACTTGCCTTTGGTCTACAGGATATACAATACAACTTACATTTATATAGTGCCTTTCAAGTTAAGAGGATGTCCCAAAGTGCTTCTCACCAGAGAATGGATCATCTGGAAATATAGCTGAGCTCATTATCTGCAAATCTTCAGTACATGAAGACATTTCTTTTCCCCTTTGTTTGAAGCGCTGACTCTTCAAGTAACTCATCCATGTCAATTTCCTTTACACAAACATGTATTTTAATCCGTAAATTTCCACCCCCACACCCACAGTAAATGTGGTTTGTTTCTTTCCATTCTGTTTCTGAGAACAGATAGGGTTTGAGACATTAGTGACTCTGAATTTATTCACTACCTTTACCGCATTCACAAGTCTCTCTTATCAGATGCGCTCTGAGATGTTGAACTTGAAAAGCATTTTCAATGTATATGTGCCAGTTGTTGTAAAACTTAAATGTTCTCCTTCACTGGTGAAACCGAGTAAAAAAATAATCACACGGAAATGAAAGGAAAACAAAAAATAGTTTGTCATGATCAATTCTTCAATACTACAAATATGAAATATTGTGTATATATAATTCTGGAAGAGGTGACATTACACCATAATGGAGTGCAAAATGTCTTATTAGAGGAAATTCACCTATTGATACAGTCATTACAGTTTACAGTAAAATCCTATGAAGTGTTTTGAGATGTTTTGATGATGTAATAAAGGGCTATATCAAATTGAAGGATTATTATTGTAATTAATATAATGAACCCTGCGCTCTCCAAAAATGGCTAAAAATGAATTTCACAAGTAACACTGACCTTCTGCGGGCTTCTGTGCAGGCTGTTGCCACCTGACTTGTATCAATGGAATTGACTCCTTGAGTTCTAAGATAGAGTAAGGAATCGGAAAGTCTCAATGTCCTTGAACTGTCTATCCATGGAATCCTGTAGCTCAATGGTTGAGCACTTGCCTCGATTCCCGGGAGGGCGAAACCTTGGGCAAGTTTCCTTTCTTCACACGCCTGCTTATAATCTCATGAAAAAAAACAATAATAAATTGATCACTTCAATCCACAACCGTTTGTGGGACACTGCTGTGCGCAATCGGCTGTTGCGTTTTGCCCACAAATATACAGTCCTGTAGCTCAGTGGTTAGAGCACTCGCTTTGCAAGTGAGAGACCTGAGTTCAATTCCAGGCAGGGCGAAACCTTGGGCAAGTTTCCTTACTCCACACGCCTAATAATAATCCCTCCAAAAAACCAAAAACAATAATTAAATTGGTCATTTTCAATCTACGACTGTTTGTGGGACATTGCTGTGCGCAATTGGCTGCCGCGTTCGCCCACAAATATACAGTCAATTCACTTTACAGTGTGTTCTGTGAAGCGCTTTGGGACGTCCTCCTGACGTGAAAAGCGCTATATCAAATGCAAGGATTATTATTATTATTATTATTACAATCAATTCACTTTACAGTATATTCTGTGAAGTGCTTTGGGACGGCTAGACAATGTGAAAAGTGCTATATCAAATGCAAGGATTATTATTATTTATCACATATATATTATGATTTAAGGAATAAAGCAAATTGTATCTCTGTATTCCTTAATCTGCATTGTAGGAAAATGGAAAATGTCTTGACCTGAAAAAGTAAACAATGAATATCTATAATGGTGTTGCTTCACTTGAAGCAGGGAACAGAGAAGTATCAGCAGGCTCTGTAGAGTATAAACGTCAGCAGAAACTAGTTGGTCTTTTTTTGTGCTGTAATTTTTTAATGTAATTCTATTATTATGTTTTCTCTGTTTCCCTACATGTGTTCACAGGGAATTTCTCCTTCCACGTATATACATGGTGGAGTCCTGTAGCTCAGTGGTTAGCGCACTCGCCTCACTAGTGAGAGACCTGGGTTTGATTCCCGGCAGGGCAAAATATTGGGCAAGTTTCTTTAGTCCACATGTCTCTGTTTACCTAGAGGTAAGTAGGAAACCCAGTTGTTGATTGATTGGTGGATCGCTTTTCTGGGGGTAATAATTCTTTAAAAAAATAAATTGGTGCCTCAATCCACAACTGTTGTGCGACACTGCTGTGTGCAATTGGCTTCTGCATTTCCCCACAAATTATACAGTCAATTCACTTCACAGTATATTCTGTGAAGTGCTTTGAGATGTCTCGGAGATGTGATAAGGCGCTATGTCAAATGCAAGGGTTATTATCATACTCTACTTCCACCTTAATTTCCAATAAACTCACAGATTCTAACTGATATCTTCTGTCACAGCAACCACTGATTGTAATGCAACATACTGGCTTGTTGGACATAGGCCTTCAAACCTGGACCTGACAGCAAAACAAATGACAATGTCATATAATAAAGAATACCATAAGAATTCTCATCGACTTGTGGGAACTCTGCTCTGAAAGTAAATTGAATCAGACCAGATTTCTCATGGCTTACTGTGATGTACTTCCGGTTATAACAACAACCATGAGTGATGAGTGATGTACTTCTAGTTACAATAACAATCACAGTTAGCCATGTGAAGCACTTTGAGACATCTTCCTGATGTGAAAGGCATTATATGAATGTAAAGCGTTGTTTTTAAATAAGCTATCAGTTGACGTCAGAACTCCAAAGTCAGTGGGAGCCAAATGTAAACATGAATCTTACAGCAATTCATTACTGTAGTATTAACAATGCAAAAACAATTAGATCAGTAGTGAAACTATAGTACACGTAAAACAATTAAGCCATAGATAAAAAGTACAGTACAGTATAATATCACTCCCGGTAATTCCAGACAAATAATAGAAGCTTTAAATATCGGGAATACTTTCCCTACTATTTTGCTGCACCAAACTCTGCCCTTTTCCTCAGGTACTAAACGACTACTGAATCCTAAAGTCTTCTTTTTACAACCACTATAAAAGCTGTAAATGGTAATAATCCCAGTAACCATTCCTGAAGTAAACATTATTCCAAGGGAGAACATTTGTTACTGACAGCTTTTGAACATCAGCAGTTCTGAACTCTTAAACAATCCTCCAACTATTGTACTATTGGGAGTCATCTAAATTTGTTAGCCTTCGAAATTTTATGATTTACTTTATATTACCCGTCAGGATCAAAACTACTAAATTTATCTCTAAATTTAGTGGTCTATCATTATATCACTGCTGTTAGAACTTTATAGGAATATAGAAAGTTTAAAGAAACAGCAAGCATACCATTCAGTTGAAATCAAAACCAAAATATGTTGGTTTGGTATCATCAGGAAATCTTCTCTGTGACGAAGGATTGTTAAACAAATAAGAGGAAACTATGACTTGTGGGTGGAGAAAAGTATGTTAAATATTAACCCTTTAATTTGCATAGGTTTAACCAAGCTAAAATGTTGGATTGCATTGCTCCCTATTGTCTCGTGCACTGCTAATAGCGACGAATCGTATCTACTACAAACAGATGTCATCCAATAGAAATTTTAGCAAATCATTCCAACTATGAGTTAGCAGCAGAATGGAAAATAGACACCTAAAGATACCATCTTAAAGAATACAATAACTGATGTAGAGAATGTGCAATATCCGGTCAGGAAATGGGACTTGACTCGTACTTCAAACCGTACATGGTTTATATAGAGTTGAAGAAAAAAGCAGTATTTTTCAGGGCAACAGCTTGTTCATTTCCTGTTTGAAGCTTTCCTAATACCATCTGCTGACACATTTTTCTGTTCAGGCAACTGGTGTTATTTAGAGATGTTACTGGAATTGGCTTGCTCAATAGGCTGCCCTCAACCACTGCTGTTATTTTACTTCAGTTTCCTAATCCAAAGTTAACATCATTCACATAATTGAGCTGTGAGGAAGGAAGATGAGCTCTCAAGTAAACAACAAGTAAAAAGCCGGACAACATTGCAACCACGATAACAATTTAGATTTATAAAGCGTCTTTTGAGTCAGAACGATGTCTCAAAGTGCTTCACAGAGATAACTGGGAGACCTAGCTGAAGGTGATTGAAAATATGGTTAAAAAGATAGAAGGATCTTATGGTAGGTTTTGAAGGCAAGGATGGAGAGGTAAGGTGGACGGACTCTTGGATGAAGTTAAAGTTTGCCCATTAATGATTGGGAAGATCGGGAGGGGCACATAAAGCAGGCCTATGTTTGTTGAGTGGAAAGTTGATAGGGTTGAAGGAGGTTTGCAGAGGTAGGGCGGGATGCGGCCTTTAAGGGATTTGAATGTGAGAACAAGATCTTGAATTTGATCTGCTGAGGGTTGGGGAGTCAATGGAACCAAGTGTGGATGGGGTGTTGAGCTTGCAGAGTTTGGTGTCGGAGGGAACATGGACTGCCGAGTTCTGGATAGTCTGCAATTTTATTAGGGAGTAGCTGGGGAGTCCAATGAGAGGGTATTGGAATAGTCAAGCTGGACATACTGAAGGTGTGAATGAGGGTCTCAGCAGCCTGAGGGGAGAACTGGTGGAGGATGTCAATGATGTTGCCGAGGTGAGGGACAGCTGACCAAGTGGGAGCCCAGATGTTACGCTGATGTTGCAACTTTTATTTGAAGTGACTATTATAACAGAGACTTTGTAACCTCCATCCGTTCAGTAGGTAGAGGCATGCTTGCACCATTGTCATTCCTCAAACATGCCTTACTTAATACTAAATGTACCATAAGAGCAGTCACAATCTACATCTACCAGCAGCTCAAGAGACAAGGACGTAGAATTTCTTAACTTGCACAGTCTTTCTTCTAAGTGCTTTTTAAAACCAGAGTTTGGTTATTTGCTGCTTTAAGGTAACTAAACTAAATAATAATAATCCTTGCATTTGATATAGCGCCTTATCACATCTTCTAGACGTCTCAAAGGGCTTCAGAGTATACTGTAAAGTGAATTGAGTGTATATTTTGTGGGCAAAATTTGTTATTTTTTAATAACAAATGTTCAAGGCAAATTTCCAAGCTTCTCATGTTCATCATTTAAGAGATTCCAACAAGTTTTATGTTTTTGAATCTTGTAAGTAAAACATATGTCCATTGAGGGTGCCAGACCCATTCCCAGAGGAAACAGTTTCTCCCTATCTAATCAAAACCCCTAATAATTTTGAACACCTCTATTAATTCCTCCCTTAACCTTCTCTGCTCTAAGGAAGACTCTCTTGCCTCTTCACATAACTGATGTCCCTCATCCTGGTTATCATTCTGGTTAATCTCTTTTGCAACATCTCCAAGGTTTTACATCCTTCCTAAAGTGTGGTTCCCAGAATTGCACTCAATGAGGCCTAACCAGTGATTTAGAAGGGTTTAGCAGAAGTTCCTTGCTTGTACTCTATACCTCTATTATTTCCCATATGCTTTTTTAACAGCCTTGTCAACTTGTCCCATCACCTTCAAAGATTTGTGTACGTGAACCCCAGGTCTCTATTTTTCCTGTGCGATTAATAGTTCAGTGGATAAAAAGACGGTATAGTTTAGTCTTGAGTGAATGAAGCTAGGAAACTGAAAAAAAACTTTGCAATTGATATAACTTCTTTCACATCAGGAGGCTGTCTGAAAGTACTTCACAGGATTTACTGTAAAATGCAGTTACTGTCTATTTGTAGACTAACAGGCTAGAGAAGGTCCTTTAAAAGACTAAAGAGGACAAATGGCACCATCCCAAGAAAATAAAAAACTCAGAAGAAGCTAAAAATTACATTGATTGAGGTTGAGATGCTGAGTTGAAAAGCTCATTGTAAAAGCAGAGAGATGTATTCTTTAACGCTGGTATTGCTTATCTTCCTGACAAATAAAACAACAGCAGATTAATAATAATAATAATTCTTGCATTTGATATCGCGCCTTATTTCGTCACTGAGACATCTCAAAGCGTTTCACAGGATATACTATAAAATTGATTGACTTTGTATTTGGCATCTCAAAGTACATTACAGAGACTGAATGGGAGCACAGGGTAGGAGATAAGATAGAGGGGTAGAAGGGGCAGATTGCAACCAAAGTTGCAATTAAAGAGAAAAGTTATTTTTTAGACAGGTTTTGAAGAGTGGGGGGTGTGCAGAGAGGGAGTGAGATGAAGAGAATCCAGAAGAGAATCTCATAGAATGTGAGCAAAATGGCTAAAAGTTCACCCATCGATTGTGCATGGGTTATATAATATAAATAATAATTATACTTGCATTTGATATAGTGCTTTTCATATCTTCGAGACGTCTCAAAAGGTTTCACAGAATATCCTGTTAAGTGAATTGACTGCATATTTGTGGGCAAAATGCGGCAGCCAATTGCGCACAGCAGTGTCCCACAAACAGTCGTGGATTGAAGTGACCAATTTATAATTGTTTTTTTTTCTCGAGGGATTATTATCAGGCGTGTTGATTAAGGAAACTTACCCAAGGTTTCGTCCTGCAGGGAATCAAATCCAGGTCTCTCTTCGAGATTGAAGGAGGCCGGGACATGAAGTCGGCCAGAATGTGAAATGGAGGGAGTGAGCAGATGAATAATGTAACCATTGCCTACAGGAGCTCCAAAGCTTCATTTTGTCAGTATAACCAGTACATGAACTTTAAAACATTAACGTGTAACATAAATAGTTTCCTCAAAGCCATTACATGGACTGTTGTATACCTGTGTTGAACATGTTGGTGAATCTTAATTCTGTTATTTTTTCTTAAATGACCATTTTCCACACACACCTATTAAAATCCAAATGTCATTTAAAACCTTAGTTAACTGACGACGAGTTCTTTATTCAGCAGTTTTCCTCAGTTCGGTCACCATTCTCAAACCCAGAAGATGTCTTTTCACACCACTTTGAATCCTGCAAAACTACAAATATTTTCTGAATAATTGTTTCAATTGATTCTTTTGCATTATTGACATCCCTTTCGTTTCTAACCTTCTAACTTTCCTGTTGGTTCTTTTTATCACTTGACACCAATAGCACATTACATCACACACAATTAGGATATTAATAAACTGTTTAGTAGCAAATATTTTAATTGACAGAGTTTACAATAGGTAATCCCCATCTCTTAACAATTCTTTCACCCTTTGCTGTGCTTTCCCACTTATACACTCACTAAGTGAAAATCACTAAGTGTGTATCTTTCGGATTCAACAATTTAGTTAAGGTCAATATTAGCGGTGTGATTGGAATTGTGAAGTTTGGTATGAAACCTTTTATGTCAATTGATTGTTCAGAATGTATATTTTGCTTTGAGTAGGATGAATCAAGACAGGAACAATTTTAGGGGACCCTATTGGTGTGAAGCTAAATTAAGTGAAAAGTTCAGCTGCATCAGACAAACTAAATTGCCATCCTAGGTGTAATTTGTCTCTCGAGTGCACACACAATACTGTCCTTGCATATTGTATGTGACTTTAGTCCGAATCCCTTTCGATTTAATTAGTTTTATTGGACATTGTTCCAACATATCCAACACATTGTTTGAGGGATTCTCTTTGGATATTCCAAAAACGCCCTCATATCCGTCAAACACATCACATCAACACAGATATCGATGTCTCATTTTGACACAACATTCCAAATTAGGATCACACCATACTCTATCCTTTTTTTAAAAAGCAATTTAGGTAATTTAACACATTGTTTATAAATGTCTCCTTCTAGAGCTCCTACAGAATGTAGTTTAGCTGAGTGTAGATGTTTATATCTAAATAAATCAATAGTATCCCCCCCTATTACTTATTTTAGTATGCATTTACTTGATCGCTTGTTTCTTAATCTTTCCACTTTAACTGCTATCCTTCATTCAGTTGTGTTACTTTTTCTTTTTCCATTGTCTAATGGTTGGTGATTCTGGTTGTTCAAACCGCTTATTCAATTCTCCATCAGTTAAACTGTAGTAAACTAATTTTAGTAGAAGTCCTAGATCTTTTACACATCGACTTTTAGAAGGAAGATAGGAAGAAATTGCACAGAGATTAATGTTTTACCTCTAGTTAGTTATGCTCTTATTTTGAACAAACTTAGTACGTGGATTATAAAAATAGTGGAAAGTGCAAGAGGTCCTGGACTTGCTTCTTCGTATACAAAATAGATAGCATTCCCAATGCCCCTTGCCTCCGAGCACCCCTCTTATGCTTTCTGCATCACCCACTCCTTCCGCCACAGCTGCTACCACTGACCCCACCCCACACTCCTTTGTCCCCATTTCTCCTTCTTCCATTTCAATCATCACCAGGATGAAGTCCACCATACGCTACAACAAAGCTCCTGCCTCCCTTGCAGCCTTCCAAGCTCATCTCAAGACCTTCCTCTTTGACTGTGTCTTTGGTCATCCGTCTACCCCCAACCTCCCTGCCTTCCACCCCTCCTGAACCCAACCCCCAGCTCAGATGCAAATCATTGACTGTCCAGTACTTTGGGACATCCTCCTGATGTGAAAGGCATTATACAAATCTAATTTGTTGTTATAAAAATTATTTTTTTCATACCATTCTGTCAGTACCATTGTATTATAGCAACAGTAATAATAATCCTTACATTTGGTATATTGTCTTTCATGTTAGGATGATGTCTCAGTGCTCTTCACAGGATATATTTTATAGTGATTGTGTATTTGCAGGTGAATACGGGAGCTAGTTTGCACATAGCAATCACCCACAAATAGCCATGATGTGAATGGCCAATTTTATTGGGGGTTGTTGCCCAGAACAACACAAGGTACTCTCTTCTCTTTTCCAGAATTATTGTGGGATCTGTATATGAAAGTTTGCATGCATATTCCCATTCTTCTGCTTTTCATTTTTTAAATATTTTCATGTTTAGAGCTCTTTTAAAGTATAACAGCTTATTTTTTGTATGTTGTAATAGTGGCAATTCTACAAGCCAAAGCTTCTGCTTATATTACTATAAAGAACTTCCCTTGTAAATCAGTATCCTGTTTTGAAATGATGTGGTAAGAATCTTAGGGATGTAATGACAGAAAATTAAATTATACAAAATCAAACCCACATTATAAGCAACACAAATAATATCTTTTATTGTGAACAATAAGGACTGGAGAAAGGATGAATTAAAATGATTTGCAATAATATGCTACATTTTCACACTTACAAAAGAGCAATAGCAAAAATCCTTTCCAAAGGAAAACTTTAATATAACCAAACTATTAACAACACAGATAAATCAATTAATATTCCAATCTTCTGACCTATCCAAGGACAGGAACCTTAAGGCAGTGTCAAGAGTTTGACTGGAACTGGTGTAACAGTTCCTTGTCTGTCATGTTTCTCTCTTTGACATTTATTTTGGTCAGCTGTGTGTTTGACACCTGCAGAAATTCATAGCCATGCTCAACATCCAAACAAGATTGTGAGTTCCACATATGTATGCTGCCTACACTTGGAAATTTTCCTTAGATCTGGAATTTGCACTTTCTCCCCGCCTACCTAATTCCAGAGAGTATTAGACTTTTTAATACTATTATTGTTACAAAAGAATCACCCACAGCTACAGAAGCAATCAAACCTGCAATTTGTAAAGGGTTTTGAGCTGGATTCCTTTAACCAAGCATTGCTTTTCTAAATACAAGCTGTTGATTAATTGTTACACTGCATCCAACCAGAGCCAGTAGCTGAATGCATGTCCTCACTCTTCCACTGTTCTCATTGCTGCCTGAAATTCTGAGATGATCCCCATTTTAGTGATGACTCACTTTGAATGTGCGGTGGCAGAATCCAGTTAGTGAGTTGCCATTGAACATTACCAGTAAAGTCTTGTCAGATATAGAAATGGTGAAAAAATACTGCTTGTCAGTTGAAAATAACTATTTACACTATATCTGTCTGCATATTATATGCAGACTAAAAGATGTAAAGTGTACACAAGGTTCAAGGTATCTACCATGTCGTGTGTGTCAGCTTTTCAGGGTTTCAGTTTGTGGTATTCCTGCCTCTAAGTCATGCTGGTGTGGCATTCTAGAGATATTGAGCTAAGATTTTGAGCTTATTTTTGGAAGTTTTGTCCTTTGGATGAGAAGGTAAAATGAGGTTCTTTCTGTCAGACCAGGTGGACTTTAAAGGTCCCACCTAAAATTGATCGTTCATTTGATCATGGCCGTTTATGGAACATTGCTTGTAGAAATTAGCTGCCACATTAATCTTCAAATACAGTCAATAAACTTTACAGTAAATCCTGTGAAGCATTTGGAAATGTCCTCCAGACATGAGAGGCGCTATATCAAATACAAGGATCATTATCTTTATTATTAATGATAATAATGTTATCACTGTTATTGAAGGAACAATAACAAAATTAAGTCTTTATGAATCATTGTCTATATTTTCGAAATATCAAACTCTGCTGTTCAACACTCAATAAATGGATCTTCCATGTTGTGAAAATTGAAATGATTTCCCACGTTTTGTTGGCATAAGGTATCTTATTTTCTTCCAGAAGTACGAATTATGTGAGAGAGACATAGATTTTTTCCACTTCACGGCCCTGTTTGATCTTAGGACAAGCTGAAGTGACTCTGGCAATACTGTAATATTCCTTATAGGATTATATTCAATGAGTATTATTTTTATGACACTTTCAACCAAAGCTTGATGCAGTCCTGTCATCAGTTCATAGATGGTACTGTCCTTCTCTGTCACCGATTCATCACAGAGTATTATGATTAATCTTCGGCATTTGTTAATGTTGGAAAGTACATTTTCCACACAAGCTGAAAGTCAAAGCAATTATATTTTTAGAAGATCACTTAACTTTCAGTTCAATGGGTTGCACTTGGAAAATATCTAACGGCAGCCAACCTCCACAGAAATTTATAGCAGAATATAGTGAATAAGCTAATTTCTGTTGGGCGTGCTCGGAAAGTGAGGCTGGCAGGAGTCGTCTATACATGTGCATGGGTCTACAATTTATTATTTTTTTCCATTTCATGCCCGGTTCAGCTAGGTATAAATTCCGGATACCCGGAGGCCAGAAAACTAAGGATTTATTGTACATTCAGCTTTCTAGTAGCTTTAATAGAATGAATCTTTTTTACCTCCTCCGGGAGGAACATCCCGTTCGAAAATACACAGCCGATAACCAAATCGCTGTTCTAGAACTGCAGGCAGCAACTCCAAAGCAAACCGTTGTTCTTCCTCAGCACTGTCCAGAGTCTTGCCACTTTTAAGGAGCAGCACATATGCATCATATTCTTTGCTGTCTAAAAATCAAAGAAAAAGTGTTAATATTCATGACAGCTCAGCCAAACTGTCTAGTAATTGCAGAATACAGTAATGCAATTTACATTTATATGGTGCCTTTCATGTCGGGAGAACGTGAAGTATACTGTGAAGTATTTCACAGAATAAGACGAAAGAGACATAAGACAAACAGAAGCCATGCGGGAAGATCCCCTGCTCCCAGTGATTGGTTCACTGATGGACCAGGCTGGTGTACTGGGAACCTGCCCGGCTCAGGAAAGGGGATTATCGAGTCCGCCACAGCGGGTTGGCTTGATTCCAACAATCTGTTGCCAAGTACGTCACCTTGGAGCCAGCTCAGGTTAAAGGGGACCCAGTTTACCTTCACCCTAAGCAGGATAATGGAAATGGAAAGCATATATTTTGTAAAATTTCAATGTGAAACATGTTCTGTAAAAATTCCATATCAATGATGAAACTAAACTTTGAAAATGTTAACTTCAACTATCAGACTTTGGGACGATTTCATCATAATGTACAAATATGAGCTAGTCCACATTTGGCATTTCTTTCAGTCAAAAAAAAGTGAAAGGGTGGTGGAAGCAGATTCAATAAAGCTCTCAAAAGGGAATTGAATAGGTACTTAAGAGCAGGAGAGAGGGACTAGTTGGATAGCTCTTTCAAAGAGCCGGCACAGGCACAATGGGCCGAATGGCCTCCTTCTGTACTGTAAGATTCTATGATTCTATAAATGATTAGAAGACAATTTATCAATTTACTAGATTACATAAACAAAGCATTGCTGAATGTTACCAACTGACTCATTCAAGTACACATTTAAGGTATTTCAGCAAGTGAGATAAGGTATAACATTTTTAATATTAAACAGAAATCTTGATCTTTCTTATCTTCATAATCTTACCTCCTAGAGTTTCATCTCTACCAGTTAAGTCCCGCAAACAAAGAACAAAGTATATCTTGAGCTTGATACACATAACTGCCACAACAATGAAGATGGCCATGGTGAGAATTATTGGACAAAGTACTTTGCCAATATTGTATTTCTCTATAAGAGAAAAAAAAGTAAATATTCAATACCTTGAGCTGCGGTAACTGAAGATTTTGCAGAGACATCTTTAATATTTGTTCAGAAGTAAATGTCATTTCATTTTTAATGTACTTAGACTTTTTTGATTTAGCTTAAACTAAATCATAACCCTTTTTTTCCCTGATGCATGACACTTTACTCCATCTTTGCGCATGTTAAAGTATAATTTTACAAACCCAAATAAGAACTGGGATGTGAAGTGAGTATTACAATCAGTGAGAGTTTTAAATCCCAATGGGGAACTCTCCCTCCCCCACAGCTTCAGCACAATGGTAAAATCTGAGAGAATCCCAATTCTAAACCTCCTCTTTTTGTGTCAAACAGCAGCATTTCAACTTCACTAAGAAGAAACCGACTGAATTAACCTAAAACTCAAAAGATATCAGCCGCACATTTGGGAATGAGCGAAGAATAGTGCAGAGGGTCATTGTGTGTGAGAGAGTGAGTGTGTTTGTCAGTGACTGAGTCTATGATTGTGTGTGAAAGTGAACATGTGTGAGTGACTCTCTGTGATTGTGTGTGTGCGTGAGCATGAATGAAAATGCGTGTGAGTGTCTGTGAGAGTAAGGGTGCATCAGTGGGTGTGAGAGAGTGACTGTATGCCTCCTGATGTGAAAAGCGCTCTACAAATGTAATTTGTTGTTGTTGTATGAGAGAGTGTATGTGTGAGAGTGAGCATGTGTCAGTGGGTAGGAGAGTTAGTGTCTGTGTCAGTGTGTATATGATAATTTGATATAGGGCTTTTCACGTCAGGAGGATGTCTCAAAATGTTTCACAGGATATGCTGTGAAGTGGAGTCACTGTATACTCTATGGACTAGAATGTAATAATACACATTAAACGTATATTGGAATCAAGTGCAAATGATTTTGGCACAAGCACACCAACAATTGAGAGTTTCTGACCCAGCACGAAATGTTACAGCAGTTGGCAACTGAGAAACGCTCAAAATAATTCCTTCAATCCTTCAACTATTTAAAAGTGCTACAACAGGTTCAACTTCAATAGCATGTCTTATTCTATTAATGAAGGATACAGTACCTTTTTCTATGAGAATCACATCACCAATATCTTGTCCCGATGTGCATACTAAAGCACAATGAAAGGATTTGTTAAGGTGCTCCCCTTCAATTCTCTTAAACACCAGTGGTCTTATTATTATTTTTCGGTTGTCTTCGGTAACAACTCTAAAGAGTATAGAAATCGGATCATTTATTATTTAAACTAACATCTTATAATAATAATAATAATCTTTGCATTTGATATAGCGCTTTTCACGTCGGGAGGATGTCCCAAAGCACTTCACAGAACACACTGTAAAGTGAATTGACTGTACATTTGTGGGGGAACGCGGCAGCCAATTGCGCACAGCAATGTCCCACAAACAGTCGTAGATTGAAAATGACCAATTTATTATTGTTTTTGGTTTTGGAGGGATTATTATTAGGTGTGTAGAGTAACGAAACTTGCCCAAGGTTTCGCACTGCCTGGAATTGAACTCAGGTCTCTCGCTTGCAAAGCAAGTGCTCTAACCACTGAGCTACAGGACACCACATCTTGATCAAAATACTAAAAGAAAGAATTTGTATTTTTAAACACCTTACCATGCCAAAACCTCAAAGCATAATCAAGTGTAATTGTTCTTTTCCTGAGCAAATAAATTACTTAAATAATTTGTTTAAAGAACTACAGTAAAATTCTCGTAAGTCTGATCTGTATAAATCGTATAATCGCCTAAGTCATTCATCTGCCCAAGCCAGTTGAATTTCCTATTAAATCCACTTAAATTTATCTACACTAGTCATATGACAATCGCGACAATTATTATAACATTACATTACATAATGTTATAATAATATAATAATAATTCTTGCATTTGGTATAGCGCTTTTTACATCTTCTAGGCGTCTCAAAGCGCTTCACAGAATACACTGTAAAGTGAATTGACTGTATATTTGTGGACGAAACGCAGCAGCCAATTGCACACAGTAGTATCCTACAAAAGTCGTGGATTCAGTGACCAAAATTTTTTTTAAGGATTATTATCCCCGGAAAAGCAATCCGCCAATCAACTAACAACCGGGTTCCTTTGTTGTTGCCATCACATTTGCCGCCACCGATCACATGGAGAGCTGTCATCCTGTATTCTGAATGAGAACTCGCTTGCTTGCTTTCAGGTTTCCTCCAATTGACTGCTGGGCAAAGTATAAGGCTACACATATCCCCTTTATAACTAAGACAATTAAGTGGACGCTTAACATCCCCCCCTTCAACTCTTAAATAATTCACACATTTGTATCATCTCCCACTGAAAGAAAACTCTATAAAATCAGGGAAAGCAACAAAAAAAACCTCAAATAAAATATTTACAGATAATGAAACAGGTTGAAATGTACATGAAAATGGTCTCTCAATCTCTCCTCATAATTGTAGCCCTTCATCCTCAGTATAATTCTCGTAAATCTCCCCTGAAGTGAGGTGCCCAGGACTGGATACAATACTCCAATTGCAGCCTGACCAACAATTTAAAGAAACTTAGCATAACTTCTTTACTTTTGTACACTATGTCCCTGCATATGTAATCAAGTATACTATTAGCTTTCTCTGCAGCTCGTGAAACCTCCAATGCCACTTTCAATGACCTGCATATCTGTACTCCCAATCACTTTGTTCCTCAGTCCCTTGCAAGACACTACCATTCAATAAATACTCCCTTCCCTCATTTTTCTTACCAAAATGTAGCACCTTACATTTCTCCTCATTGAACTTCATCTGCCACTGATCTGCCCATTGCGCTAATATTTTTAAAATCCTCTTACAGTCTCTTGCCAGCCTCATCATTATTTACAATACTTCCTAGCTTTATTTCATCTGGAAACTTTTGATACTGTACCCCCTATGCTCAAGGTCATTGATATAAATTTAAAAAATAAGAGGCCCCAGCAGAGACTCCGGTAGTACTCCACTAACCACCTTCTTCCTTTCAGAAAAGCAACCTTTTAGTCCTACTCTCTGCTTTCTAACCTTCCAGATCCCTTCTATCCAAACCACCATGTTTCCCCCTATTCCATGTGCCCTAAGTTTCTTCACCAGTTTTCCATGCATCACCTTATCAAATTATTTTGTTTCAAATGAGAAGGTTTTGTGTGGCCTACACACAAAGGGGTCTTGATGGGTTAAATTCATTTTTCTCATTTTATACTTTCTTATTTTCTTATTACTTACCTTTCAGGATCTTCACAGATTGTATTAGTTCCATTGCAGTTACCAAAATTATTATCAAATATCCAGTATAACATGCAATTGTCATCTTTAGGGCTTGTTTTATAGTCAACAACAGCTTGGCATTCAATTATTTTATATTTGCCTAAGAAGACATATAATAAAATAGCTGTTATTTGTGTATTGGATAACAAATATTCTTTATATTATTCCGTTCACTTACAAAATACATATTCACTAAACTTTATACTAAATCCTGTGAAGTGTCTGAGACATCCTCCCAATATTATTGTATTTGGATAGTAATAATTCTTGCTTTTAATATAGCATCTCAAATGTCTCAAAGGCTTCACAGGAAATTACTATCAGATTTGACTTTGCATTTGTAAGCAATTGTGACAACCAAATTGGCATGCAGCAATGCCTCACAAACAGTCATGAGTGAATTTATTAAGGGATTGTTAATCAGGACACCAGAGAAACTCCCTTTTCGAATAGTGCCATGAGATTTTTAATGTTCACCCAAACACACCAATGAGACCTTAGTCTAACTTCTCATCAATAGATAGCACTGAGGAATGAGGGACTTCAGTTATCAGGAGGCTAGAGAAGCTAGAATTATTCTCCTTGGAGCAGAGATGGTTAAGAGGAGACTTAAAAGAAGTTTCAAAATTATGAGGGGATTCGATAGGGTGAACAAAGAGAAACTATTTACACTGATGGGTGGGTCGGTAACCCGAGTACACAGATTTAATAGTTGTTAAAAGAAACAGAGGAGAGGTGAGGAGAAATTTTTTTACACAGCGAGTTGTTCGGATCTGGAATGCATTGCCTGAAAGGGTGGTGGAAGTCGTTTCAATAACAGCTTTTAAGAGAAAAGTAGATAATTATTTGGGGAGGAAAAGTTTGTATGGCTATGGGGAGAGAACGGGGGAATAGGATTGAATTGGATAGCTCTTTTCAAAGAGCAGACGCTGACACGATGGGCCGAATGGCCTCCTTCTGTGCTGTATAATTCTATGATTCAATGAGGGAATTTCACTGAGAAGGGCATCCAAAAGCACAGCTGCAGAGAAGGGTTTTATGAAAGGTTTTGAAGGAAGGTTTCTTGTTTTCTGGAGAGGAAGGGGGCAAAGAGGAGGAAGTTTGGGATAGAGTAACAGAGCAGGGCAGAATGGCTGAATATATAGCTTGAATTCAGTAATGTTAGAAAATAAAGAATGACTTATCTAAAGTCTCTTCCAAAGAGAATTAAAGTTTTTCTTTTTTAAAAAATGTCATTTTACAAAACTGTAATAATTGTTACATACCAAGTTCAACATCAATTTTTGTATGACTCTGAGGATAAATTAACTTAGGTAGCAATAATTCAAAATTTTCTGTGAAAAAATAGGAAAGTGACATTATTAAAATATTTTACACTTATCTTAGTTCAAAACATTATTACAGTCAGGAAAGATGGAGAGAAACAAAATTTACTGAATTGAGCTGGTGAGTTCTTAATCTAAAAACAAGTTAGAGAAGCAAGTCAAAAGCAAGAAGCTTCTGAAAGAAAAAGCTATCAGACATTCCATTGTGCATTACTTTTACCATTATGATCCTGTTATTCAGTTTAATCCACAAGGTTTTAAGATACACAGTCAATTCACTTTACGGTATATTCTGTGAAGCGCTTTGAGATGTCTAGAAGACGTGAAAAGCACTATATCAAATACAAGGATTAAGATTATAAGCAATAATAATTATAATCCTTGCATCTAATAATCACTAATGCAGTTACTCGATTGTAATATAATACATTCACTAACTAAAAAACATTTTAACTTTAATTTTATTTTGTGCTGATTTCCACCATTCAGACCATAAATCAATCCCTTCAACAGAGTCGGAAAGAGAATTGAGGGGACATTGGCGTGTTGCAAATGTCAAACATGAAGTATAATGATGGCAATAAACTCAGGTATAAATCTTTCTTTAACGAGTTCTGCAATGCTGCTAACCATAAACTTGTGCTATATTATCACTGCAAGGAAAAAGAGCTCAGTGACTCTATATCCAGGTGACTATGTAGACATGGAGTCCTCCAAGGGCACTTGGGTGTGCTGTGTCTGGGAGGACATACACGAACACACATTACACCTGTGCTGTCCAAACAGCTGTCAGTGCAACAGAGCAGCCCCAGCCCCCATGAGTGTCAGTTTGTTTGTTAACACTCATTTAAGTTAAATCCAGTATAAGTTTATGCACAGGCATATGTCTATAAATGCACTTATTTTCTGTTTCTGTTTCCTATTGCTTATTTCTGTTACTGTATTGGAAACTGTGCACTTTTCAGGAGATGTACTGCAGAGTATTAAAGAACAAAGATACTATATTTCCAGGTTATATGTGAACACCAACATCTTTGTATTATAAACAATTTGTATACACCGTATTTCCAACATGACAAAACATGGCAAACAGGTATCACTCAACTGTCCTACAAATGCACAACTTCCCCTCCCCAACTTGCAAGGTAATTGCACATAGGAGCAAATGTTGATCAGGTGAGATTAGTCTCCTTGCCACAAGAAATACAATTAGAGTAACACTAATGAAAGCAGCAAAACAACCGCAAATCAGAAATTAATAAAAGTAGTCGCAAAATGCGTAATGATCTCAATCTACTTGGAAAAAATAGTCTGTGATAGTCAAAGTCAGATTGTTGACATTTTTCTAGCTGTGAGAGTTTGTTGAGTGGCCTGGCACATGGCGAGGCTGGCTCAGTGATGCAGGATAGTTCAGTCTGATATATCCAATACTTTACTTACTGGGTTGCATAGAATGCAACTTTATATGTTATAAGCGAATAATGAAATAAGAAATGGGGAGTTCCCTTATTCACATTTAGGCATAGGAAACAGCTGGGATACTGACAACCTGATATATAAGCCAGGATCTCATTATCAGGAGTTCACTATTATTATTTGCATATTATTATGGGAAAGAGGAAGGAATATTTTAACATGACTATCAGATGGTATTGTTTTCTAATCTACTATTCATTGCCTACAAATAGAAGTTCAGATTGCATCTGAATCCCTTCATCTTTGGCCGTGCTTACGATCACCTCCCCTCTCTCTCCGGTTCCTCATCAGGCTCTGCCACTGTTAAGCACTCCCAAACATTGCCAAGGCGAAGGCTATATAAATGCAAGTTGTTGTTGTGCTGCAGTAAAATAAAAAAAACTATTTGCTACACCCTACCATCGACTGTCAGTCTCCTTGTTTCTGTAATATTGTACTGTATTCCATCATTTTCTATAGAAAGTACACATGTGTAACATCCAGCACTCTTCTCTTCCAGACTAGGAATGGTGTATTGAGTTCCTGTGTAAACCTTTTCCTTGAAGTCCTGTTAAATACAAGAACGTTATTATTTTAGCGTATGTTTCCACTCTTACACCTAGGACACACAGCATTTCTAATATGATAGCCTCATCAAACATTCGCATAATAAATTAATGTAATTTGCATAACATGGCAAGAATTTATTTCTAGACATAAGGTTTATGCTTCTTACTTTTTCTGGGAGGCATTCTATTTAAGAGAAAAATTGGTTTCAAAAACAAAATATCACATGAAGTGACGCCCGGTTTTCTAATGTTTTTCAGCAATGTCACCTTATCATCAACAAGGGTAGATTTAATATATATGTAATATATAATATGAATATACAGTGGAAGCCAGTTAAGCTGGACACATCAGGGCGGACATTTTGTCCGATTTAAGTGGAGTCCGAGGTTAATCAAAATACCATTCCTGCCCGGCAAGGAGCGCCGCTGATGATCATAATGTGTGGTAAAGTCGTTTCACTTGAAGCAACGTTAACTAACCACTTAGAGTTAAACTATTCGCACAGAATTCAGTAAAATATATTTACTTTTATTTGGCTGCAAAATGTAGTCCAGGAATTTCCCACCCAGCAGAGTAGAGGCGGGGTTTCCCTCCCATTGTTTTTCCCATTGGACGGGAAGAGGACTAATTAGTGTCAGATTAGAGGTGATTGACAGCCTGCAGCCGCTTGTGATCTGATGGGCTCCACTCATTCACAATCTGCTCAGCTGTCAATCAATCGCAATTTCCCTCTCTTGTTCTTCCCGGTGTCTCCGCCTCTCACCGGTTGACAGCCCAACTCCAGCCACTTGTGAATGGCTGGAGTCCGCCAGTCAATCACAATTTGACTCCTCTCATCCACATCCCAGATCCGCAGCTGAATGGAGGCGCTGGACACCACAGAAGCCCGAGTGAGTCCATTCAGCGGTGACCAGCAAGGCACTTTGCCTGGATTAACCGGATTTTCATCTGAATTAGCAGATATATTTGAAACAGTTAATAATACAAATGATTTGGGGGCCGAGTGTTTTGTTCGATTTACCCAACGTCTGGTGTTAACCGGCAGAAGCGGATTCCACTGTATATATTAATTGGGGCCACAGGGTCCATTTTTTGTGTGATCAAAAACCCCACGTTTCTGTACTAAAACATATATACCTTTAACCATACAATATCTTCTTTATGGTAATTGTAATACTCTATCTTGGGACATTCCAATGTAATTGATGAGCCACTGTAACCGGAGACGTGATGCACATTATTCAAGCATAACTCTTCATTCTTGCTCACAACCAAAGATACATCTTCATGTATGATATGGTGAGTCATATTGCTGTAGACAGAAAGGAAATATAAAGAAATGAGCAATGAGCTTGCAAACATGCACTAATATTATTATTAGTAGTAAATCCTTGTATTTGATATAGCACCTCATCATGCTGTCAAAGCGAAGCACTTCATGGGATTTACTGCAAAGTGTAGTGACTGTGTATTTGTAGGCAAATAATATTAGAGTAGAAAAGAATGCCAACTTATAGTCATATTAAAATGTTCTTGTATGTTTCTAATTATATATATATACACACACACAAGTATATCCAAGTGTGTCGTCCATTTTCGTCTTAGCAAGAATTAATAATATAAGCAATTTGAAGCCAAAACACATTTTTATAATAGCTTTATGACTGTGCCTGTGTGAATTTTCCTATTTAGAATCAGATACTTGTGTAGCTGTTGGGAAATTACAAGAGTAAATTTAAAGTGGAGGTAAAAGCAAAGCTTATGGTGTTGTGTATTTAGATTTCCAGAAGGCATTTGATAAAATGCCATGTAGAAGATTGATAGAAGGGCTCAGGGTGCATGGAATAGGGGGATATGAACGTTAAAGGCTTAAACGGGTATGGGGATAGAGAGATACAATGGGATGTCTTGACAGCAAATTGCAATCTTTTAAAATTTGGAAAACTTCTTTGAAGCTCTCTTACTATTTACATATTACAAAAAGAGAGGAGGTTGCTTAATGAAATGGATGTGTATATCTATAGCAAAATAATATTCTAGAGCACGGGTTCTCAACGTTTGTCACAGTGAGCCTCCCTAAGCCAAGAAAAAAAACAGTTACGCCTCCCTACAAGTCACCAAGACAAAGAACTACAAATCCCATACACCACAAGACTATAGGCAACAAAGTAGAAGGGCTCTGATCAATAATTATAAGAGTATGAACATCAAAAGCACCAATTTTATTTCACAAAGCACCCGCCCTACTATCTCTCAGCTCTTCTCAAAAAGAGCACAAATCGCAGCATTCAAATCAAAACTGTACCGAACACCCCAGGAAATCACAACACCAGACAACTACAGATCATGTTAGGCAACATTCACCAATCCCACCCCACCAATGGGAGTAGTGAGCCTGACTACTTGCTCTACATTCAGGATTGCAATGTGGAAAGATAGAGGCGAGGTTTGGCTGTCATGGGAAACGCCACCACAAGGCCTGGCCATCGAGGATGCAGGGCCAGTCCTTCGTAACCCAAGGACTGTTGGGAGGCACACAGCCAACGCCTCCCCAGGGGCAAACCCACACCCCCTGGGAAGCACGCCGCACAGTTTGAGAACCTCCGCTCCAGAATAATTACATTGGCAGACATGCATCCTTTTAATTACCCTTGTTTCTAACAACAACTACCATTTATATAGCACCCTTCCCTCAGGGTAGAGACTCGGAGCCCTTATCAAAACCAAGAGACTTTTTAAAGCAGGTGGTAGGAAGTTCCCCTCTAATTATAACTCAGTTACTTGCAAGAAGGATCAGCAGTACAACAGGGCATGTGGCAAGGTTATCACATCCCACAGTACTTACAAGAGAGAACAAGAATATTTCCCGGTATCATTGATCATTGCTGGCCAAAATCCTATTGATGTTCCGTCAGAAGTAATTCTAAATTCTTTCCCTAATTTCAACTTCACACGATCACCTTGTGGAGTGTATTTAAACCAGGTGATATTATATCCATGTGCTTGAAGGTCATTCATGTCTAATGGAGTTGATCCATTGCACAGTCTGCACTTTAACTGAACATGTTCCCCTTCTAAAACATTAGGACAACTAAAGAAAAGACATTGGCCGATCCGAGTTCCTGAAAACAAGAATGGTAAAACTTATCAGATCATGGTAACACAAAACATGCTCTTTAATATTTACAACAATAGTAAAATATAATGTAACATATTTAATATTTATTCTGGGTGTGTTGTCTGTACATTTTGCCTACAATATATTGTATACAACAATAGAATAATATATAAAATACAATATATAATATTTAGTATCTTCTCTGAATACACCATGTCTAACTTTTGCAATGTGTATTCTATTGTAAACAGATGCTCAAAATATTATTATTCTCACCACACTCCAGTACTAAATTGGCACTTAGAGCTGACATATTGATAGCTATTAGTGATGGGGTGGGGGTAAGGCCCACTGTTACTCTTCTCCAATTGGACTTGAGAACAATAACAATGACTTGCATTTATCTAGTGTCCTTCACACAGGGTGGTGTCTTGGAGCAACATTTATAAAAACATGGTTAAGAGGGGCTTTTTCTGTGTTATACCTAACCTGGCAATTTTCAAGGTTAATGTTGAGCTCCAAATATGGAAAGAATTCCACTGCCAATGGTGTAGTAACTTTGACAAAGTGTGATCCCGATGTGAAAAGCGTTATATCAAATGCAAGGATTATTATTATTATTATAGAATAATAATAATCCTTATATCTGACATAGCATTTTGTCGTTACTATATATAATATATAATCTGAAAATGTATAAATTTAAACAGATCTACAGAGAAGACAAAATTTGGCAAACCAGCTGCTCCTTTACTTACCTTTGCTACTTCCAGCAAAACAGATGGATATAATCAGAGCCAAATATTTCAAGTCCATTTCTTCAACTCAGCCAATCTTCAGCACCGGAAAAATACTTTTTTAAAAAAAAATAAAATCACATTGGGTTAAATTTTGCAGTCTCCCCTAAGCCATTCCTTGTTTTAAGTAGTGCCAGTGTAAAGTATGAAATGGTTTGAAATTTGTGATAAAAAATTAACATTGTTTTACTCTGGGGTTAATTCACTCACTGTGTGATCATTGCACAGCTCCCAGGGGTCTGATCACAGACAGACCACTCCCTGCTTTAATCTACCATCTTTTTATGTGTCCCGTAGAGTATAATTAGAAGTCCAAAAAAGGGATTTAAAATCAGAATTTGAAATGGATTGAAATTAGAAGGGTCAAAACTTGTGAATGGGAAATTAAGAGGATCTTAACCACACAATTATCTGGTGCATGTATAAGTGTTCTGATTCTGATAAACAGATGCCTCCTCCATCACTATCTGAATAACGGCACATGTCCATGCAATGATGTTGCTTATTATTGTGAATTATTTCCTGCATGTCACAGAAGGAATGAATAATAAAGGCCAAAATGGTTCTTATTATTGGGAAATTAGGAACGCAACTGTTGTGTAATCAGCATGCTTCCAAAATTGCATAAGCTCAATACAATATCGTTTATGACAACGGTTAAAATGGAAGGTCTTCAGGCGTGATCTAAAAAAGAAAGAGTAGGACTCGAACCAGGAAAGCCTATAAACATTCTTTTGCCATACGAGATGTGGGAACCACAGGGTGAGACTTGAGCAGCGCAGGGAGGCTAGAGCTTTTGGGCTCACGACCTCCCGCGGCAGGTGCGTCTTGAGTGGGGATCGAGGACAACACCGGTGTGGAGTCCGAAGCCCCCCCACCCCCAACAGCAACCAGATCCAATGTAGGCACCAAGGCCTACTCGCGGTGCGCGGAGCCAATGAGGGATCCGTGGCCTCGGCTGGCCCAGGCACCAGCACGGCCATGTCAGAATCAACAAATCACCAGTCGGCTGCCGCACGACGTCACTTCCGCCGTAACATTTAAAACCCCCCCACCCCCACCCTCCCCCGCAGTCCGCTCTCAGTCTCGGCGTGTGTATTTTGGCTGCTGCCACCGACCCGAGCTGTTTCTCCCCCAAAATGCTCCCACCCCTGTCCCGCACTACTCCTGCTCAACCCTTCTCTCTCACACCCTCCCTGCCTCCAATCCGAGCTGGACCCTCCCTCAGCCCTCTCTGCTCCAGCCTGCGAATCCTCCGTCGCGCCGACCCTGGCAGATGCCACTGTCTGTCCAACAGCAGCCGGAACCTTGGCGTCTTGTTTGATCCTTAACTATCCTTTCTATGCACATCTGTGCTATGTCCTGCTCTGCCATTCCCACCTCCGCAACATCGCCCGGCTCCACCACTGTCTCACACCACAGGCCGCCGAGACACTCATTCACACATTCCTAACATTCAAGCTTGACTATGCAAACGCCCTGCTTGTTGGCCTCCCCAACTCCTCCCTCAATAGGCTGCAGACCATCCAGAACTCTGCAGCCCGTGTCCTCTCCCAGGATCCGTGACCCTATCATCCCCATCCTCATCTGACTCCTCTAGCTTCCCATCACACAGAGGATACAGTTCAAGATCCTGGTCCTCACCTTCAAAGTTCTCCATGGTCTTACTCCCCACTACCTCTGCGACATCCTAACCCCCTACCAGCCTGCCCACTCCCTCCGCTCAACGGGCTCCGAGCTGCTTCATGTCCGCCTCACCATTTGCCCCTTGTGTGCATTCCATTGCAGAAACAGGGAAATTTCCAGCATGGATAAAACACATAATGATAATAATCCTTGAATTTGATACAGCGCTTTTCACATCTTCTAGATGTCTCAAAGCGCTTCAGAATATACTATAAAGTGAATTGACTGTACATTTGTGGGCGAAATGCAGCAGCCAATTGCGCACAGCAGTATCCCACGAACAGTCATGCATTGAAGTGACCAATTTATTATTGTTTTTTTTCCTGAGGGATTATTATCAGGCGTGTGGAGTAAGGAAACTTGCCCAAGGTGTTGCCTGGCCGGGAATCGAACCCAGGTCTCTCACTTGCGAGGCGAGCATTCTAATCACTGAGCTACAGGACTCCACAAATATATGAGTTCTGACAAAAGGTCATCGACCTGAAAAGTTAACTAATTTTTCTCTCTCCATAGATGCTGCCTGACGTTTGCGGGTTCCCAGGAACTTCCGTTTTTATTGGATACATATATGTGACTCTCAGTCTGGTTTGCAAACTATTACGCGAGGTGGTTTTGGCTTGTACCAAACATCCAACGGACCAAAAAGAAATCGGTAAGGCTCCCTTTTTATGGAGTCAACATTGTTTCTATCTAAGGCTCTCAGATAGAAACAATATAACAATTTCAAATCCATAAAAATCAATATCTGTTTGAGTTTACAACAACAACAACAACAAAATTACATTTATATCCTTTTGACTTTCACGTCGGGAGGACTTCCCAAAGCACTGAACAGTCAGGTGTCGGGGCTCAAGCATGGGGGAGGGGTGGTGTAGGGGTGAGAGAAGGCAGAGAGGTGGGAGGGCGACCAAAGGCACAATTGAAGAGAAGGGTCTTGAGACGGCCTTGAAGGAGGCGAGGGAGGAAGCGAGGCGAAGGGACTGTGGGGTGGAGTTCCAGAATGTGGGGGCAGAGAGGCTGAAAGCCCGGCTACCGATGGTAGGGCGGGTCGGACAGGAGACATGGAGCAGGCCGGAGCCCGCTGAACGGAGGGAGAGGACAGGTTGGTAGGGAGTCAGTAGGTCAGAGAGGTAGGAGAGGGCAAGGCCATGGGTGGCCTTGAACGTGAGGACGAGGATCTTGAACTTGATTCTCTGGGAGATGGGAGCCAGTGGCGTCGAGCGAGGGTGGGAGTGATGGGGTCACGGTGCCTGGTGCGCGAGAGTACACGAGCTGCAGAGGTTTTGGATGATCTGCAGCTTGTGAAGGGAAGAGTTGGGAAGGCCGGTGAGGAGGCAGTTTCTGTAATCGATGATGTGAGGAACGCGTGGGTGAGGGTTTCGGCAGCCTGAGGTGTGAGGCAGTGGCAGAGTCTGACAATGTTGCAGAGGTGGTGGTAGGCAGTGCCGATCATGGTGCGGATGTGGGGGAGAAAGGACAGTTCAGGGTCAAACAAGACAACTAGGTTCCTGACTGGCTTAGTGAGGTTGAGTGTGCAGTCATGGAGGCTGATGCTACCAGCGCCCAAGGTGCAGAGGCACTGGCGTGACCAATCAGGAGGGCCTTGGTCTTGCTAACGTTGAATTGGAGAAAGTTATCCCTCATCCAAGACTTGATGTCGGACAGGCAGTCGGTCAGGACGCCAGTAGTCCTGGAGTTGAGGGTGGAGACAGAGAGATAGAGTTGGGTGTCATCCGCATACATGTGGAAATTTACCCCATGTCTGCGGATGATGTCACCAAGGGGGAGCATGTAGAGGGTGAAGAGGAAGGGACGAGGACAGAGCCCTGAGACTGTGTGGGGGCTGGAGGAGAAGCTGTTTGCTGTGACGAAATAGAGGTGGTGTGAAAGGTAGGACCTGAACCAGTCAAGTACAGAACCTTGGAGGTTGAGGTGGGAGGAGAGGCAGTGGAGGAGGATTGAGTGGTCCACGTTGTCAAAGGCGGCAGAGAGGTCAAGGAGGACGAGGAGACAGAGGGAGCCCTGGTCACACATGGTCAGGATATCATATGTGACCTTTACCAGAGCAGTTTCCATGTTGTGGGCAGCACAGAAACACGATTGGAGGGGCTCATGGAGGGAGTAGGAGGAGAGGAAAGAGCAAAGCTGGGAGGCAACGGCTCGCTCAAGGACGAAGGTTTAGAGGGAATAGCACAATTTCAATCAGATCCTTTCCCCCCAAAGATCTAATAGGTGGAATGGAAGAACCTGTCACAGACACAGGATTTGATACAGATCAAATTCCTTCCTAATAATTGGGAACAAATTTCACCCGCATCTAGATTCACTGTCTTTATGTAGCGTTTTAGAGTGCCGAGAATTTGACAAATTGTTGAATTCAGTTTTACCTTGAAATTAATGCTCTATATGTAAATGCTCTGTGTGTTAGCCTGGCTCAGACGGTTCATTCCTCGGAGTCAGAAGGTTGTCAATTCAAGGTTGCCAAGTCAGATCAGGACTTGGAATGAATATTCTGATTACTCAGTGCAGTGCTGGTGGGCTGCCACATTGTTGGGGGCAATGTTTGGATGAAACATTAATCCTGAGATCCTATCTGTCTGTCCAGGTGTGAATGTTAAAGATCCCATGATTCTATTCAAGAAAAGAGAGTTTCTCATGGTGTCCTGCCCGACAATTCCCCAAATAAAATTGGTCCCTCACTCCAGGATTGTTGGTAGGACATTGCTGCTTGCAAATTGGCTGCCATGTTCACCCACAAAATAAATGCCGTCATATCGCTTTACAGTATATCCTATCAGACATATCAATGTCATAAAAAGGCTTAAATGCAAGGATTATTATTTGAATTGATTTGTTATAGTTTTGTACAAGAATATCGAGAAAATAGACTTCAAAATTAAGGCAGCCTTTAAGCATTTGCTAAATTCTCAACGCTCTAAAATGCCACATAAATACAGTAAATCTAGATCCAAGTTGAATTTCTCTCCAAAATTTCCTTATTACATTATTTTAAACACCAAACAATTGCAATAACATAAGTTGAGACCCAGCAACAAATAAAACGTTAATAATCCTTGCATTTGATATAGCTTCTTCTCAAGTCGTTGAGACGTTTCAAAGCGCTTCACAGTAAATACTGTAAAATATACTGTATATTTTGCAGGCAAAATGCGGAAATGTTCCCAGTTCTATTTCGCAGAATATACTGTGAAGTGAATTGACTATATTTTGTGGCTGAAACGTGGCAGCCAATTGCTCACAATAGTATCCCACTAACAGTCGAGGATTGAGTGGCCAAATTATTAGTTTAAAACTTTGTTTGTATTTTTTCCAACTAGCCAGTGAGTTTCAAAAACAACTTACCAAACTGCACTGTGGAGCTTGAACTGCAGGGTTCCCTTAAAAAAGATTGCTAGGTAGGAAACTGTAGCGACAGAGACAGAAAGAGAAATGCCAGCAGCCAAGTTGTTACATCAATAACACATTTCGCATCAGAGCATTTGCAATGTGTATGGAAAACACATGCAAATTATCACATCGAAAAACCACGAATCAAAGTACCGTATGTAAATTATTTCGAGTAAGTTGTTCAACAACACTCCTCATAGCTCGAGGGATTTTCGTTCACCAAGTCACTGCTTTTATTTTAAGTGCTTCTACTGAAGTGCTTCCTATTCTTGTTCAAAGGGTTAAACCACTAGACCAGATTTAAACAAAACACAAAATACTGCAGATGCTGGAAATCTGAAACAAAAACAGAAAAGTCTGAGAACATTATACAAATAAAGCAATTTATACTGCGATCAAATTGTAGGTTATATTATGCGCATGGTTCTTTTTACGCAGCAAATAACCAATTAAATAACCCAACTGAGGTATGAAAAGGACTATAAATGTTTTATGTGCAACGTCTTCAGCTAATTCCTGGTAGGGCCAGTATTGTTTGAGAAAGTGATTGTGAAATACAATCAATTTCCTGTACAAAGTCCAGTTAAATTTGTTTTAGTAACATTTTCACTTTATCAACATATACTCATACATCCAGGGCTTCACATCCACCTTAATTGTTTGCAGAGTTGTAAGCAGTTGCTGGTCAAACTCCAAACATCCACCTCAACAGCTGCCAGCAGGAAAGGGTGGTCACGTTTTCCATGCCGGGCTGGCTGCTGATCGGGAAGCTCACAGAGAGTTCCTTGGATCAGTTACTCCCCCTCGTGGGAGCTCAAATCATATATAAATGCAAGTTGTAGTTGTTGGCTGTCCAATGACCAATTAATGGCTAATGCTTGGGCGGTGGGGGGGTTAAGTAAAGTCCCTTATAGCTGAACTGACCCCAAGTTGACATGTTTCCCAATAGAATAATAATAATCCTGGCATTTGATATAACGCCTTATCACGTCAAAGTGCTTTACAGAATATACTGTAAAGTGAATTGACTGTACATTTTGTGGGCCAAACGCAGCAGTCAATTGCAAACAGCAGTGTCCCACAAACCTTTCGCCCTGCCCAGGAATCGAACCCAGGTCCTCTCGCTTGCAAGGCGAATGTTCTAACTACAAAGCCAGAGGTCTCCACAAATGTCAGAATATTGGAATTAAATCAACTCTTTGTGTCAGTCTCAGTAGTTGAGCCAGGCAGGTCTGCAGTCCTCCAGACAATGCTGATGACAACCCAGCAAGCCTGGCTCATTGGCAGGATTCAGAGGGACAGATGGGACACAGGGATTCTTTCAATTTTGCTCCTATTAACCGTGCAAGCCAAAGCCCTAAAATATAGGGTGGTACCAGTTGAATGAGCAGCTGGAAGCTTGCCAAACAGTGCTCTCAAACGCATGCTAATGCAGTTTCAGTTTCAATTAAACTCTGGCAGTACTTCAGGGCATTCTCTACAATCCTAAAGCCCAATACTCTCCGGAATTAGGTAAGCAGGTTGCGTCCCTCCACGAAGAGAGTATGCATTCCATTCCAGACCCAGATGGCATACATTATTTGAATTCTCGGTTTGGTTTGAACACTCTTCACATCCTCCCCATGTCAAAGTGCTATATAAATACAGAAATATTGTTCTGTTGTCTAAAAAATGGCGATGGGTTTCTGTGGGTGTCAAACAGCCACTGATAAACAACCTCCACAGGAAAGGCAATAGACTGAAGTATATTTAAAATTGAAATAGAAATGCAATGCATTTAGCAAGATCAAAGGGTTTAGCCAGAAATGGTTAAGCCTTGAAATTTGGTTTACGAAAACTGCAAGTAACTATGGTCCTGATGTGGCTTGTATTACACAAACACCTTTTGCTTATCGCTTTACAGTTTAAATAATACAATTGAAGTTTGAAATTATCTGAAAATCTTCTGGTAAGCAACTTCTCAACAAATTCCTAATAGGCAGTTTTGTTTCAAAAGATCATAAAAAGAATGAATTTCTGTTCAAAATCCGCTCAGATTTATTTTGACTAATGTTTTAACTTGATTTCTTTTTAGCAATCTTTAAAACTTTGGGTAGTTTTAAAGATTGCTAAAAAGAAGAGCTACATGTTATTTCTTGAGGAAGTGATGCCAGGTACCTATAGTGGATTTATTAACGACTCTAATTTTGTTCCAGTTTAAGCCTTTTTAATTCTAAACCGTGTCGTTCTGCTCCAGCATCAACTTTATCTAGGACTAATACAAAATTAAAGGAATCTCGAGCTGCTACCAGTTGCTATTTTAAAAAGATTCTTTGTGACTTACATTTTCTGCAGCAAAGCAACATGACTTTCACTGAAGTATTTTCATCTTTGATCATCCGGGTGTCTGACACATGCAAAAAACAACCATGATACATGATTAAGAGATCCAAACCAGACTGAAGGTTCCACATACGTATGCCCCCACCTAGGCATGGAAATTTCCCCATCTCTGGAATGGAATGCACACTCTTCCTGTAGGAATCCACCATGCATACCTCATCCTGCAGAATATTAGGCGCAGGTTGGCAAGAGCCTAGGAACACCAGAAGGTATATTGGGGTATTGCCTGAGTTCAACAATAGAAACAACAACTTGCACTTATATAGCGCCCTCCACGCAGGGTAGCATCTCAGAGTGCTTAAACTTGCGTTCAACCAGCTATAAAAGCATAGCTTGCCATTGAAACCACTGTCTGGCATGCTTCCGTACGCAATCTAGGCGTCAGGTTCGATTCCCAATTATCCTTCCTCCCCCACATCCAGTCCCTCACCAGCACCGCCTTCTTCCACCTCCGACGCATTGCCCGTCTCCGCCAATACCTCTCTCCAAAAGCCGCTGAAACCCTGGTTTATGCCTTTGTCACCTCTCGGCTGGACTATTCTAACGCCCTCCTCACCAGCCTCCCCTCCACTACCATCCATAAAATCCAGATTATTCAAAACTCTGCCGCCCGCATTCTCACTCGCACCAAACTCCACTCCCTGATTACCCCAGTCCTTGCAAGACTGCACTGGCTGCCTGTCACAGAGAAGATTAACTTCAAGATCCTCATCCTTGTCTTCAAATCCCTCCACCCATCTGCACCCCCTACCTCTCTGACCTCCTCTTTCCTCAAAACAGTGCCCGTTGCCTTCGTTCCTCTGGGTCTGGCCTCCTCCTTGTCACCCGAGTCCTCCGCTCCACGATGCCTTCAGCCATTATACCCCGAGACTCTGGAACTCCCTTTCTCACTCCCTTCGCCTCGCTCCCTCTCTTCCTATTTTCAGGTCCCTGCTGAAGACCGTTCTCTTCGACCGTGCCTTTGGTCACCTTCCTCCCCATCCCCCTGGCTCGGCCCTGGGATCCATTACTGTGAAGCGCTCTGAGATTCCATCCATCGTGGAGGGTGCTATATAAATCCAAGTTGTTGTTGTTCCCACTGCTTGTTCAGTTAGGACCACTCTATGCATTTGTGCGTTGGCCTGAAGAGTTAACAGTAGCTGAGTGAGGGGAATCACTGGCCCAGTTCTCCCGTTTCCTGGGGAAGTCACCCCTAATAGATCTGTCAAGTCTGTCTGCTGTAGTTTGTAACAAACGTCTTTCCGACTTGAGGCCATTATACAGCAACAGCAAATTACACTTGTATAGCACCATTCAGGTGGGAAAGACATACCAGGCCCTGGACAATCAGGGGTTTTTGACCCGAGCTGGAGTTGGGGTCAGAAGGGCAGGAGGGAAATGTGGGTGGTAATTCTTATATCCATAATGTCATTAACCAGAACACTTCTCTTACTCGGGAGAAACATTTCCTCACACACTTAAGCCAGCAAAGGCCTGAAATTTGTCAATGTGCGTGCAGCAAAGTCCCACCAAACTTGTAGACGGAGCTTGGGAGTGCTGATTAGCGAGATACCATGTTACTTTTGTTTTTTCTTTTGGTGTTGTTAACCAACAGCCTGAAGGCTGTTGTTCACAGCATTGTCCCACAAACAGCCATGAAACAAATGATCAATTTGAATAAACCTTGCACTTGATTATAGTGCCTTATCATGTCGTTTTAACGTATCAAAGCGCTTTACAGAATATATTGTAAAATGGATTGACTATGTATTTTGTGAGCAAAACCCAGCAGCCAATTGCGCACAGCAGTGTCCCACAATGCCATGGATTGAGTGACCAAATCATTATTATGAATTTTATTTGGGGTATTGATGGCCAGGACACTGGGAGAAACTCCCTTCACTTTTCGAATAGTGCCATGGGATCTTTAACATCCACCTAAACATACAGACGGGACTCGGATGCATACATAGTCTTGCACGTTTATCCATTAAACTGAGATGCTGTCTAACTGTTCAGGTGGACGTTAAAGTTCCTATAGTATTGTTTGAAAAGATAAGGGAGTTTTCCCGGTATCTTCGTCAACAATCCCCCAGATATAATTGTTGGCCACGACACAGGGAGAAGCTTCTTTCTTTTTTCAAACAGAGTCATGGGATCTTTAACTCTCATCTGAAGAGGCAGATGGGACCTTGGTTTAATGATTCACTTGAAGTATGTAAACTCTAACAATGCAGCACTCCTCCAATACTGCTTTGGAGTCTCAGCCTAGAATATGAGCTCAGAGTCCTGACATGGGGCTTAAGTCCATAAAACTCATAACCTTTTGACTCAATAGGTGACAGTGGTAACAATTGAGGCAGGCTGACACCTAAGAAATGGGACAAGCAACAAGTGGGTTGTGAAGGGAATCAGTTTGGGATTTGTGATATAAAGGCTAGAAGCTTTTTAAACAGACTTCCTCCCTTTTGTTAAATTCAGAATTGCAGAGGAATTATTTAGACAAAATTTTAAGAGATCTAATGGATGTTCAGTTGTTAGCTATTTTGTCTATACATGAAAGTTGAGTGGATCAGGAAGAATTGTCTTTATTCATGTTTGTGAAACATTCCTTTATTCAAAGTTTACAACAACAATTTACAGTGATATAGGTTCTTTTGTGAAGGAAAACACGCTTCACACAGCTGACTAAGAGCCTGAGCTGGGGGAGGAACTATAAGCAACTACAAGAAAGAAAGTAATCTATCTTTTAGGGGATTCAGTGAGAAGATCATTTTTTCTATTCGGAATAATTGTAAGTTTAATGATTTAGGATTTTGAGAACAGATATAAAATATTACTTGCATTCAAGCTATAAGAAAATTTGAGATCAGCAAAAGCAACTTAATATAACCCAATGCTAATTCATAAAATAATCAGGAAAAGTATCACAAAAATATGCCGTTTATACTAATCCTTGTATCTGATATAGCAATTGTAATGTAGAACTTTTCAATGCAGTTCACAGTAATTACTGGCAATTATAGTGGCAATAGCAATTCCAGGCAAATGCAGCAGCCACCTCACAAACAGTCATGTGAATGACTAATTTATCTGGAGAATTGTTGGCCAGCCCACCCAACAAAAGCCTTATGGGATCTTAAACATGCACTTCAATTGGTAGATCAAACCTCAACTGAACATCTAATTTGAAGGATGGCACATCCAAGATGCAAACTAGACTGGAATTGCCTTTCAGTTCCCAGCTCAACTCCCAGTTGGGTACTGAAATGGTTATTGAATCCACAACCATCTGACTCAGACCGGAGAGTGCTAGCCAATGAACAAGACAGACACACTTCTATCAATCAACCAAACTTTCTAAGTTACTGAAGTTATATACAGTTTCATTTAGATTTTGTTTCAAAGTTTTTTTCCCAAAGTTTCGGTTTCATGCTCTGAATAGTTAGCCAGTTTTGCTGGCATGAGATAACGCATCTTCTTCCAAAAGTACGACTTCTTGGAGACAGATTTAGTTCCTCTCCACTTCACCATTTTCTTTGATTTACAAATTAGTTGTAGAGATTCCGGTAATATCTTGTAGTTTTTTATTGGTTTAAATTCAATAAGTATTGGTTTTATTATTCTTTCAACCAAGGCTTGATGCAATCCAGTCATGAGTTCATACATAGAACTATCGTCAGCAGCAATCCATTCATCAGAGAGTATTATAATTAATCTTCGGCATTTTTTAATGGACAACAATACATAATCCGCAGAAGCTGTAATAAATAATTAAACGGTCAAAGAAAAACACAATCTAATGAGGAATTGCTAAAACAATGTGTTGCATATAATCCCATTGTATGGACTGTTATCTAAAAAATCCAAAATACTGCAGCAATATTCTCTCCAATTAACCTATTATCCTTTGAGAAAAAATTCTGAGCCTAATCTGTACTCTGGTCGATACTTAAAATTACTCAAAATAATTTATACTTCATTATATATTTAAAATATTGAAATCTAATTTCTTAACATACTTGTGTAAGAATGAAAATCAAAATCAGAAATGAATCTTTTTTACCTCCTCCGGGAGGAGCATCCCGTTCGAAAATACACAGTTGATAACCAAATTGCTGTTCAAGAACTGAAGGCAGTAACTCCAACGCAAACTGTTGTTCTTCCTCAGCATTGACCAGAGTCTTGCCACTTTTAAGGAGCAGCACATATGCATCATATTCTTTGCCATCTAAAAATCAAAGAAAAAAGCATCGACAATATTCATCGTGGATCAGCCAGAAACCGTCTAAGCTTATGAATAATAATAATAATAATCCCTGCATTTAGTGTAGCTCCTCATCACTTCTTCTATACGTCTCAAGTGAATTGACTATATAGTTTGTGGCGAAACATGGCAGCCAATTGCGCACAACAGTGTCTCGCAAATGGTCATGTGACCAAATTATTATTTTTATTTATTTATTTTTATTTACCTCCAGAAAAGCCAAACGACTAACAACTAGGTTCCTACTTACTGATAGGTAAACAGAGGCGTGTGGAGTAAAGAAACTTGCCTGAAGTTGGCCCTGCCCGGGAATCAAACTCAGATCCTTTTGCTTGCGGGTGCTCTAATCAAAACACTACAGGACTCCACAAATAAGACAAAACCTTACTGTATCTCCTTTATGCTTCTTTTTATATTGTATAAACTGTACAGCCCAAATGCAGGCCATTTAGTCCAACTAATCCATCTGATGTAAACTCCACACCAGCCTGCATTCCTCTTAATTCCCCCTCCTCCCATTCTTCTCTACTCCCTGTGATTCATGTATGTAAACAAATTAAAGAACTGACCTGCATCATGTTTTTATACTGCAGAGATTATTATATTTGTAATTCATGGCTGTCAATATTGTAGATATCACTAACAAGGGGTACACATACCAATTTAAGTGTCCATTGCCCTAGCTGAGGTTATAGTCTGCACTTTGAACCTGCAATATTCGAGGATTCACTGAATGGTGTATTTACCTATTAGGCCATTGGGCAGTAAATATACATGTACATATATGTAAATACAGTATATATTTGGTCATTCAATCCACAACAGTAGGACACTGCCATGCACAATTGGCTCCTGCATTTCACCCACAAAACACACAGTCAATCCACTTTACAATATATTCTATGAAGCTCTGTAAGACGTCTCAATCCCATAATAAGGAGCTATATCAAATGCAAGAATTATTATATGTATTTGAGCACTAGCTGAGGACTGGGCCAGAAGAAAGGATTATTGCACCACTATTGTCCCGAAAAGGGCAGTGTTTTTTTTTGAGGAACGTGCGAAAGTCACGTCTTCAGTTAGATCTTACTGCCATTGATTCTAACTTTCCTTGATCTAAAAAAGTTTATTTTTTAGAATGGGATTGTTCGATTGTTTTGAAAAGAAATCTTGCATTTACTATAATCCATTCATGTTAGTTTATTAAGTCATATGTTTGTAAAGACTTTCCTTTTTTGATCATGCTTATGGTCATCTCCCACTCCCTCTCCCTCTGGCTCATTTTCAGACTCTGCAACTGTGAAGTGCTCTGGGATACTACCCCCACATGAAGGGCGCTATATAAATGCAAGTTGTTGTTTTTAACAGGAGTCTAATGTTTAAAAAGCCAATCCACAAGCCTGTTTGTTTTGTCAGTAATTGATCATATATATGTCGACATACAGAATATATACAGCCTGATTTATGCTGAACATTTTGTAGTAATTTGCTCCAAAAGCCACAGTGAATAGAGTTGAATACCATAATTCAAAAACAAATGCACTTAAAAATTTTGTCTGCTGACACCATCTAGAGGTGATGGTTTAATCAGCACATTAGTTCACACTACAGAAGTTACATGGAAATACAGCTGGTGAAAATGATTCAGGCTCTGCTCAGAATGAAATTCTATTATCTTCAAATCAGATGTTCTAATTTTAATGAATTAAACTGTAATTCTGTCAGCCCATTATGAATAGCTCTAAACCAGCCATTTAACTATTTAAACCCTTTACAACAGATATCAATATTGTGTCACCGCAAACAATATAAATTAAAGTATCAGTGAGAATTAGAATATGTAGTTAACCAAATTATTTTTGTCATTTTATTAACCATAAAGCAATGCCATGGATTTAATTCTCCATATTCTTACCTCCCAGAGTTTCATCGCTGCCCATGAGCTCCCTGAATAAAAGAACGATTTCGACCTTGTACTGGATACAAAGAGCTGCCACAATGATGATAATCACAATGACACCAAATAGTGGTTTGATTATTCTACCAATATCACTATTCTCTATAAGGAGAATGAAAAAGAGAATGGTTAAATAAATATTTGGCTGAGGTAACAACAACAACAAACAACAAAATTACATTTATAGAGCACCTTTCACATCGGGAGGACATCGCAAGGCGCTGGAAGGTCAGGGATCAGGACTCAAGCATAGGAGAGGGGTGGACTAGGGGTGAGGGAAGGCAGAGAGGTGGGAGGGCGACTGAAGGCACGATCGAAGAGGAGGGTCTTGAGTCCAGCCTTGAGGGAGGTAAGGGAGGAAGCAAGGCAAAGGGACTGTGGAATATATCAGTCATAATGTCAGAAGCAAATCATGATGTTCATTATTTCAATTGGTTTCCAGATAAGAGTTTTCCCCACAATCCCTTTAAACCAACACAAGCGGAGAAGTTTCACCTGGTTCTACATTTACTCTCTTAGCATTTTAGAGCGTTCAGAATTTGGTGAATTCTTAAGTTGTCTTAATTTTGAATCTTGAAGATTTCTGGAACTTCTTCTAAGAATTTTTCTCCCATGTTACCTACATTTTGAAGGATTATTGCATTACAAATTGCATTTATACAGCATGTTTCATGTTAGGATGACATCTTAAGGTGCTGGACTTTCAAGGGTTTGACTAGGGGGGATGGGGGGGAGTGGTGTACAACTGTGACAAGATCAAGCTTAATTCAGAATCTATATTAGGTTGTAAGGAAATTAGATTTTTAAAGAAAGGTATAGCTGATTCAATTGCCAAGACTATTAGTCTGATGGATGCACATACAAAAATGATTTTAAAATGTGTAGGAAGCAGAAGGAGATGACAAATGGAAAATTCTAAATTTGGGTAAATATATTAGTGGAAATGTTTCTTCTATCATTATAAGTTACTTCCAGCTACTTAACTGTTGGAGCAGATCAACAACTTACTCTTAGATCTCCACCTAAATCACATTGCAGTGAGGGGAGGAAAGAGTATGAGTAGAAAGGTGAGTTGCTTTTCTTTATTCTCTATGGGAAAGTACCTAAACCTAGTTTGCTATCTTGTTCCCACGATACAAGCTACATCAGTGACACTAGGAAAATTTGCATGCCCACATCTTTTTCTCCCGATACAAAGTTGTGAGTCATCACAATGCAGTGTGCTTATTGGTGTTATGTTTTTGAAATATGCACAGATGGGCAATTAGAAATGAATGGCCACAAATGAATAAGGCATCAATCATTAATACTACTGTTTAGCTTCACATAAAGTGTTCACAGCGGTAATGCAATTCATACTTTATGGTACCATGGGTAACTATGCCAGTGAATTTCATCAGTGAGAAAAAGGCTATGCTTAATCTAGTCATGTAGCTCATAGTTAGAGCACTCGCCTCGCAAGCGAGAGACCCGGGTTCAATTCCCGGCAGAGCATCTCGGTATTTGGGCAAGTTTCCTTACTCCACACGCCTCTGTTTACCTAGCAGTAAGTTGGAACACAGTTGTTAGTCGATTGATGGATCGCTTTTCCGCAGGTAATAATTCCTTCAAAAAAAATAAAAATAATAAATTGGTCACTTCAGTCCATGACTGTTTGAGGGACACTGCTGTGCGCAATTGGCTGCCACATTTCGCCCACAAAATATACAGTCAATTCACTTTACAGTATATTCTGTGAAGCGCTTTGAGATGTCTCGAAGACGTGATAAGGCACTATATCAAATGCAAGGTTTATTATTATTATTATAGCCAGCCAATATATAGTCTAACAACTGCACTATATTTTCACTCAACTGGAGTGCTCCGAGGTGTGAAGGATGCTATGTGAATGCAAGTTGTTGTTGTTGTTGGAATGAAACTTAGCAAGGAAAATGCATTTGTAATAGAGTTACAAAGTTTAGCTTAAAGACAGCAGCCAAAATAATCCAAAATAATGTACCTTTTTCTTGCAGAATGATTTGTCCATGTGTAAGTGATCCTTCTAAAGATAGAATACATTTAAAGGGTCGATTCAAATGCTCTTTTTTGATACTGTTGAACACGAGTGGCTTTACAATTATTCCGCTTCCTTCAAGCGTTTTCCTAAAATGTACAAAATGTGGTTATAATAATAATTTGCATCTGCATCTATAGCATCAAAATGTCTCAAAGCATTGGACAGGAAATTGGTAGTGACTGTATTTATACACAAATAGGATAGTTATTTTGCATGAGTTCCTATAAACATCCATGAAGTGATTGACCAATTTATCTGGAGGACTGTTGGCCATGATACTAGGAGAAACTCCCTTGTCTTTTTGAAAAGGTAGACAAGACATTGACTTAAAATGTCTCATGTGAAACAAAGTACCTCCAAGAATGCAGCTATCATCCCAGGTCTGCACCAGAGTGTCAGCCTGGACTATGAGCTCAATTCCCAACATAAAGCTTGAAACCCACAATCGTCCAACCCAGAGATAAGAGTACTGCTTACCTACTGAGCTAAACTGATTCCTTGATGAAATAAAAAAACGAAGTAAATAAATTTCAAAATAAATTCAAAATAAACATGGAATATTAGCTCATTAGCTAAGTTCTACAAAAAAAGAAATAAATTGTGATCTACATTTTATATAAAAATACTATGTATTCATTGTACATATTTCATTCCAAATCATGATTGATTAACCTGCATTACTTAAGGCTTTGAGCTATATTCTTTTGAAGGTTTTACTGTGTCCTGTGAAGACAATTGAATAAATATATGGAAAAAAAATTAACAATTGGTCGAATTTCCCTGAATTTTGCTAGTTTTATGTTATCTTTGTTTTCGATCAAAACTGCATAGGAGCACAAAACAGTAAGGGGATGTCAAGCCAGTATTGTAAATTTGTTTTGTTTTGTTGGACGCAGGTGGCTTCTCTTAGAAGTTGTTTTTCTTTATTCTCGACGGGAAAGTACCTAAACTTAGTTTGCTATCTTGCTCTCATAATATAGGCTATATCAGTGACACAATGGGAAATTGCATGCCCACATCCAACTTTTTGCATTCAATGACCACTCCTCAAGACTATGTTGAGTTAATAATAATAATCCTTTCATTTAATATAGTGGCTTATCACGTTGTCAAGCCATCTCAAAGCGCTGCACAGAATATAATATAAAGTGGCTTAACTGTATATTTTGTGGGTGAAACATGGTAGTAAAATGAGCAAAGCAGTGTCCTACAAACAGTCGGGAATTGAGTGACTAAATTATTATTTTTTTGAGGGGATTATTACCCCCGGAAAGCAATCTGCCAATCGAACGTCTACCGGGGTTCCTACTTCCTGCTCAGTAAACAGACACGTGTGGAGTGAGGAAACCTGCCTAAGGTTTCGCCCTGCCCAGGAATTGAACCCAGGTCCTCTCGCTTGCGAGGCAAGTATTCTAACCAATACACTATAGGACTCCACAAGTTTGTGAAAGATAGGCATAAATAATAAGAAAACAAAATACATCAAAAGGGGCAATCTCGATTAAATTAAATCCTGTTATCTCCACTGAACTATATTAATAATTGTAATAATACTAGCTAAATATAGGCTAAACACAAAAACACAAAATTGTTCTTTGTTTTCACAAGATCACAAGATTTGTTTGGATAACCCAGGGCTTTTGGCCCATCTGATCTCATACTTCCAGAACAGTCACTCCATCACTGCTTCAAACTGATTTTTAAATGAGTCCATTGACTTGGCTTTTAGCACTATTCCTGGCAACTTTGCAGTTGTTGGCCACCTTCGGATATAGTTCCTGAATAAGTCACCCATGACTTGGGATCCTTGTTCTGAATTTTCAATCCTCCATTTCCTTACTCCACCGTACCTCCTACCCACTTCCTATGCTCTGTTAACTTGGACCTCTTAAAGATCCTTTGCCCATCTGCCCCACTATTAGCATAGAAGCTTTCAGCCATAGTGATCCCACTCTCTGGAATGCACTTGCAAATTTCCTCTGAGTCACACCCTGCACATATTTTAAACCCTTGGAAAAACCTACCCCAACTGGACCTTCAGTCAACTTTAATATTTCTTTTATCCTCCACCCACCCCATTCCCCCACACACCCATACACACTCATGTCAACCCCTTTTCAGGTTTCCATTACGTCTCTTCAAAAAGTGATTTGAAATGTCACTCTGTGTGAAAAGCACTAAATAAGTGCAAGTTCTTATTCATGACAAGTAAAAAAGTTTAGATTTGCTTTCAACTGCCTCAAATATGCCTTCTTATGTATATATTTGTCTTGGAAGACATTATAATACATAGAAGCTTTAGAAGAAAAAATAAACTGTTCAGTAAAACTTATAGAAAAGCAAAGGAAGCCATACATAGTAAGGCGATTAGTCATATGGACATTAATCAGCTTCACAGGATAACGTGGCAGTGAATATTTCATACAGACTTTTCAGATGGGTGTCTGTACCTATTAAAGTTTAATTAATAAAACTAAAATCTGTGATGCCGTTCTAAAACACAACCAACCACACAGTGGCAGTTGTCTATAAACCTATTCTTATCTATAACCTAAAGGTTTCCTTTGTCCTTTATAGTGCTGTAATTCAAGCAATTGCTTCTATCTCAGTCCTTGCTCCTCTCAATACTTCAGGCTAGAACATCTGGAATTATTTATACAGTTGCCCATCATGCACTGTCAAATCTTAAAACATCCCAAATATTCTAATTTTTGCATCAAACTAATGCACACTATACAGTATCACTGCACCTGAACAAGCCTATATACAATGTAATTTTGTTGTTGTTGTAATCCTATCAATTTGTTTTAATATTGCTTGCAGTATATCTACAGCCACTGCAACAATATAATTTTAAGCAGTCATTTGGATCATCTTTTAAAGTTAAGAGTTTACACAACAATAAATGCTTCAATAATTTTTTTTAAAAAATCATGTTTAGTGAGCTTTGTTCACCTGGGAAGAACATTTTATTTAACCAGTAGCTAGTGCCTTAACTATTCTATTGATCAATGCATTATTAATTCAACAAGAACAACTTGCATTTATATAGCGCCTTTCACATACAAACGGGTCTCAGAGCTGAAAAGGATTATTCTATTCCATTTGCAAATGTCATCAGTTTGTCAGTGTGTTCTGGGCTATTCTCCTCTGTTTACCAAATTCTGCAAATTAGTTGCTGTGCACTTACCCAAATTAAACTTGTACAATTTTGATATTCAGAATTCGAGTTCAAATATTAATAATAATAATAATAATCCTTGCATTTGATATAGCGCTTTTCACGTCGGGAGGACGTCCCAAAGCGCTTCACAGAACACACTGTAAAATGAATTGACTGTATATTTGTGGGCGAACGCGGCAACCAATTGCGCACAGCAATGTCCCACAAACAGTCGTGGATTGAAAATGACCAATTTAATTATTGTTTTTGTTTTTTTTGGAGGGATTATTATTAGGAGTGTGGAGTAAGAAAACTTGCCCAAGGTTTCACCCTGCCTGGAATTGAACTCAGGTCACTCATTTGCAAAGCGAGTGCTCTAACCACTGAGCTACAGGACTCCACAAATATTCTCAATTACAGAACTTATAACCAAAAATTACACATTTGCCACATTTACCAAATAAAGCAGAATAATTTCCATACCCACACCCTTTTCTTAATGCTAATCATTGAATTCAACACCAAGTGAAAATCATTTCCTCCGCTCAGCCTATTTCACAGCCCCCATACACCCACCATCAATGGTAGGCAGGCTTTCAGCCATTCTCCCCCCACTCTCTGTACCTCCATCCTGGAAACCCTCTGCCTTACCTCCTCCCTCCCCACCCAAGTTTAAATCTTTCTTTTTCACCATGCTTTTGATTAACCTTCCCCCGTCTCCGCTGGATAGTCGAGAGTTTGCAGCCGAGGGTTGGATTTAGGAGAAGTAGGGGCCAAGGTGGGGTAGAGGTGAGCAAATGACCAAAAGCACAGTCAAAGAAGAAGGTTCTTCAGACAGAACCTTGAAGGAGGCAAAGGAAAGGACTCTGGGGTGGAGTTCCAGTAACGGAGGGTAGAAAGATTGCTAATGATAAAATGGCAGGGTGGGGAATGTGAAGCAGGTCAGTGTTTGCTGAGCAGAGGGAGCAGACTGTTTGGTAAGATTTTAGAAGGTTACAGAGGTAGGGTGAGTCAAGACTATGGACTGATTTAAAAGTGAGGATGAGGATCTTAAAGTCAATCCTCTGGGTAGTGGGGAGCTAGTGAAGCCAGGCAATGAAACATCTATAGTAAAAAGAGAAGTCGCTGGGAACATTTAGCAGGTTAGGCAGCATCTATGGAGAGTGGAAAGTGAGTTAACGTTTCAGGTCAATGACCTTTCGTCGGAAGTTTCCTCTCTCCATAGATGCTTCCTGATCAGCTGAGTACTCCCAGTGACTTCTGATTTTATTTCAGATTTCCAGCATCTGCAGTATTTTGCCTTTTAACATCTACATTAAGGTGGCCATATGTTCCCAATTTCTGGAGACAGTCCCTCGATGAAGTATTGGTCCCTGGTCAAATTTGCCTTGTCTTGAGTTCAGCAGCCAACTGAGCAAGAACAATAAAATGTTAAAACAGATACACTCATCAGAGAATTTTGCCATTAATCCAAAAAGCTTCTACAGTACTGGCAGTATCAGGAATTGTGGTGAGTTACTTTTTTTTATATGTTTGGTTTACAAAACATGGTCACAATAATCTACAGGACTACAGTAACAACATCAACAACTTATACACTTATATATCGCCCTCCAGGCAGGGTAGCGTCTCAGAACGCTTAACAGTGGTGGAGCCTGACTCCGAGCTGGGGAGAGGGGGGAGGTGGCCGTAGGCACGGTCGAAGAGGAACGTTTTCAGACTGCAAACTAGAAGACTACTACATCTAATAATAATAATAATATAATAATCCTTGCATTTGATATAGCGCTTTTCACGTCGGGAGGACGTCCCAAAGCGCTTCACAGAACATACTGCAAAGTGAATTGACTGTATATTTGTGGGCGAACGCGGCAGCCAATTGCGCACAGCAATGTCCCACAAACAGTCGTAGATTGAAAATGACCAATTAATTATTGTTTTTGGTTTTGGAGGGATTATTATTAGGCGTGTGGAGTAAGGAAACTTGCCCAAGGTTTCGCCCTGCCTGGAATTGAACTCAGGTCTCTCACTTGCAAAGCGAGTGCTCTAACCACTGAGCTACAGGACTCTGGAGACTACAGGAACTGCAAGATGTCAAAATGTTGTTTCATGGCAAAGTGCATAACCAACACGTTGTTATCACTTACCTTGTACACACTGACTCATTTTGGTTGCAGTCCTTGATGAGGGTACCATTAGATTTCCAAGCTATCTGAATTAGATCATCTGGCTGGGCAACAACTTTGCATTCAAAGGTTCGATTTTCACCTAAATTGATGTAAATCCAAAACATCAATTAAGCTTAAAATCTAAAGCTTATGCATTTCTTTATCTTCCTATTGCTTTCATAACTCATTGTAATCAACTCTAGTAAGAAATCATATGGAGATAAAATACAATTTAAACAGCACCCACCTATATCAACGACAATACGTTCTTGATGAGGGTAAACTAATTTCGGTTTGGATAGATCAATGGCATCTTAGAGCAGAAATAAAGAAAACAAAATAAAATTATTTCCCAGTTTCATTTAAAACAATTGTGTTTATATGATCAAAATCAAATTGAAATGAATATTTTCTTTCAAAGAGAAAAATAATGCTCTACAAATAGAGACTACTCAACAACGTGAATAAGGCTCTATATCAAATGCCAAATGGATATGCTTTGAACCATTCATTGCCTTATTTTAAGTTATATTATATGGCTTCTGTAATACTATAGTTTTTCTGTATTTAACAAATTTTGTTCAGGTCAGAAACTGGTGGGATCAAGTTCTGTATTGAGGACTTGCAAAACACAATCTAGACTGATGTTATGTGCACTGCATTGTTGGAGGCACTGTCCTTCAGATGAGACATTAAAATGGAACCCCATCTACCTGTTCAGGCGGATGTTATAAATCTTAAGGCACTATTTGAAAAGAGAAGGGACGTTCTCCTGGTGTCTTGGACAACAATTCCCAATAAAAACACAGAATAAATCCTGTGAAGCATTTTGAGGCATTCTTCTGAAATGAAAGATGCTATATCAAATGTAAAGATTCTTCTTCTTATGTATTTTTAACTAGATTTTAATGTTTTTTTAACAGGAGGAGTTCTGTAGCTCAGTGGTTAGAGCATTCGCCTCGCAAGTGAGAGACCTTGGTTCGATTCCCGGCAGGGTGAAACCTTGGACAAGTTTCCTTACTCCACACATCTGATAATAATCCCTCAAGAAAAAAATAATAAATTGGCCTCTTCAATCCATGACTGTTTGTGGGATACTGTGGTGTGCAATTGGCTGCCATGTTTTGCCCACAAATATACAGTCAATTCACTTGTATTATTATTGTTATCATTACGGTATATTCTGTAAAGCGCTTTGAGATGTCTGAAAGACGTAGAAAGCCCTATATCAAAATGCAAGGATTATTATTATTTTTATGTAATCGTTTTCTTTTAAAAATGCCCATAAAAGGGTAAAGTGCAATGAAATTCAGATGTTGAGCTATTCCCTATTGGATCTGTCCCAATCTATTTTTAGCTGTGTCACTTGAAAGAGTAAACACAAACAACAAGCAAAATACACTCATCGTCATAGGTAAGGGCTTGCTTTTTACATCTTCCGAGTAAGATACAGGCAACTTTGTAACAGTGATAACATTTTAAACAATTATCATTGCATTTTTTATAGCATCTCATCACGTCATCTAGATGGCTCAAACTGCTCCCCTGGTTATACTGCTAAGTGGGGTGGTAATGATAACAATAACACGTTTAAAATAATTTTTTTAAAAAAGAAAACACGGTATGAGAATCCACATCCTTGAAATATTACACTGCATTCCAGTATTTTCTAAACTTTACATGGATACATTTAAATATTCTACCTTCCAGCGTCAAATTCCATGTCCTTGTAATGTTATATTGAATTCCAGCATTATCTAAAGAAAGTTTACAAGTGTAATATCCAGCGTTGTCTTTTTCGAGCTTTTCAATGAGATAGAAAGCACCTGTGTGGACCTGTGTCTGACAATCCTGTAAGATAAAATCACTTGAGTGTACTGATTGGCAATAATACAAATGCTTGTTAAATTATGCACAAGTACAGTCTCAGCATAAACATATTAATAACACACCAAGCAAAGTAATTATTTAAGGTTTAATGTTCCATCTATCTGGTGGATCTAAGCTGCTAGCTGTGTCAGCTTGGCTCAGTTAGTAGCACTCTTGCCTCTAAGTGAACAAGCCCCACATTGAGATTTTGATCTCATGCATTCTATGCTATCACTCCATTTCTGGGGATATGCTTAGTTGTTTGAAGTGCCCACCTTCAGATAAGATATTAAACTGAGGTCCCATCTCCCTGTTCGTATTGGGAGTGTCCGTGCCAATATTCCCGATTTATCTAATTTACTGTATCGATTGGTAAGGTAATTGAACATACAACAAAAACAACAACAAGATTCCATTTATAGAGCGCCTTTCACGTCAGGAGGACGTCCCAAGGCGCTGCACAGTTGGGTCATGACCCGAGCAGGGGGAAATGGTCAGGGTGAGGGGAGGGAAGGGAGGGAGAGAGGAGGGGGGAAATGGTCAGGGTGAGGGGAGGGAAGGGAGGGAGCGAGGAGGAAGAGAGTCGAGAGGGGAGCTGAAGGCACGGTCAAAGAGAAAGGTTTTGAGACCGGCCTTGAAGGAGGAAAGGGAGGAAGCAAGGCGAAGGCACTGGGGGATGGAGTTCCAGAGCCTGGGGCTGAGAGGCTGAAGGCCCGACCACCGATAGTAGGGCGGTTGGGGCGGGGGACGTGGAGCAGACCGGAGCCAGAGGAACGGAGGGTACGGGCAGGTAGGTAGGGGGATAGTAGGTTGGAGAGGTAGGAGGGAGCAAGGCCGTGAATGGCCTTGTAGGTGAGGATGAGGATCTTGAAATCAATCCTCTGGGGGATGGGGAGCCAGTGGAGGCGAGCGAGGGTGGGAGTGATGTGGTCGCGAAGCCTGGTGCGGGACAGTACACGAGCTGCAGAGTTCTGAATGACCTGCAGCTTGTGGAGGGAGGTGGCGGGAAGGCCGGCGAGGAGAGAGTTCCCATAGTCCAGCCTTGAGGTGACAAAGGCGTGAACCAGGGTTTCAGCAGCGTGAGGGGTGAGGTAGTGCCGTAGTCTGGCGATATTCCGGAGGTGATGGAAGGCGGTGCCAGTTGTGGTGCGGATGTGAGGGAGAAAGGACAGCTCAGGGTCGAACAAAACGCCGAGGTTCCTGACTGGCTTTGAGAGGTGGAGAGTGCAGCCTTGGATGCTGATGGTGTCAGCGCCTGAGGTGCGGAGGCGCTGACGTGAGCCAATCAGGAGGGCCTCGGTTTTTCGCACGTTGAGCTGAAGAAAGTTGTCTCTCGTCCAGGACTCGATGTCGGACAGGCAGGCTGTCAGGACATCGGTGGTCGTGGAGTTGAGAGTAGAGGAGGAAAGGTAGAGTTGGGTGTCATCCGCATACATGTGGAAGTTAACCCCATGTTTGCGGATGATGTCACCAAGGGGGAGCATATAGAGGGTGAAGAGGAGGGGACCGAGGACAGAGCCCTGAGGGACACCACATGAGACAGTACGGGGGGTGGAGGAGAAGCCATTCGTTGAGACGAAGTGAAGACGGTGGAAAGGTAAGAGCTAAACCATTCAAGGACAGTGCCTTGAAGGTTGAGGTGGGAGGACAAGCGGTGGAGTAGGATAGCGTGGTCGACCGTATCGAATGCTGCCGATAGGTCGAGGAGGACGAGGAGACAGAGGGAGCCCTGGTCACAGATGGTCAGGATATCATTGGTGACCTTGACCAGGGCAGTTTCTGTGCTATGAGCAGCACGGAAACCTGACTGAAGGGGTTCGAAAAGAGAATGGGTGGAGAGGAAAGAGCGCAGTTGGGAGGCGACAACTCTTTCCAAGACCTTGGAGAGAAAGGGGAGGTTGGAGATGGGCCGGTAGCTTGATAGCTGCGACGCATCAAGGGAGGGTTTTTTCAGGGTGGGCGTGATGATGGCAGTTTTTAATGGAATGGGGACAGAGCCAGAGGAGAGGGACAGGTTTATGATGTCAGTGATATGTGGGGCAAGAAAATGGAGCTGGGAGATAAGGAGTGGAGTGGGGATGGGGTCAAGGGAGCAGGTGGTTGGTTTTAGGGATAGGATGAGTTCAGTGACAGAGGGTGGGGAAACGGGTACGAAGGTGTGTAGGGGAGGATGGGTAGGAGTCGGAGTGTGGGAGGGAAGGGGTGGGTGGTGGGTGGAAGTTGGAGGGGAAGTGACCGCGGAGCGGATTCCCTTGATCTTGGATTCAAGGAAATCCAGCATCTCCTCGCAGTGAAGGTTGGAGGAGATGACCTGCGCGGGGTGGCGGGGGGGACGGAGGAGTCGGGATGTGGTGGAAAACAGTAGCCTGGGGTTGTTCTTCGCCTCCAGGATTATCCTGGAGTAGAAGGACGACTTGGCCGAGGCTAGAGTGGAGCGGTAAATTTTGAGGAGGTCCAGCCAGATTTGTCGGTGGACCGTTAGGCCAGATTTGACAAAGGTGCGCTCAGCAGCCCGCACCTGGCATTTCAGTGAGCGGAGGTGGGTGGTGTACCAGGGGGAGGAGCGGGAGTAGGAGACAGTGCGGGAAGTGATGGGGGCAAGAGTATCGAGTGTGGAGGAGAGGATATTGTGGAGGAGGGAGAGAGGAGAAGAGGGGTCGGTGAGGGTTGAAGGCCAGAGGGAGAGGAGTTCAGAGGACTCCAAGGCATCGGTTAGGGATTGTGGGGGTAACTTCTTCCAAGGGCGGTAGAAGATGGTGGTGGGTCTGGTGGAGGTGGGAGGGGGTGGAGGTGGTGAAGGAGATGAAGTAGTGGTCGGAGATGGCCTTGTCGGTAATAGTGACATCCGAGACACTGAGGCCCCGGGTGATCACCAAATCGAGTGGGTGGCCGTGACTGTGAGTGGGGGAGTTTATGTGTAGGGAAAGGTTGAGTGAGGAGAGCAGGGAAGAGAAGTCTGTGGAGATGGAGCAGGAGGGGGTGAAGTGTAGGTTAAAGTCGCCCAGGATGATGAGGCGATCAGAGGAGAGGCAAAGAGATGTGAGGAGTGTTGAAATGTCAGAGATGAAGGTGGGAGAGGTTTTAGGGGGCCGGTAGAGGAGGAGGATTTTAAGGGAAATTTAGAATTTAGATACCTTATACCATACAATATTTTCTTCATTGTCCTTGTATGCATTCATGTCTGGACAAGGCAAAGTAATAGAAACTCCCACGTGACATGTTTGCTCATATAAATGTCCTTCATCATAACATGCTTCATCCGACCGAGCAACAGTGAGTGAAGTCTTCATCTGTCCTACATCATGAGATCCATTACTTTAAAGCAAAAAGCAAAAAATTAAACGGAGTTGTAATATAATAATCTTGCATTGATATCGTGCCTTTTACATTGGGAGGACGTCTAAAAGTGCTATAAAGATTTACTGTAAAATGTAATGACTATGCATTTTATAGACAAACATAGCAGCCAATTTGCACACGGCAGTGCCCCACAAGAAGCCAAGAGCTCAATGACCAATTTTATTTGGGGATTGTTGGCCAGTACACCAGGAGAAATTCTCTTCTCTTTTTGAATAATGCCCTGGGATCTTTAACGTCCATCTAAATTGTCAAGACAGATCATGGTTTAATGTATCATCCAACAGACAGCACCTCCCACAATGCAGAGCACCCCTACCACTGCAATGGAGCATCAGCCTAGACCAGGGGTCTCCAACCAGTCGATCGGAGCAAGGTGGCTTCTCACGCATGCTCAATCAAAATAAGAGGCAGGAGCGATATTTACTGTAATTTAAACATTAAAGTTCATATTTTTATTTCATAGAATCATCGAATATTACAGCACAGAAGGAGGCCATTCGGCCTATCGTGCCTGTACCAGCTCTTTGGAAGAGCTATCCAATCAGTCCCATTCCCCCGCTCTTTCCCCACATCCTTGCAATTTTTTCCTTTTCAAGTACCTATCCAAATCCCTTTTGAAAGTTGTTATTGAATCTCTGTACACAACTCTCTGTGTAAAAAAAATTCTCCTCATCTCCCCTCTGGTACTTTTGCTAATTATCTTAAATCTGTGTCCCCTGGTTACAGACCCAGCTGCCAGTGGAAACAGTTTCTCCCTGTCTACTCTAAAAAACTCAAGATGCAAACACTTCTTGGATCTGGCATCGCTGTCAATTTGACTCAAAAACGATGCAGTTCTATCACTCCTTCCTCTTGTCTTTTGATAATGTGCGACATAGTGCCACCCAATGGTAAATGACTGGTTGGAGATCCCTGGCCTGGCCTTTGTAGTTCAAGGTTTCGACGTGGCGATTGAACACAGTCCTGTAGCTCAGTGGTTAGAGCACTCGCTTTGCAAGTGAGAGACCTGAGTTCAATTCCAGGCAGGGCGAAACCTTGGGCAAGTTTCCTTACTCCACACGCCTAATAATAATCCCTCCAAAAAAACAAAACAATAATAAATTGGTCATTTTCAATCTACGACTGTTTGTGGGACATTGCTGTGCGCAATTGGCTGCCGCGTTCGCCCACAAATATACAGTCAATTCACTTTACAGTGTGTTCTGTGAAGCGCTTTGGGACGTCCTCCTGACGTGAAAAGCGCTATATCAAATGCAAGGATTATTATTATTATTATTATTATTATTATTATTATTATAGCCTTCTGACTCAGCAAACAGCTGATTTGAACATATCTGTGGAAAAACAACTATAATCGGTTAAATTGAGCATTATTTTAGTCCCAATTAAAACTTGTATTTTCTTACAACTTTGGTTTTTGTACTTTAAAATGGAATTTTGCTGAGCATGACCCCCTCCCATTGCAGCAAATATGAGTCCGAAAGCCAGAGATGTAGAACTCATGTCCCATCGCTCGAGTGTTGTGCTGGTTCTCCAATAAGATACAAAATGCAATATAATACAATTTTAAAATATAATTTTCATGTCAGGAAAACATCTCAGAACTCTTGAGACAGCCCAATAGGTTGGATTGCCTAAATGTTATTTTTTGCTGGCACAATATAGATTGTAAATTTCCATGGTGTAGTTAGTATGCAGAACTAACTATGCCAAATGGTACTTTTCCTTTGTAATTCAATTATTTTTCCTTTGTCAATGCTCCTTGTCAAAAGTGTCTGTGCTTCCAGATATTCCTTGTATGTGAAAGCCAGCGTCTAAGGGTAACTTGCTGTTTAGTGTCATCTACCTCCATCAGTCATTGGCAAGTAACATTTTGGGGTTGGAACTATGTAATAATTGCTCTTGCTTTGACATTTTACTATGCAATTGAGCACAACAGACGATATGCAGTGTGGATTATCTAATTTGTCAAACAATAATTTGTCAATATCATAATAATTACAATACTTACAAGAGATGACAAGAATATTTCCCAGTGTCGTTAACCATTACAGGCCAAAATTCTAACAAGGTTCCTTCAGAAGTAATTCTTCTCTTTTCTCCTAGTCTCAGTTCCATAGGACCATGTTCTGAAGTGTCTTTAAACCAAGTGATATTCAGTCCATATGTTTGAAGATCATTATTGTCCATTGGAGTGCCTCCATTGCAGAATCTGCATCTTAATCGGGCATGCTCCCCTTCAAGAGCAGAGACTCGTTGATATCTAGGACATTTGTCAATCAGCGTTGCTAATAGTATAATACAAAAACGTGACAACCAAAATGTTACTCTCCGGGGATGAAATTCAAATTACTGTAATTGATTAGTTTGCAAAACCGGCTTTCTGAAGGTTTCATAAAAAATATACATAATACATTTAATCCTAATTAATCTATTTTTTGATTTTTTATAATAATAATAATCCTTGCATTTGATATAGCGCTTTTCACGTCGGAAGGAAGTTCCAAAGCGCTTCACAGAATATACTGTAAAGTGAATTGACTGTATATTTGTGGGCGAACGTGGCAGCCAATTACGCACAGCAGTGTCCCACAAACAGTCATGGATTGAAAATGACCAATTTATTATTGTTTTTGTTTTTTGGAGGGACTATTATTAGGTGTGTGGAGTAAGGAAACTTGCCCAAGGTTTTGCCCTGTCTAGAATTGAACCCAGGTCTCTCGCTTGCAAAGCGAGTGCTCTAACCACTGAGCTGCAGGACTCCACGAATTGGAAGTCACAATTGAAAGTCACATGAATTTAAATACACTGCTTTCTAATACTTTTTATTTTTAATTTAATCTTGCCTGGTTTTAAAAACAAATCTTTATGTTATAGTGTTAAATTTAAATTTGTCAGGTCCTAAATGGGGAGTGGGTGGGGGGGAAACAGAAAAATGTCTAAAATAGGAGAGATCTTTAAATAGTCTGCCCTGAAGACAACATTTTTCCAACCCCCCAATCTTCAATTGTGTCAGAATATTCTTTTTCCACAGAGATTAGCAATAGTAAATTTGCAAATGCTACACAGGATGTTAAGATGAACAGGAAGTAACACCTGTAACATGGTAGGTAACAGACCAATTGCATAGTTTGCAGAGCTCAAATTATGATAGTTATTATTCAGACTCCGTCACTGCCTCACCCCTCAGGCTGCCATAACCGTCACCCACACATTCATCACCTCAAGGCGTGACTATGGGAACTCCCTCCTCATCGGCTTTCCCAACTCTTCCCTTCACAAGCTGCAGATCATCCAAAACTCTGCAGCTCGTGTACTCTCACGCACCAGGCTCCGTGACCCCATCACTCCCACCCTCGCCCGACTCCACTGGCTCCCCATCCCCGAGAGGATCGACTTCAAGAGCCTCGTCCTCACCTTTAAGACCACCCATGGCCTTGCCCCCTCCTACCTCTCTGACCTGCTGACTCCCTACCAACCTGCCCTCCATTATTCGGCCTCCAGTCTGCTCCATGTCTCCCGCCCAACCCGCCCTACCATCGGTGGCTGGGCTTTCAGCCTCTCTGCCCCCACACTCTGGAACTCCATCCCACAATCCCTTCACCTCACTTCCTCCCTTGCCTCCTTCAGGGCCAGTCTCAAGGCCCTTCTCTTCGACCGTGCCTTTGGTCTCCCTCCCACCGCTCTACCTTTCCTCACTCCTACACCATCCCTCCCCCATGCTCGGGCTCCGATATCTGACTGTTCAGCGCTTTGGGACGTCCTCCCGACGTGAAAAGCTCTATAAATGTAATTTTGTTGTTGTTGTTGTACGTATCTGAATCCTGCATGTCTGCAATAATCAGTTGCACTAAATACCGAATTAGGATTCCGAAGGAGGAGATTCTGGAATGAAAGCAGAGTCCAACATACAGGAGGCAAGGCAGACCCCTAAAAATATTCTCTATTGTGATGCCCTTGAAACCTGGTCCGATATTTGACTTCCAGCTTGGAGATTTGAGCTTTTGACTGGCAGTTAGCAGAACAATGGTTTTAGTAAGAATATTGCTTAGTTAAAGCTGCTTCGGCTCTGGAACTCCATCCCCCAGTGCCTTCGCCGCCTCCTCCCTCTCCTCCTTCAAGGCCGGTCTCAAAACCTTTCTCTTTGACCGAGCCTTCAGCTCCCCTCTCAACTCTCTTCCCCCTCCTCGCTCCCTCCCTTCCCTCCCCTCACCCTGACCATTTCCCCCCTCCTCGCTCCCTCCCTTCCCTCCCCTTACTCTGACCATTTCCCCAATGCTCGGGTCCTGACCCAACTGTGCAGCGCCTTGGTACGTCCTCCTGACGTGAAAGGCGCTTTATAAATGGAATCTTGTTGTTGTTGTTGTTGCTATCTCAGTAACTGACAGTCAAAACCTGCACTCCTGGAAATTGAATGCATCAGCAGAATTTATGGATATCAGAGTTGTGAACAGTGTCAGTGATCCTATCTCACAAACATCTGGCTAAATCAACAAAAAGGAATTTCTAAATTAACACCACAAGTCAGCAAATAGGTATATTGGGGTCTTTTACCTATTCTATTATACTAACCATGCGAAAAATCCTTCTGCCATTTATTCGCCCCTTAATATTTTGTTCTTATTTGTAATGAAGAAACTGTGATTTATTTTTCATCCGTTGATGTTTCATGTCCAAATCCCTGACAAGTGCCTTGGGATGTCCTCCCAATGTTCGCCCACAAATATACAGTCAATTCACTTTACAGTGTTCTGTGAAGCGCTTTGGGACGTCCTCCGACGTGAAAAGCGCTATATCAAATGCAAGGATTATTATTATTATTATTATAATGTGAAAGTAATTTGTTGTTGTTGTTGTAATCAGGTCATTTAATTTGTTAATTGTGGAATATGGCAAGAAGTTTCTGAATAATATTTTTACGCAGGAAATAAATGATCATAAACTTTATAAATCAATGTTTGCAGTGTGAAGCCAATTTTAGTTCTGGAAGCACTAACAAAGTATTTGTTGAAATTGCAATTTTTATTTACCTTAATAGTTTAAAATTGAAAGGTGGAAAGCTTTGCTTTTTCTTTTTTGCATAAAAATAGGCACTGAGTTAACGAAATTGCAAAGGCTAAATGCAACAACCATGAATTAAGGAATAGTTTGATAAGTAAAAGCATAATCTATGTCATATTTGCTAATATATACTGTTAAAATATTAAGAAAAACATATCTTACCTGTTCGAGTATGTGCACAAATTAGTTCACAGATGACGAATGCCAACAAAAAAGTCCAGGATATTGCAATCATCCTGAATTCAACAAAATAAAAGAAGAATCTTAATTTTAGTTTAGCGCCTTAAACATCAAAAGTATGTTTCGAAGCACTTCACAAGATATTCTGTAATGTGTAGTGACTGTGTATTTTGTGGGCAAACACGACAGCTAATTTGTGCACAGCAAGGTTCCATACACAGCCGTGAAGTGAATAACCAATTCTGTTTCTCAGAAGGTTATCATCGGAAAGTTATAGCCCACACCCATAAACTTTCTACTTGCCCACACAATTTGCATTATTTCAAAAAGGTGAGTTAAATATAGTTTCCCAGTTGCCACATTTCAAAATGATAATTTGAAATTCTTTTTCAGAATTTTGCTTAATCCTGAGAAGCAAAGTTAGTATTTGGCAGCCCCAAAAAAGCACACAAAATATTAATGTTAAACAATTTAAACTCTCTATGCTTCATCAGTGACTCCACAGTTCCTTGCCTTCTGTGACTCTCTAAGCCCCAGATTAATATTTTGGTGAATTTCCTTAATTGAATGCATGGTCAGCTCTCCATATATGGGAAATGCTCTGTCTATGCACAGTGCCTAGCAGAGTTTTTCAAGCATCCATTCAAGTAACATAACGTTCTTCTTTTGAAAAAAAACAGGCAGATGGGCTTTAATGCAGAAAAGTACAAAATACTGTATTGGATCAAGAGACATACTCACATAATGAATGGATGTGTCCATTATCAGAGGTTCAGAAGGAAAAGAATCTAGGTGTTATTAGTGATCATTCGTAGATCAAGAGTAGAAAGACTTATTCTAACTTTGTGTGCATCGTTTTTAGATCTGGGACACTACCCCACATGAAGGCACTATATAAATGCAAGTTGTTGTTGTTGTTATCATTTGCAGATCCCTCTCCTCCTCCACACACACACAAACTGGACAAAATGTAGAGCAGACTTAAAATAGGAACATATTGATGTTGAACTGTGGTTATCTATTTGTTAATAAATAATGTTAATAAGATGCTTATTTCCACTGATGTATTTTCTTCAATTAATTCGCTCCAATACCCAACATGTTACACGTGAGGTCTGCTGATGTGTTTTTTTAAGCAATGAAATATGAAATGAACAGCTTGAAGTATAATTTAAATTCAGTCCATCATACAATAAGTGAAATAATAATAATCCTTGCATTTTTATAATTTTATAATATTATTATAAATAATAATAATAATCCTTGCGGGCACAGCGGCCGACGGACGGAAGGTAAGTCAGGCAGCAGCAGGGAGTCATAAGGCTGGTTTCCCGGGGATCGGGACCGGAGGCAGCCAGAGGCAGGGGCCAGTTGGTAGCTGTAGGCTGGGCCGGGGTCTCGGGGATTGAGCGGTGGCCATTACCTGGCCAGAGGGAGCCGTCATTTTGGAGTTTCAGATTATCCCGCCATTCTGTGTGACGTCACTTCCGCCCGCCAGGTTTGAATCCCTGGTAGCAGCTACAGTAGTCTCCCTCCCTCCCTCCCTCCCTCCCTCCCTCCCATCCATCCTCTGTGTCTGTCTGTCTGTCTGTCTGCCCTGTCCTTCCCCTGCAGGCTGCTCATTGCTAACCACAATGAGCGCCCTCCCCCCTCTTCGCCACTTCTAGCCCCTACAGCCTCCTGCAGGCTGACAACGTCCCACTAATCCGCTGCCTCTCGTCTCAGCGTGCGCATCTTGGCTGCCGCCCCCGACCCAAGCTGGCCCTCCCTCAAAGTGCTCCCCTCCCTGCAACTCTCCCGCTCTGTCCTGCTCTCTCTCCGCCCTCCCCGCCTCCTATCTCTGCTGGCCCCCCCACTGCCTCCCTCTGCTCCAGCCTGGGAATCCTCCACCGGGCTCATCGTGGCACTCAGCGTTGGCTGTCCAGCAGCAGCCACACCGACTGCCCCTTTCCCCACTACCGGCACAAGCCACTCCGGACTCAGATCCCAGGGGCTAACCTCTCCTCCCTCATCCGCATCCCCACCAATCCACTACCCCCTCCCATCCCACACATTCCCCTGCCAACTGTCCGCTCCGCATTAGCCTTCAAAACATCCGCTCCATCTGCAATAAGATCCTGGCCGTCAATGATCTCACCCTTGATGAGAATTTTGATATTATGGCCTTCACGGAAACCTGGATCACCCCAAGTGACACCTTCCACACCACTGAGGCCACACCACCCCACTATACCTACCACCATGCCCCACACCCCAACCGTCGTGGCGGTGGTGTGGCCCTCATCTCCAGGGCGTCACTTGCCCTATCCGCCTACTCCACTGGCTCATTCCCCTCTTTTGAACACCTTACCCTCTGCCATCCCTCCCATCTCTCACTAAAAATTCTTCTAATTTACCGCCCCTCCAAAATCCTTCCCCACCTTCATCTCTGACATCTCCATCCTTCCAGCTTCTCTCTGTCTCTGCTCTGACCGCCTCATCATCCTAGGCAACTTCAACCTCCACTTCACCCTCTTTTGCTCCACCTCCTCAGACTTCTCTCCTCTCTCAACCTCTCCCTCCACATCCACTCTGCTACCCACGTTTACAGCCACCCGCTCGATCTGGTGATCACCCGAGGCCTCAGAATCTCGGATGTCACCATTACCAACAAGGCCATCTCTGACCACCATTTCATCTCCCTCAACTCCTATATCTCTCTCCTCACTGCCTCCGAACCTACCACCATCTTCTACCGCCCGTAGAAGAAGATCTCCCCGCAATCTCTCTCCGCTGCTCTGGAGTCCTCTGAACTCTTCACTCTCTGGCCCACCTCCCGCACCAACCCATCCTCTGGGTTTACTCTCCTCCACATCACCCTCTCCACCACGCTTGACGCCCTTGCCCCCCTCACCTCCCAAACTGCCTCCTATTCCCAATCCTCACCCTGATTCACCAGCCACCTCCGCTCGCTCAAGGGCCAGGTGCGGGCTGCCGAACGCACTTGGCTCAAATCCGGCCTAACGGTCCATCGGCACATCTGGCCTAACCACATCAAGACCTACCGTTCCACTCTCGCCTCGGCCAAATTGTCCTTCTACTCCAGATTAATCCTGGAGGTGAAGGGCAACCCCAGGCTCCTGTTCTCCACCATCAACCAGCTCCTCCGCCTTCCCCACAACGCCTCACAGCTTCTTTCCTCCGACTCCCACTGTGAGGAAATTCTGGACTTACTTGAGTCCAAAATCGAGGGAATCTACTCAGCTGCCACTGCCCTCCCAACTTCCATCCCCTCCCTACCCGTGCCCCACACTCTGACCACTACCCATCTCTCCTTCCACACCTTTGATGTCCCGACCCAACTGTAGCTCAATGGTTAGAGCACTCGCCTTGCAAGTTTGATTCCCGGCAGGGCAAAACCTTGGGCAAGTTTCCTTATTCCACATGCCTGATAATAATCCTTCAACAAAAAAAAATAATTTGGTCACTTCAATCCATGACTGTTTGTGGGACACTGCTGTGTGCAATTGGCTGCTGCATTCAATTCACTTTACAGAATATTCTGTGAAGCGCTTTGAGACATCTAGAAGACGTGAAAAGCACTATATCAAATGCTAGGATTATTATTATTATAACCTGTCACCCCCTCCTCTGTTATCACCACCATATCCTCCATAAAGCTCACCACCTGCTCCCTGGACCCCATCCCCACCCCTCTCCTTAAATCCCAACTCCACCTCTTTGTCCCACTTCTCTCCGACATCATCAACCTCTCCCTGTCATCTGGCACTGTTCCTACTCTCCTCAAAACAGCCACTATCACCCCCACCTTGAAGAAACCTTCCTTTGACCCATCACAGCTAACCAGCTACCGGCCCATCTGTCACCTCCCTTTTCTAAAGTCTTTGAGAGAGCTGTCGCCTCCCAGCTTCACTCTTTCTTCTCCTCCCTCCATGAACCCCTCCAATTGGGTTTCCGTGATGCCTATAGCACGAAAACTACTCTAGTTAACGTTACAAATGATATCCTGACCATGTGTGACCAGGGCTCTCTCTGCATCCTCATCCTCTCCACCGCCTTTGATACTGTGGACCACTCAATCCTCCTCCACCACCTCTCCTCCCACCTCAACCTTCAAGGTTCTGTCCTTGACTGGTTCAGGTCCTACCTTTCTCACCACTTCCACTTCGTCTCTGCAAACAGCTTCTCCTCTAGCCCCCGCACCATCTTGTGCAGCATTTCTCAGGGCTCTGTCCTCGATCCCTTCCTCTTCAACCTCTACAAGCTCCTCCTTGGTGACATCATCCGCAGACATGGGGTAAATTTTCACATGTATGCGGGTGATACCCAACTCCACCTCTCTGCCTCCACCCTCAACTCCAGGACTACTGGCGTACTGCCTGTCCGATATCAAGTCCTGGACGAGGGACAACTTCCTGCAACTGAACGTCAGCAAGACCGAGGCCCTCCTGATTGGCTCGTGCCAGCGCCTCTGCACCTCAGGCGCTGGCAGCATCAGCCTCCATAGCTGCACATTCAACCTTACTAAGCCAGTCAGGAACCTGGGTGTCTCATTTGACCCTGAACTGTCCTTTCTTCCCCCACATCGGCACTGCCTACCACCACCTCCGCAACATTGCCAGACTCCGCCACTGCCTCACCCCTCAGGCTGCCGAAACCCTCACCCACACATTCATCACATCAAGCTCGATTATGGAAACTCCCTCCTCATCGGCCTTCCCAACTCTTCCCTTCACAAGCTGCAGATCATCCAAAACTCTGCAGCTCATGTACTCTCGCGCACCAGGCTCCACGACCCCATCACTCCCACCCTCGCCAGACTCGACTAGCTCTCCATCCCCCAGAGGATTGAATTCAAGATCCTCGTCTTCACTTTCAAGGCCACCCATGGCCTTGTCCCCTCCTACCTCTCTGACCTGCTGACTCCCTACCAACCTGCCCTCTCCCTCCGTTCAGCAGCCTGCTCCATGTCTCCCGCCCGACCCACCCTACCATCGGTGGCCGGGCTTTCAGCCTCTCTG